TAAGCACCCGTCATTCGTATGGGGTTGGCATGGTGGTATAAAATGCTTATTAGTTATACTCAAGGGGGAGGACACAGTTGGATAAAATTTTGTTCATTAAATTTACGTATGATATAGTATAACGACACATCTATCATAGCCATCGCATGTTCTACCACTGCACCTAAACAAATAAAAAAAAAATAAATTCATAAATAGCTTGTATTCATGAAAAAATCAATCTTAACTATAAAATATGACGATATTTTTAAAAGCAATACTTTTGTTGAATTAGGCTAAAAGTTTCTTCTTTATTATGCCTCAGCCATAGCCTAAACGTACCAAATAAATTCTAAATAAATAATAAATATAATAAAAAATAATATATAAATAATAAATAAACAACAACGTGTCAGAATGTAAACAACAAAGCTGCCAGATTTAAGCTACTTGTAAAATAGCGAAAAATTTCCCTCCACCCAGACCATGTGATTTCTCCATACTCTCCCAGATAGCAAGGACCCTTGATTCAAGGTAAACTTCCCTACTGTATTTGCATTCACAATTCAAGGTTGCAAATATTAGGAGTGGCTAGATTCAAGGACAACAAAATACTGCCCTTTTTTGAGTTCATAGATTCCGCACTGAAACAGAGTCAACAAAACAACAGCGCGAATACCCATTCCCATGATGCAGTTCGACTCCAGACGGCACAATTTTTATTTCAGCTGCAGTTTTGTAATACGGACAAAATGAGAGTTTAAAAATTAGAAAAAAATATTATAAAACTAAAAAAATGTAAAAGAGTTGAACAGAGCCAAAGAGGTTATAAAGCAATCAAAAATGTAGGTGCTGGCCAATAATACGATGTTTATTAGAAATACACATTAAAAGATTCAATACGGTATAGGAATCGTAAAAAACTTAAGCCTAGGCCTGATGTTAGCCTACTTTACCTTTACCGCTTTACCAATCAAAGGCTAGGCCTATAAAAGGTAGGGCTTATATTGGTTGGTAGGCCTATGCTGGCCTAGATAGCCCAGAAGTAGGCTAGGCATTAGGATAAAATATTAATAAATCATTAGGCTGTCATCGGCTTAAAGCTTGACATTGTACAGTAACTTATAAGCATTGACTAAGGATTCATAGTCAATGTTATAAGCTTACAAGTAAAATCTTATAATTGGCCTACACTTAAAATCTTATTTTTGATTTGGCCACTTTCCCGAGCTTGTACATACTTTACCTTGTACCACTGTTTATGCATCTGTAAGTCAATTGATAATATTTCAAATTATCATTTATGTGTTTTTTTTTTTTACTTTTAACACCTTTCTTTCTGGCTCCAACGATTGTTCTTGAGCGTTTCAAGGCTTCTTAAAAGTAATTGAAACTCAAACTTCCATTTGCATAATTTTGTAATAATGGAACTGTAGCAGAATACTGGAACGGGAACGGGCTGTAGATCATTTTGACGTGCGAATAGTCACTTCGTTATAAATTATAGGAATAGGAATGTGCGGTATAATATTAGTTGGCTCACTTACACTACAGCTCATTTAGCTACACGATTTAGCTTTAGCTAAGCTCTCTTTCACGCTGCACGACTAGTAAACGGCAGAAGTAAAGAAGAACGGCAGAGGCAGAACGGCGGTATTGGTTTACCATAAACGCCTGCAACGATGCGCTGCAAACCGCACGACGTGTAGCTAAATGAACTGTAGTGTAAGTGATCCGTCTTCTGTTTTTGTAATATTTATCATGAAATAGGCTAGTATATTAAATGGTGAGTCCGTACATCTAAGCCTTTGCGATCTCAGCAAGGCGTTTGATGTTGTTTCCCACGACATCCTGGTGGCTAAGCTAAGGCATTATGGAGTTGGAGGTTGTGTGCTAGAGTCAATAAAGAGTTTTCTCAAAGATAGGAAACAAGTAGTGTCACTGGAGGGGACCTCGTCATGCGTAGGCCTTTTACCCCATGGAGTGCCTCAGGGATCAGTCATTGGCCCTTTGCTATTTTCAGTGATGATTAATGATCTACATCTTAATGGTCGTACATTACTTTTTGCAGACGACACCACCCTCATCACAAGAGGTCGGAGCTTGGTGGAGCTACGCATTGAGGCTGAATACTTACTGGAGGAAGCAAGGGCCTGGTTCGTATCAAACAAGTTTAAGGTAAACGAGGATAAAACCCAATCCCTCGAATGCACTCTGAGTGCAGGGGTAGAAGAGGGTGAACCGGTCAAACTACTGGGTTTCTGGGTCGACTCGAGGTGCACATGGAACCACCATATAAGCAAGGTATGTGTCAAACTTTCAAGAGTGCTGTATCTTCTAAGAAAACGTAGGGATTTAATAACTCAGCCATACCTTACAACGGTTTATCATTCTCTCTTCCACAGTCACGTGATGTATGGATTGATACTGTGGGGGCATTCCCCTGCTACAAGGGATGTTCTCTTACTTCAAAAGATGGCACTCAGAGTCATTACATCATCTGGGTATTATGAGCATTGCCGGCCTATCTTTAGGGAACTGAAGATCCTCACAGTGTACAGTCAGTATCTTTACAACATACTCACACTCCTGAAAGAAAATAGGAGCGACTTCATGAAAAGGGAAGATCATCATAACTACAGCACTCGAAGAGCTCAGGATTTGGACCTTCCGCGCTGTCGACTCGAACGGACCTTGAAGTCCTACCCTAGGTCGGCCATAAAAATCTTCAACACGCTGCCGTCGCAAGTTCGAGAGATGGGCATGACAGAATTTTAAAAAAGTTCATAAGGCCCTCGTGAATAGGCCACTATATTCTCTGGGGGAGCTAAATGAGATACCACTCTTCCCTTCACAGTAAAAACGTCCGCCATACCACCAGTAGTTGTAAATATTAGTTTTATTATAGTAACTTACAGTATTTAAAGAAATAAATCAAGTCTTTACATTTTTAAAGACATGACGCGATCTATCTGACATTGTCAGTCAAGGATCAAGAATACAAGTATCAAGTAAGTAAGTAAGTATAGTATACGAGCCAATTCCTGTGCTTTAAATAAATTCAGTATTTTTCCTCGTATACTATACGAGCTTCGCTAAGGTCTTTGAAACAGCCATCAAACTCCAGCTAGTCTCTTATCTTGAGCGCAATAACCTGATGTCCAATCTTCAACACGGCTTCCGTAAAGACAGATCAACTGTCACTGCCGTCTCTGAGCTCGTACATCGCATTCAACAAGCCTTTGAGGATACCAACACTGTTGCCTTGACATTATGTGACTTGAGCAAGGCATTTGATTGCGTCTCACATGACATTCTGCTTGCCAAATTAAATAAATATGGGGTGCGTGGTGCAGTTTACGACACCTTTGTGACATATTTGGAGAACCGACAGCAGGTCGTCTCGATAGCTGGAGCTAAGTCCCGAGCTCTCAATGTTCCTCACGGGGTGCCTCAGGGATCGGTTGTGGGCCCTGTCCTCTTTCTGATAGCCATAAACGATCTTGAGCTAAGTGGCAATGCACTCAGGTTTGCTGATGACACTACCCTAATTTCTGTTGGTAACAATCCAGGAACTGCCTCAGAAAGAGCTGAAGTGATGTTTAGGGCAGCAAAGGACTGGTTTGAGACAAACAAATTAAAACTAAACCAAGACAAGACACAAAAAATCCTGTGCTCACTTAATTCAAACTTGGCTCAGGACGTTGTCAAGGTAAATCTGCTAGGCTTTACGATTGACCCAAAGCTGAGTTGGAAAGACCATGTGGATAACGTGGCTAAGAGGTTGTCGAGAGTAACACATCTTCTCAGGAAGTTAACGAGACTAGTTGATAAAGCTTACCTAGTTGTGGTCTACCACGCTTTATTCCACAGCCACGTTACTTACGGTCTCCAGCTATGGGGTCATGCAGCTAATGTCTCCAGAATCCTAAAGCAGCAGAAGAAAGCTCTGAGAATTATGACTGGCAGCGGGCGACAGGAGCACTGCAAGCCTATATTCGCTGACTTGGGCATACTCACCATTCATAGTAACTACATCCTTCAATGTGTCAGCTACGTACACTCCAATGTAAATACCTTTACCACCAGACAGCAGGTGCATGCGCATAACACCAGACGCAAAAATCACATTGACGTACCCTATTGTAGGCTCAGCAGGACAAAAGACGCTTTCCCTGTCATGGCCCTCAGACTGACCAATAAGTTGCCGGTTGCAGTAAGGGATTTAAACCACAATCAGTTTCAAGCAAGGTTAAAGTGTTGGCTAAAAGCTAGGCCGTATTACTCACTCAAGGAATTCTTTGAGGACGACCTTACAGGACTCTAAATCTACCGCCATAAAGTTTTTTAAGTTCTTTTGGTCTAATGACCATACGAAAGTCTGTATATACTGTAAATAGTTTTTGTAAATATTGACGCAGCCTATCCAGCTTATGCTGGTATCAAGCCAAGGAGGAGGTAATAAGGTAATAAGGTAATAAGAGCTTATCCCTGAATTAAAAAATAATTCATACGTTTGGCTCATAGGTACTATGATCTGTAGAGTAAGTGAACCCTCTTTTTATTTGATATTTTCGATAGGCTCGTATAGTATACGAGTCTGTAGTGCAAATGAACCTTCAATATTATTTACGAGGCTCGTAGAGACTATGATCTGCAGAGTAAGTGACCCATGTGTTTTAAGAATTACATATTTGGAGGCTCATAGTGTCTATGATTTGTAGTGTAAGTGAACCCTTACTGAAATACCAATGAAAACCACAGAATCGTCAATATTAATGTAGAGTGCACAACGAGACTGCATATAATATAAGCCTACCTCTCGAGTGAATAAAAGCAATGGTTTCATTCCTTCATCATCGGTTCTGCTTCTTCAGTGTTTGGACTGTCTCACTGTCTGTATTATTAGTCTGTATTGTGTATTCTTTCATCTTAAAAAAGGTTAGGCGAAATAAAATGCGTAGGCTAGGCCTAATTTTTAATTTTGTAAACAAACATAAGCTAAAAGCTTTGAAAAGTTAAAGGCATTGAAACACATTTAAAAAGTGCAGGTTGTGTTCAAGTCCCCTCATACTACTTTAAATTCATAATGATTTATTTGTTCATTGAAATTAGGCTAGGCCTATTTGACATAAGATGAATAAGTATATTTAATATGAAACCTTATTGAGTACCGAGTACCTTTAAAGCAAATACAAAAATATCCTAACCTACCCCAATGATGAATAGGCCCAAACAATAAGGTTAACTTAATAAAGGACCTAAGTCTACTATTATTTTCATTTGATAGGCTACAGAAATCTAACTAATAACACAAATCTAACGTAGGCCTATGATTGTTAAAAATTGTTAAGAATAAAATACGGAAAAACATTGACTAGGCTAGCTTATAATTAGGCCTAAGTTTAGCTTAACTAATCTGAAACTTATTTAACCAGTGCAGTTGTACGGTAATCGTTCTGGGGTAGACTACTGTATCTGTTGTCAAAAACAACCGAATGAAAATATTGATTATTCGATTGTTTTTGATTTACCGTTTGGGTTTGGTTAGTTCGGTTAACCTTACCTAACTAACCAAACGATATATTGAACCGTTTTCTTAAGGAAACCGACAACAATTTGCAATACCAATCGATATATCGATCAATATTTTCATTCGGTTGTTTTTGACAACAGATACGGAAGTCTACCTTCGTCCTGCCATCCAAACTGCTAGAAACCTATATTTGAGGTACAGGAAACCTAAGTTAACTTTTTGTATAACTGTAAGCTACTCGTAATGGATTTTCAGACTCATATGTAGGCCTTGGGAATATTTAAGGTAGGCCTAAACCTAAAAACTGAGGACAGTCTGGTCTGACCAATCAAGGCTCACTGAATCTAGCAACCGAATGACAATATACCAACCCATTTGTCTGTGGACATATGAAATGTCAACAAATGTATTCCCCTACTCTTCAGTTGGTATTGATAAATTGAAGTTGCTTATAATTTGAGGCTAAAACCAGCACGTTCGGTATTTGTCGGGTGTTTGGTAATTGGAAGGTTTACCTCATATCTAAAATTAGGTGTCTCTTTTTTCTAGACAAAAATGGAAAGAAGAAAAAGTAACCACAAGAAGAGGAGGAGGAGCAGGTCATTGACTCCCTCTTCAGATGAAATTAGTCGTCCAAACAGGAGAAAGCATGAGAGAGACGACTTTCTATATAGTAAAAACCACCATTTGGACACCCCAAAAGCAAGAAAAGTGCCAACTAAGCCTAGTCGTTCAAGACCACTCGATTTTTCATTTCATAAATATAAATATGAACTAAACAAAGTATTCTGTCGAGACTCTGATCTTGTTCAAGATATTGACGATTTTTGGCTGTTTGTAGAGAAGTATGAAAATATTAAAAAGAGAGCTGCAGAAAAGCAAAGAGGTCAGTAAATTACAAACAAATCACTATTTGTTGGATACATATATTTAATTATGTTTTAAATTTAAACATTTTTGTTTTTTCTGCCCCTGAGCTATAAGACTTAATAAATGGTTTTAAGTTACCTTTGTCAGTAGCTCAAATGGTCGTTAAAATTCTACAACCAGGTTTCGATGCTGAGTTGCACCATGATCACGTAAGTCAGCAGGATAACTTCACGGTTATCGGCGGCAGGAGGAATTTTTGAGTCCTCCTGCCGCCGATAACCGTGACGGGCCCGTTCGATAGATTGATCTCGTTCGTAATATGTTTTGTACTTGTTCGTGTTTAAATGTATGTGTTTTTTACGTAATGTATTGTTTTTATAAACTTTTTAACGACGTCAACTTGACCGACATGTGAGCAAGAAGTTATCCTGCTGACTTACGTGATCATGGTGCAACTCAGCATCGAAACCTGGTTGTAGAATTTTAACGACCATTTGAGCTACTGACAAAGGTAACTTAAAACCATTTATTATGTTTTAAATACGGTATGACTTTAATTCCTTGCTAAAATAAATAAAATGGTTAGGTACGTATTGTTCAGTACCCGATTGTAGTGTTAGTGATATGAAAATAAGACAACCCCCTGAAGTTGTCACACAAGTTGGCAAAATGTAGGACATAGGGTGAATATATAGGGTACAACCCATTACCTGGTAATTATTCTGTATGGCTACAGTGGTTAAAAATATAATTTTGATATGTCTACTTACAGTTTTTTGCACGTTGAATCCGAAAATGCAATAAGTGGGAGGTATTATAAGTGACCGTACAGTTAAATAACTAGGCTATAATTAACAAACTTAATTTTCGATGTAATCCAAGTTAGTGGTGGTTTGGGCAAGTCCAAGTTCTAGCGGCCACTAACACTTAAAGAGGAGAAAGGTTTGTGGAGTGGAAACAGCTGTCTTAGTTGTTTACATCCGATGCAAAAGAAACAAAACTAAGTACCTACACTTGACAGTGTGAAAGCAAACCCTTAATAACAATTTGTGGACAACGATTCAATTCGTAAAAGCAAAGGGACTTTGATGCCGTTTCAAAAATACAGTACCGGTAACACTACTACGATACATAACTATAGTAACCTTGTAGTCGGAGAAATATAGGATATGACCTTAAAAAAATTGCAAGAAAACGTTTTATGGTTTTGTTTTGTAGAGTTGGGTTTGCAGAATGACATAATAAAAGTTGCCAAAAATCGGTGCACGAGAAAACCACTAAAATCACAATTTAAAATGGCGGCTTTTTCCAACATTGGACAAACTAAAAAAACATATTTCACATGCATTTGTTATGCACATTTTTCGAGATATTGACTTGGGACCACCACCTGTATTTTTTGGATGGTTAGTACTTCATTTTGACAGGGAACATGTTTTTGGCCGCCATCTTCGATCCGCCATATTGGACATAGATAATTTTTTTCAATGTAATGATAGTGTTGTGACCCATCATTACCAACTACATTTTTACACTGATTTCAATGCCGAAATCCGTTTTTAAATATCTTTATTCATTTAGAAGATACATTCAAACGAAAACTCTCCACCATACATTTCTTATGGACGTTTCGTAGTTTGATAATTTTTTTAAAACTATTTTTCTTATATCTCCAGTTCTTATTGACGCTTGTAGTTCGTTCTAGGCTTAAAATATTCAGTAATGTAAGGGCTTTAATTTGAGCTCTTGATATCTCAAAAAATGTGCATAACAAATGCATGTGAAATATGTTTTTTTAATTTGTCCAATGTTGGAAAAAGCTGCCATTTTAAATTGTGATTTTAGTGGTTTTCTCGTGCACCGATTTTTGGCAACTTTTAGTATGTCATTCTGCAAACCCAACTCTACAAAATAAAACCATAAAACGTTTTCTTGCAATTTTTTTAACGATCCCTATGTAAGTTTGTTTAGTTTGCTTGGACTATTGTTATTGTCGGAACGATCCTTTGTAGTTTGTTAAGACTACAGCTGTTTCATGCTTCAAATGGAGCACATCATCAGGTTGAAAGAATGAAATGAAATGAAATGTGCTTATTGTCCTTTGAATTTCTCCAAATTATTGACAATGTCATAAAACAGCTAAAGTTATAGCATAGTCAGTTAATAAATACAATATAGCTTTAGACAAAATGAGACATGTTACAATACATAATTTAAATATTACAATTGCATAATCGTTTTCTTAAAAAAAAATCATTTAGAGAATAGAAGGGGTTGTTCGAAAGCCATCTGTAGAATTTAGTTTTAAAAGTATTATCAGGATATTTTTGTATTAAATGTATTATCATGTTATATATTTTTAGTGAGATTACAATATGGCTTTTAAGAGTTTTAGACAGTCTGGAAAAATCTATGGTAGCAACGTTTTTATTCCTTGTATTATGAACATGAGAATTTTGTTTGATTGTAAGGTCTACGGCGCGCCGGGGTCGCGGCCTTTCTATCTGAGGCTCTCCCGTACTGAGGCTCTTCTAAATATAATAAAACTAGAACCGCTAGCCATTCCAGGGCAGTCAGTAGATATATTTTATTTGTATCACCTTACAAATAAAATGCTCGGAATTGCTCAAGTCGAGCTGGGAAACTCCAAGGTCCTTCCACTATTTAATTTTGAACAAACCGTATTTGTTGTCTGATAAAGCTCAGAGTGACACCTCACCACAGGGGGTCAACGATGTCAACGCTTTATTGATCATTTTTAAAACAATTGTCAACGCAGTGTTGTTCTCAAATGTCTAGTGCCAGGCTAATTTGCCGGTCTTTCTAAGACAAAATAATTTAATAAACTAAAATAGTTCCCTACTTGAGAGGCTAACTCGCCGGTCTTTCAAAGATAAAAAGAATGTATTAAACTAAAACAATTCCGTACTGGCCAGGCTAACTTGCCGGTCTTTCTCAAATAAAAAGAATTTAATAAACTAAAACAATTCCCTACTGGCCAGGCTAACTCGCCGGTCTTTCTAAAATAAAAAGAATTTAATAAACTAAAATAGCTCCCTACTTGCCAGGCTAACTTGCCGGTCTTTCTAAAATAAAAGATAATTTAATAAACTAAAACAATTTCCTACTTGCCAGGCTAACTCGCGGGTCTTTCTGAAATAGATAGAATTTAATAAACTAAAATCAAACTTTAAATGCCAGGCTGATTCGCCGGTCTTTCTTCAACAAACAATTATTACTGTAAACTCTAAATATAAACGTTAATGCCAGTCTCACATGCCTGTCTTTCTTCAATCAAACAATTCTAACCTCTGAATATCAAACTTAAATGCAATGCTCATTCCCCAGTCTTTTGAAATAAAATAATTTTAAACTCTAAATACCATTTGGAGATATAGCCTCTGGATCGTTATTGAACATAATTAAATCTAAGGCTTATCTTACGATCCAATTTATTATTATTTGGAGACCTAGGTTTCTACGTCGAAACGTTATCGTCAGTCCTTTGTCTCATGGGCTAGCTAAACTTCTTGTTTGCCATCTCTTACTTGAGATATTGTTGATTTAGTATAATTTGTGCAAACATTGAACACATATGAATATTTACAAAGACATAGATTAAAACAACTTAGATACATGGCCATGATCTTTATCAAACCTAACCTCCAAACAAGAAGTTTGAAAAAAAAAAAGAAGAAACAAGAAGTTTAGTTGGGCCTATGAGACAAAGGACTGACGATAACGTTTTGAGGTAGAAACCTAGGTCTCCACTATAATAATAAATTGGATTGTAAGGTAAGCCCTAGATTTAATTATCTAAATACCAATCGTTAATGCCAGGCTCATTTGCCGGTCTTTCTAAATAAAATGTCTCAATAGCTGAAATCTGCAAGTCTTCCTTTAATTCACAAACAGTCTGACAAAACTTACTTGACTGGAGAATTAAAAATACGCACACCACAGAAAATTAACTGGAGTTTCAATTGGCTAATCCTACCTGGTCAGGTTGATGTTTAGACTGTTGGTTGGACTTCAACTGGTTTCAACCGATTTCAACTGAACTGACTGCCCTGGAACGGCTAGCAGTTCTGGTTTTATTCGCCACAGAAGTAGCGAGCTCCAACGGTGATTACAGGAACTACTTCCGTGTTCAGCGGCCGGCTACGTAGGCTAGTGGTTGTTATCGGGATTACCTTTGTCCCTGAACCCGCTTATTGTCCGCGCCGCTAACACCTTTTGCTTGCTAAGCTAACGGTTGTAAATATTAACTTAGAGCCGGTCAAAATTTACAACCGTTACAGATTAATGTATCTGCAATTCTAAAATGCTATGGGAAGGGAGGGAAACAGATCCACGACGAAGGGAGTGGTGAAGAAAGTGGTAAAGGTAAGCAGTGCGGAGTGTGGAAACCCTTTGTGACAGTTAGATTAATATATCTGCAATTCTTAAATGCTATGAGAAGGGAGGGAAACAGGTCCACGACGTAAGAAGTGGTAAAGGAAGTAGTCTGATGCAAGCAGTCCGGAGTGTGGGAACCCTTTGTGACAGTTAGAATAATGTATCTGCAATTCTAAAAATGCTATGGGAAGGGATGGAAACAGGTCCACGACGTAGGAAGTGGTGAAGGAAATAGTCAATGCAAGCATACGGAGTGTGGGAACCCTTTGTGACAGTTAGAATAATGTATCTGCAATTCTAAAAATGTAATGGGAAGGGAGGGAAACAGGTCCACGACGTAGGAAGTGGTGAAGGAAGTAGTCAAGGCGAGAAGTGCGGAAGACAAAATAATTTAATAAACTAAAATAGTTCCCTACTTGAGAGGCTAACTCGCCGGTCTTTCAAAGATAAAAAGAATGTATTAAACTAAAACAATTCCGTACTGGCCAGGCTAACTTGCCGGTCTTTCTCAAATAAAAAGAATTTAATAAACTAAAACAATTCCCTACTGGCCAGGCTAACTCGCCGGTCTTTCTAAAATAAAAAGAATTTAATAAACTAAAATAGCTCCCTACTTGCCAGGCTAACTTGCCGGTCTTTCTAAAATAAAAGATAATTTAATAAACTAAAACAATTTCCTACTTGCCAGGCTAACTCGCGGGTCTTTCTGAAATAGATAGAATTTAATAAACTAAAATCAAACTTTAAATGCCAGGCTGATTCGCCGGTCTTTCTTCAACAAACAATTATTACTGTAAACTCTAAATATAAACGTTAATGCCAGTCTCACATGCCTGTCTTTCTTCAATCAAACAATTCTAACCTCTGAATATCAAACTTAAATGCAATGCTCATTCCCCAGTCTTTTTAAATAAAATAATTTTAAACTCTAAATACCATTTGGAGATATAGCCTCTGGATCGTTATTGAACATAATTAAATCTAAGGCTTATCTTACGATCCAATTTATTATTATTTGGAGACCTAGGTTTCTACGTCGAAACGTTATCGTCAGTCCTTTGTCTCATGGGCTAGCTAAACTTCTTGTTTGCCATCTCTTACTTGAGATATTGTTGATTTAGTATAATTTGTGCAAACATTGAACACATATGAATATTTACAAAGACATAGATTAAAACAACTTAGATACATGGCCATGATCTTTATCAAACCTAACCTCCGAACAAGAAGTTTGAAAAAAAAAGAAGAAACAAGAAGTTTAGTTGGGCCTATGAGACAAAGGACTGACGATAACGTTTTGAGGTAGAAACCTAGGTCTCCACTATAATAATAAATTGGATTGTAAGGTAAGCCCTAGATTTAATTATCTAAATACCAATCGTTAATGCCAGGCTCATTTGCCGGTCTTTCTAAATAAAATGTCTCAATAGCTGAAATCTGCAAGTCTTCCTTTAATTCACAAACAGTCTGACAAAACTTACTTGACTGGAGAATTAAAAATACGCACACCACAGAAAATTAACTGGAGTTTCAATTGGCTAATCCTACCTGGTCAGGTTGATGTTTAGACTGTTGGTTGGACTTCAACTGGTTTCAACCGATTTCAACTGAACTGACTGCCCTGGAACGGCTAGCAGTTCTGGTTTTATTCGCCACAGAAGTAGCGAGCTCCAACGGTGATTACAGGAACTACTTCCGTGTTCAGCGGCCGGCTACGTAGGCTAGTGGTTGTTATCGGGATTACCTTTGTCCCTGAACCCGCTTATTGTCCGCGCCGCTAACACCTTTTGCTTGCTAAGCTAACGGTTGTAAATATTAACTTAGAGCCGGTCAAAATTTACAACCGTTACAGATTAATGTATCTGCAATTCTAAAATGCTATGGGAAGGGAGGGAAACAGATCCACGACGAAGGGAGTGATGAAGAAAGTGGTAAAGGTATGCAGTGCGGAGTGTGGAAACCCTTTGTGACAGTTAGATTAATATATCTGCAATTCTTAAATGCTATGAGAAGGGAGGGAAACAGGTCCACGACGTAAGAAGTGGTGAAGGAAGTAGTCTGATGCAAGCAGTCCGGAGTGTGGGAACCCTTTGTGACAGTTAGAATAATGTATCTGCAATTCTAAAAATGCTATGGGAAGGGATGGAAACAGGTCCACGACGTAGGAAGTGGTGAAGGAAATAGTCAATGCAAGCATACGGAGTGTGGGAACCCTTTGTGACAGTTAGAATAATGTATCTGCAATTCTAAAAATGTAATGGGAAGGGAGGGAAACAGGTCCACGACGTAGGAAGTGGTGAAGGAAGTAGTCAAGGCGAGAAGTGCGGAGTGTGGGAATGTTGAAATTACATAATAGGCCTAGTACTTTATTGTGTAATGGCAAAATGTTCTGCCTCCTAGAAACTGTCAAATAGTTAATAGTTTAATATCATATGTTTTTGGTTTTGTGTTTTGTAAATAAGATAAATAATTAGAATGGTTTGAATAGAAATAAAGTTTTTTACAAGTTCAGCTATGTCCTTATTTAAATGTTAAAAGCTACAATTAAAAGTAATAAAAGTAAAAGTAAAACTACAAAAATAACAGAAGGGAACCCTTTGTGATAGTTGGATTAATCTATCTTCGATACTAATATGCAATGGGAAGGTTGGCAAACAGGTCCACGACGTAGGAAGTGGTGAATGAAGTAGTCGAGGGGAGCAATCCAGAGTGTGTGAACCTTTTGTGACAGTTAGATTAAAGTATCTGCAATACTAAAATGCTATTGAAAGGGAGGGATACAGGCCCATGACGTAGAAAGTGGTAAAGGAAGTAGTCAATGCGAGAAGTGTGGAGTGTGGGAACCCTTTGTGACAGTTAGATTAATGTATCTGCAATACTAAAATGCTATTGAAAGGGAGGGAAACAGGTCCATGACGTAGGAAGAAGTGAAGGAAGTAGTCAAGGCGAGAAGTGCGGAGTGTGGGAACCGTTGGTGGCAGTTAGATTAATGTATCTGCAATACTAAAAGACTAGCGGAAGAGAGGGAAACAGGTCCACGTCGTAGGAACATCGAAGTATATCAACACAACATTGTATATAAAACAAGTTGTGTTTTATACTCCGATGCGTAGGAAGTGGTGAAGGAAGTGGTAAAGGCTGAGTGTGGGAACAGTTTGTGGCAGTTAGATCAATGTACATGCAATACTAAAATGCTGAGGGAAGGGAGGGAAACAGGTCCACTACAAAGGAAGTGGTGAAGCAAGTTTTCAAGGCGAGCAGTGGGGAGTGTGGGAACCCTTTGTGGCAGATAAATAAATTGGATAATACTTAAATATGGGAAGGGAGGGTAACAGGTCCACGACATAGGTAGTGGCGAAAGAAGTGGTAAAGGCATGCAGTGCGGAGTGTGGGAACCGTTTATGGCATTTAGATAAATTAGTTAGATAAACATATATTGGATTGTTAATCATTTTTAGGTGATATAATAGCTCTATCGTTTGTATCTGTTATATATCATCATAATAGCTCTATCATTTGTATGTGTTATACATCATCATTATAAGCCATACGATATAAGGCCTTTACACTTTGCGGCGGCAATTAGTTTAAGTTAGATTAGTTCAGTTTGGCTTAGTTTTGTTTATGATAGGCCTCAACAAATAAGGAAATAGGCTTCATTTAATCAAAAGACATTTTGTACAGGAACGATGGATTTACCTCCTATCGATAATTGTTGGAAATCCATTACGTATATCACCAATGACTTTGGTTAATTAATGGACGAGAAGTTAGGATTGTTGTTAACCGAGATTTGGTTAATTTGCCCATACAAATAACATTGTGTTCACCAGTGACACCGTTAAGTTAGTGCGAGTGAATTCTTCTTTTGTTGCACTCACGTTCAATCATCTCGTTACGCGCAGAATAAGCGTACTACTAGTTTATAATGAAATGTATGCACAATGTGAAGCTGCCACACACCAACGCAACGGCCTTGTAATAAGGCGAAAAAGTACAAGCTCATAAAATGTAATTAGGCCTAATTGAATTTTTTACACTGAACCTTAGTTCTGTTAATAGGCTACTTTCATTTATGTCTTTATAGCCTACATTGTTTTATTCATGATTAAAAATATTTGGGTGGTACACAAAGACAAAATTATTAATTTATGTGGCATTGTACTCATAACGGAACTATTCCATGATACAAGGCCAATGGGTCAAAGCATTTTTGAGTTTCTATAGTTAAAATTATTTTTACGCCACACTACATTATTTTGACGAACTTCCCACGCAAGTATTTAGTCCAGAAAACAGCTGTTTGCCGCCAGCTTATTCAAATGGGGTTTCATTGCGTACTACTGTGCTGCAATGAGTTTTACCGGACACCAATCAGCTGATTGTACTGTATTTAGTATTTATGTGGCAATGAGTGGTTATAAACAAAAACATAACCTCTCAATGACTAGTGATTTTTAGTCCTATAGTTGGTGGAAATATATAAGGATTTGTACAGATTTAGTAGTATGGCGTAAACTATCGTACGTCACTCGTCCAAAATGTGTGTACCGGACTCGTATGGTAATCCCGTACTCGACTTCGTCTCGCACGGGAACGACCACACTCGTCCGGTAAACACTTATTTTCAGGACTAGTAACGTAATATACTATTACAGGTGGTCCTGCACAATCCTCAGTTGAAAAATCAAATTTTGATAAATCCAGTCTAATCAACCTAGTCTTGACAACTAAAGTAGAAGAGTTGGAGGGAAGACTTCCTCCTCACCATGACGACCCATTGACAAAACAAGACCTCTTGGATTTTCGATCGATTCTTCTTTCCTACCTTGATTTCAAGCAGAAAGAGAAGTTCAACAAGTTACGGAAGCTGAGAGAGACTCAAGCAAACTTGCCCGTGTTCAACCATAAACAGGAGATCGTGGAGGCAGCAGCTCAAGAGAGGGTAGTGATTGTTGCTGGAGACACGGGATGTGGAAAGTCCACCCAGGTACCTCAGTATCTTATGGAGGCTGGATACAAACGAATAGGTAAGCATTTTATAAAGATTAGGCCTATTTTTTTTCTAAATGTACACTTTGTTCTTCAAGCTAAATTTTAGCATCTCATTTAGTCCAGTAGGCCTATTTTTAACAAATTTTCCTATAGGAAAGTAGCATAGATAAAACATACTCCCTTTAGTAGATTTGTCATCCTTATAGAACAGCTGAAGCCAATTTTATTGTTATTTCTGTACGTCCAACTGTAGGGATCGTGTTTTGTTTACAATTTGTTTTTTGTTATTTCAGCCGTTTAAAACCTCATTTAACCAAATAAAATGATATAATCATAAACAATAACTCGTCTCCTAGTTATATCACCAAATAGTAAAGCACAAATCATGAAAATAATGCTAAAATAATAGAATCAAAATTTCGTCTACCACAGCGATCAATGTGGACGTACATGAACTAGACTCAAAAAACAAGCTTCAAAGTTTACAATGGGATGAGGAGTCTAATTGTGTTGATTAGTCAATGGAAGTAGTTATTACCGTAGGTGGCACGGCAAGACCTAGGCCCAGGACCGATTTACTTTTTCATTTTGATGTCTCCAGAGGCCAAAAACACCATTCGTTGAAATTTTTATATAGATTTATATGCGTCCGTGAACGCGATAACTTAAGTAATTTTTGTCCGATTTTGATGAAATTCGGTTTAAAGGTGTAAGGCGGGATAAACTTGAATGAGTTCGCGTACCAGCATGATTGGACCATGGGAATGGGGTTTTATGGGGTAAAAATGCTTTTTCTCATTTTTGACCCTCAAAACACAAAATTTCCCAATTTCTCTTTAGACCTTTTTAAAAAGCTTAGAAAACAAATAATTTAGTATATCAAAGTGTTTTTGTATTTTTGTGTTTTTGTTATTGGTAAAACAGAGAAAATAAAAAAAAAAAAATTAAAATTACTGTGTTATTCTTAGGGAGAATATTGTAAAATGTTGTATTTTGCTTGTTTATGGATATATTTTGACCAAACTTGGCAAATTTATTTTATACTAAGCTATTAATATTTTACTGTAAAACACACTTTATTAGTTTCCTTGTAGCAGCAAACCTAGGCACTGGTTAAACCTAATGTTATTTAAATAGATTTGATTGAAAATCAATTCAGACAAATGGAAATTCGCTTCATTGGCGTCGTCAGCATCAAATCTTTAAGGGGGACAAATGTAGGACCTTGTCAGGGGGGCTACCGGGGGGCTTGGGTGGTGTAGCACCCTCCAATAAGGCTGGGGGTCCGGGAAAATTTTGAATTTTCAAAGCCGTTTGGTGACTTTCTAAAGCCATTTTTGACACCTAAAACCGTGCCCAATTGTCATTAAACTCCCATTTCACCTGTTGTTTGTCATGAGCAAATAGACATTTTAAATATTAAACTATGACGATTGCATTAATGAATTTCAAAACACACTGTAGACTACGGCCATATCCTTCTAAAAACCGTTGGGTGGCTTTCTACAGCCAGTTTTAACGTCTAGAACTGTGTGCAAAACCTCCCATTTCCCCATTTATTTGTCATGAATAAGTAGAAATTTTTAAAACTAACTACAGTGCAACTTGGTTATTACGGCCTTGGCCATAACGTCAACACGGATATAACGTCATTCAAGCCTAAGTCCCGCCAAACTTAAAGTGTAAGCATTGGTAAAACCTCGGATTTATCGTCAAAATATTTTAAAACCTCGTATATAACGTCAAAGAAATTCCGCTCTAACAACAAAGTAACCTTGTGTAAATGGCTGAAATGAGCGATGCTCGCAATGTAGTGCATCACCGACGTATTCATTAGTCACGAACCAGTCTATTTTTGGATACGGCCTTGAGCACTTCATTGTGCAGTCGTCATCGCATCTACCCCCACCCCCACCCCCTTCCAACACGGCCGCTGTCCCGTCCCGCGGCATCACCCCCCTCACCACCCCACAAGGTCATTGCCCGTTGCATCAACCTGTCCCCCACACACACCCCACCCCCACTGCCATTGTCCCGAATCCATCTCGCACGTAGACAGCTTAGCAGGTGGTTACAGTACCGTTGTCTCTAGGTCAGTGTCACTACGTCTGGTTTCGTGTCAACAAGTAAAAATCTTTGTTCGTGCGTTTGGACAGTTTTTTTTTTAGTTTTGAACAGTGCCGAATTCTTAAACATACAGTAAATTACAGTAGGTGTCCGGCAATTATGGCAGGTGTTAAACGAAAGGTTTTGCCGATAAAAGAAAAAGTGCGTGTTATAAGAGCGTGTGAAGACGGACGTAAGATAGCAGACGTGTGTCGGGAGTTTGGGTTGGTCAATTCCACTGTTGGATCAATTTTGAAGAATAAGGACAAAATTTTGAAGGCATTTCAAGAAGATGGGGAGAATGTGAAAAGAATCAGAGGATGTGATCGTAGTGATATCGATGCAGCTCTTCTAAAATGGTTTAAACAATGCCGCAGTTCAAACATCCCCGTGAGTGGTCCACTTTTAAAAGAAAAAGCATCGGAGTTTGGACAGATGTTTGGAACAGATTTTGTTTGCTCAAACGGATGGATTGACCGGTTCAAAGCAAGGCACTCAATTTCATTTGCTAAAATTTGTGGTGAGGCTAAATCCGTCGACCCAAGTGTCACTAGTGACTGGCTATCTGAAATATGGCCAGTAGTGCGGCAAAACTACAGAGATGAGGACATTTTCAACGGAGATGAGACAGGACTTTTTTACAAATTGATGCCGGACAAAACCCTCCAGTTTAAAAATGAAAAATGTGTCGGTGGAAAATTGTCAAAACAAAGAGTGACCGCTTATGTTTGTGCGAATATGACGGGTTCAGAAAAAAGGAAACTTTTAGTTATCGGGAAAAGTGCACGACCTAGATGTTTCAAAAATGTAAAAAAGCTACCTGTAACTTACACAGCCAACAAGAAAGCATGGATGACCTCTGCCATATTCGAAGAAGAATTAAGGAAGTGGGACAGGGAGCTGTCATCAAAAAATAGAAAAATACTTCTCCTTGTTGACAACTGTGCAGCTCATCCAAAATTGAAGCTGGACAACATCGAGCTGGTTTTTTTCCCGGCCAACTGCACAAGCATTTTGCAGCCGATGGACCAAGGCGTAATCCGAAGCTTTAAGTGCCACTACCGAAAGCAGCTTTTGAAAAAAATGATACTCTGCATGGACACTGCACAACCAGTGAACATAACTGTGTTGGATGCCATCCAGTACGTAGACAACGCTTGGAGGGATGTGACGCCAAGGACAATCTCAAAATGCTTCAGGAAAGCAGGACTTTCAGCTGCTGCTCCTGAGGACGAAGAAGAAGATGAGTTGCCAATCTCAGAATGGATCAAGCAATTTCAGACTAACCAACTTGATTTTGGGCAAGATCTTGATGGTTATGCATCAGTCGACGACAACGTTGAAACTTTCCAAATACTTAGTGACGCAGAAATTGTCAACGAGGTACAAAATTTACAAACAGAGGAAAACGCAGAAGAAGACGAAGATGAAGGCGAGGAAGAAGATGGCGACTGTCCGACTACGCAAGAGGCTTTCCAAGCAGCTGAGACACTTCGTCGTTTCTTCCGCTTCAGGGATGCTTCTGCTACTACACTTGAAGCTACCCAGCACCTTCACAAAATGACGGAGAAAATCTACTTTTCTGAGAGGGGTGTGCAGAAGAAAATTACAGATTTCTTCCAGCAGTAGGATTTCATTTGTAAGCTTGCATTTTTACTAACCATTTCATATTATGCTTCATTATTCATTTGATTTTTATGTAGGATAAACCTACAGTACTGTAAAGTATTTCTTGATAAAAAAACCATAACCTAAATACATTATTTTGGCAATTTATAACTTTTATTATACACTTAACTGTAATTTATAAATTCAGTTGTATTTACACCAATAATGTCATTAAAGTATGTTTTTATAAAAACAGAGATTATTATTTCTCCTACGTTATTTAATAATAAGCTTTATGACCCTTTTATAGTGTCACTCTGATATAGCGTCAAAAATTGTGTGGTCCCTTAAATGACGTTATAACCAAGTTGCACTGTATGACGATTGCATTCATAAATCTCAAAACATATTGTAGGCTACGGCCGTATCCTCATAAAAGCTGTTTACTGACTTTCTAAAGCTAGTCTATATGATTAATGTCTATATCTGTGTCCAACGGTCCAAAAACCTCCCGTTTCACCTGTTATTTGTCTTTGTCATGAGCAAGTAGACATTTAAAAAATCAAACTATGAACTTGTATTCATGAATTTCAAAACATAGGCCTACTGTAGACTACAAAGCCATATATTTAATCCTAAAAGCCGTATCGTGACTTTATAATGCCATTTCTAACGGCTAGAACTGTGCCTAATTGTCCTAAAACCTTCCATTTCACCTGTTATAGCCATGCAAGCAAGTAGATACACGTTTTTTAACCTTACGTTTTTCTCCATTTCATAGATCTGTCACAATATGTATACTGTAGTATCGAATTCAGTAATAGTATTGACTATATAAACTTTAATACTAGTTTTTATATAGTCAATGGTAATAGTCTACTGGTAGTACGCTGATTGCTGATTGATGCCTGTGTAAAGTCAGTGGCTAGCAGACAATTTCACAACTAACTAAATAGCCTATGAGTATGGAACATCAGGAAATCAGCTTTTTCGCCGTCCTCGCTCGCACGCTCTGCGCTCGCCTTTGCCCTAGCATGTCTACAGCTGACTGCTGTAAAAATTGGATGATGCGTACAACCTTCCATAGCGTAATATTGTTTTATTCGTTGTGCTATTGCCCACAAAGTTTATCCATGTGGAACTTAATACTACTCCTGCCATCGCTTATAAGTTTAATAAAAACTACATTGATGATGTCTGTTTTTTGGCATTGTGTGTTTTAAGAACGAAATGTACGTTTAAATTTACAAAACTGACTTTTCAAATATTGGGAGGGACGCGTGCCCCATGTCCCCTATGGCGGCGACGCCCGTGATTCGCTTAGTCGGCAGGTTTGCTGTGGCGGGGGTATTTTTTTCTGAGTAGCTTTGGGAAAGTGACGGTTTTAGGCTAGTACCTTTTTCAAATCAGAAAGTGGCAGCTTCAATCTTGAGAAAAGTGAGTCCCAGTAGATTATCAAAATCTAAGATTTTGATGGCTGGATACTGAATCCAGCTGCCCTTGTCTTTTAAACTTTTAAAGGATGACTAGTGTACCTGTTGCTCGGATTCGAGCAATTGCTAAGTATTATTTTAAAACCGCGTTATTGTAAAACGAATAACATAATTTCATAATCATAATTTCTGTTCACTTTAAAAGATTCGACTCAAAGATACATAACAATACTCAAGATGTATATAACAGATCGATATAATCAACATTTCTTGTAAATATCTTATCATTTTTCAAAAGCTGATCTTGTTTTTTAGTGTTTTCTACAAAAAGCCTTACTCATAACCGCATTAGGTTGTCCATAATAAGGATTATACATAAAAAAATACATTTTTTCTATTTCTTCTCCTTGGTGGTGTTCTATGACTTTCCTATGTTTCCATAGTTTGCAAATCGGCTCTTTCAATAATTACTATGAAATGCAGCATAGTGTTAATTCAGTTTTCTTTTTAGTATATCAAATTATCCAGGCTCTCTCGTTTTTTTCCATTGTAATATTTATGCCAACCATAATTCAAAAAAGTAAATATTTCATTTCAACCAAGTCAGTAAGTGTTTGTAGCAATTTGTTAAATTAGCATACTTATTGACTGTTTACAATCAACATATATTCTTCTGTTAACTTTTAATTTCTGGCAACAGCTGGAGTTTCATAACAATGTTTGTTTCCCATGTTAATCTTATGGAGAAATACGAAACTTTAAAGGGCCCCAGGGCCTCACTCTCTAATTATTTTCATAAAAAGAAAGTTTCCTGCACAACTTCACGTTACGCTCTTTCCAATGACACCAAAAACATGTCAATCGGTTCAGTAGTTTCGGAGGAGTAATCGTCACAAAAATCCTGCTTGCGTATTAAATAAGTTCTAGTGTCCCTGTTGCTCGAATTCGAGCAATTGCTAAGTATTACAGGCGTTATTTTAAAACGAACTTCAACCAAGTCAGCAAATATTTGTAACTAACTGTTTTATTAGCAAACCTATTGACTGTTTACAATTAACCTATGCTCTTCTTCTCACTTTTGATTTCTGACAACAGCTGGAGTTTCATAACAATTTTTGTTTCCCATGTTAATCTTATGGAGAAATAAGAAACTTTAAAGGGCTCCAGGGCCTCACTCTCTCATTATTTCCCTAAAAAGAAAGTTTCCTGCACAACTTCACATTACGCTCTTTCCAATGACACCAAAAACATGACAATCGGTTCAGTAGTTTTGGAGGAGTAATTGTCACAAAAGATCTGCTTGCGTATTAAATAAGTATAGATATAGATATAGATTTTAACCAATAAACTAGTTGATCTTATACAGTATAAATACTTTACCCCTTTCACTACATGGGAGGAGTGATCCGGTCTAGTCTTATAGTGCGGGGCTCTGGTCTGAAGTCCTGGGTTGAAAATTATATCATCTCATTCAACACTTATCTTCACTTTTAATTACACACAATAGTGGGTCAAAGTCTTATGAATCTAATCTCTAAATTAAGAGATGATGCTTTGTGTAGCTTTCTTACCAACTACTGTATAAGGTCAGCATTTTTGTTTAGATTGGACCATTCCTAAAAAACCCATTGATGAAGGACTGCAGGGTTCATTTTCTGCTCATCTAAGACATACTTATCTTGCTTTTCTTAGGTAAAAAATTTGATACTCAGGTAGGCCTACTTTAATGTTGTATCTTAGAATTGTCGAGTATTGTAAAAGTGTAATGATTTGTTGGTTTCTCAATTCAGCTTGCACACAGCCTCGCCGCATTGCATGCATCTCCCTATGCAAGCGAGTTGCATTTGAAACTCTTTCGGAGTACAAAAGCAAGGTTGGATATCAAATTCGCTTTGAGAGAAGTCGAAACCAGGATACAAGAATTGTTTTCATTACCGAAGGACTGCTATTGAGACAGGTACATCCATGGGGTTTCTTAAAAATAAATTCTAAAGCACCTTTTGATTGGTTAAAACTTTGTGAGGTTAAAGCACACTTTTTGAGTGGCTCATTCAGCCATGTTCTTTTTTTATAAAACATAGATTATAGCTTGGGATGTCTAATTCAGTTTAAAATAAACAGTATCAGCAATCTGACTCATACTTTACCCCTTTCACTTGTCAACAACCTTTATCATGAGTAAGCGATGGGACGGGAGTAACTATTATATTTACTGGGAAAATCACAAAAGTTGCAAAAGCTTTTGAACCATAACTTTTACTAAGGGGGAATTGCACTATATTTTTAAGAACTACAAGGACCATAACAGACAAATCCCAATCATAATCAGCTTAAAAAAAATTTCCGTTATTTTATAAGTTTTTATGGGAAAATCTAAATTTAAAAAAAAATCCTGGAGATACCATGGATTAGTACCTACATACCAAATCCCATCAAAATCGGACTTGAGGTTTTTTTAGGACACTAGGCACGAGCCCGGGATTGTTTTTCACATTACTTTAGACTAGACCTAGGGGTTGTGGCACTGTCACTTAAATAATATTAATATCCATTGGTGAATTGATTTGGTGGGATTTAACCTGGGATCTCAATGACTGAAGTCCGACGCTTTAACCACTAGACCAGCTCGCTTCCCCTCTTAGTCATTTGTTTCATCATGCTTTTCAAGAGAATCAAATACTTCAAACCATCATGGAAAGGACTACATGTGTGGTCTGTAGCACTATACACATCCATAAATACATACATACAGACAGACAGACACACACACTCATCACTTCGAAAACCACTTACTTACAGTACTTTTTCCATATACTATTATGTATAGAGGGAGAAAGTAAAAGTCAATGATATATATCATCAAAAATCAGCAATGTGTCTTCAGTATCCTTAAGTCAATGGTATGACGTAAAGGTTCACTCATCCCACATCACAAGGAAAACCTGTAGAATATTTTCTTTCCGAAATCTCACTGAGTATCGGGTCAAAATTATCTTATGTTAGTTCAAGTTGAACGACTTCCCTAGTGTGTTTCCTAATTGGACTTGTTATACCAGGCTGCAGGTGAAGGACATCTATCAGAGTATGACGTCCTAGTGCTGGATGAGGTCCATGAGCGTCACCTCCACGGAGACTTCCTGCTGGGAGTGGTCAAATGCTTACTGCTCCAGCGGCCAACTCTCAAAGTTATACTCATGTCTGCCACAATCAACATCAAACTCTTCAGTGATTACTTTGGAGATAACACTCGTGTTATCCAGGTAATGTGATTAATATCAAGTAACAGGGGACCGAGCATTGCTTGTTGTGCTTAATTTGTTTGAGACGTTAAATAAACTTAGTCCTACATATCTACAATTCTATATAATTAATACGCTACATGAAACTTTGTCGGTTGAACTCCTCCGCCGTTTCTTAACCGATTTTATCCATTGACGTCTCATTGGAAAGAGCGTGCCGCGTAGATTTGCAAACTGGCCTTACATTTTTTTAAATGTCCCTTGGGCTCTGCCCCAGTGGCTTTGAAAGTTCCCATGTTATCCTTATGAAGAACATAATTGTTTACATTTTGATCAGCTGTATAATTGAATTGTTGTTATTTATCAATGAAACGCATTGAGTACATTTATTTACTATTTGAGTTTGTGTAAACATAACCCCCAAGACGGATCGTGTTAGTATGGTTGTATTTTAAATTTGTGTATTTATCGTTGTTTTGTGTCACTATGACGGATCATGTTAGCATGATTGTAACTTAAATTTGTGCATTTATCGTTGTTTTGTGTAGCTATAATTTGTTTATTTGTTGTTTTTTTTCTTTTAAATGACTTCGACGCGACGACAACGAAACAGCCAGGAGGCGTAATCGTGATAACGACCGCAGTTACAGAACAGTGGCGCGTAATAGGCTTAACTCATCACAGTCAGCACCTGACCCTGGACAATCTCAACTATTAGGTTACAAATGCGCCCTACCCCAAAACGACTTTTCGTTCTCAATTGGCCCTCTATCAATGATCTGTGTTGCCTGTACAGCGAGGCATTTTGAGAAGGAGAAAACCGGCTGGAATGCTTTAGGTTTATCAATAACCAAGGTAAACATGGTCATGGTCTGGGTTACACACCGGTAATCTTTTAGTTGACTCTTTTAAACTCATTGTAAATGTGACTGTTATTCGTTTTGAAATAACTCCTGTAATACTTTGTAATTGCTCGAATCCGAGCAACATGTACACTAGTATCCATGATATTATGAAACATAACAGTAGGACATTGACGTTGCTATACATGTACGAGTATTTAATGTTGATGGCAATAAATGGTTTTTATTTTATTGGAATACAGTCTAAAATATGTAATAAAACAAACTATTCAAATAACATTTACAGAAAGTAAATAAAAGAAACATCTTATAACACTTAAAACATATATTTACACTTATACTGTTACTCACAAGACACTTAATATACATAAAAGATGGTAAGTGGTGATCGATTTCGATTGGACACTCCAATCACCATCAGACCAAATAGGCAAATGACAAGAATCTTGAATGGCCAAAAAAAAAAATTTCAAATGTTGGTATTGTTTCAATTTAAAGCTGTCTCATTTAAATAAAACAATAATTAAATGGTATAAAAGTTGTTATTATCTTAAAGTAGACTTAATGAGAAAGCTAATAAGGCAAACCGCAGATTTTTAAGACGCTTAGTTGTCCCAACTATTGCTGTTTTACTAAAAGCTTACATAAATCCAATATGGCGGAAGTTTTTTCCCAAATGGCGGCTTTCCGCCGCTTTGATTTTTCTCGATTTTTAGTATGATGTTGTGGACACTTTTATTGAAAAAATCCCATATATTTTATTTGTTTTACCTTAAGTTTGATGTTATGCTACACTAGATTTTTTTACACTAGATTGACTAGCCTAAATATTTAAATTGAAAATCTATTTTTGTACATATTTAAAGAAGAATTTACTTGAAATGTTGCTACTTTGAAGGCTGCGGCCTGGAGTTAAAGGTGGCCGTGCCTGCAGCGCATTGTCGAAAACTACAAAACGTCTATTCCTATTTTTCCTTGAGGGTTTTAATTCAATGTTAGCATAGCGTATATTGTTTTGCGGTAAAAGACTACATTTTTGAATACTTGTATTCATCCCTTGCTTAGTAATACACCGCAATTGTATTTATAATCAATGCTAAATAGTATTCGTTGGAATCTTCTTTTCTTTTGTTCTGTATTTAGTAATTTGCTTCTGTACTGTAGATGATTTGTTACAAGCATATGTTACAATTTGTTTATTTACATTTTCTTAAAACTGCCATAGCTAGGGCCTACTTGACAATCCATTTAACAAATGTAAAAATATTTAAATTTCATTTTAAGTTTTAACGAAAAACAAATTTTCCCAGAACAGAGCCTAGAAGGGATATTTTTTTTAGCCTAAAACTAAGATATTTCTATCAAATTGGAGGAAATCGTTGGAGCCGTTTTTGAAATCATTGTGCGCAAACGTAACTCATAGATAACTGTAAAGCTTTAAACTATTGATAAAAGTTAAAAGTGAATTTAGTTGAATTTAGTCACCATAGCTGATGATTGTTGTAAATAATGCAAATTATCAGCCAAAAAACTTTTCCTACTGTTCTATTGAAACAAAAAATGAGCTAAAGCTGGTCCATATAGATGGGACACCCATAAGTTAAAGCCATAGAGTTTATCTTACAAAAAGACACTAATATTCCCTCTCATATTAATGTTTTGAGATTAAAAAACAATGTACAGGGTTACTTTGTACAGGGATGTGACCTTTTTAGTAGCCTATCCCAAAACTGTGATACACTCAATATTCTTACTTTAGCCGACATGTTCTAAATACAACAATACCATTGGCAAAGGTATGTGTATTTACTACTTCCCATTGATTGTAATTACTGCTACAAAAGCATTGAGTTTGAGGAAATTAGCCACCACCACTAAAGTTGTTTGTGATATCTAGATGACCACAAGAGTCTATGGTGATTTTCGTCTCATTGGGGTCCTTGTAATAGAGTATTGATGATTTATTGTTGGTGAATGAGGTAGAACCCAACTACCTTACTCAATGGGGGGGGGGGGGGATATGGACTATGGGTAAATAATGGCCTATTCTTTTGTACTTTTTCACTCATAATATCCCTTCCCTTCAGGTTTTTTAAAGAATATATAGCTCAGGCTGCACTTTCTTTCATAATTTGTATAAATGTTTAGTTATTTTAGCTCTGAACAACTGGTAACCTTTGTCCATGTATTGGCTAAGAAGTGAGCACCAACACAATGCTTGTCTTTTCTATTGTACTCTAAAGTAAGTTGAAGTTAAACAGCATTGTAACTGTAGGTTCCTGGAAGATTACATCCAATTAAACTTCACTATCGACCAATCATTGTGGAGGAACGTGCATCCAAGTCTGAGAGATTGAACCCTGGACCATACGTTCAAATCATGCAGCTTATTGATGAGAAGTACCCTAGTAAGTTGAGTATCCTTCAGTTACTAATAAACTAGTGGGTAAGCTACTTTATTTTTCTTTTGTTAGTTATGTTCTGTTAGTTCTGTTAGTTAAGTATATAAAACAACTGGAATGCTAGGTACGTCTTCACGAAAGCGCGCCGTTGTGGCAGCCTTCCCCCACCACCATGGGGGACCCAGCGGATTTTAGCCAATTCATCGAATAGTGCGCGAAGTTGTTAACTCGCTCCTAGCCTTCTATAACAAAGATTAAGTACAACAATGTTTATATATTTGTAATCTGCATCAAATGCAGAATGTAATGGTATAAATCATTTTTACTTTTGATTTGAAATAGAATTTCCATAGTTAAAAAGAGTCAAAAATTTCTTCATCGTGACATGAAAAAGTTAGTATGCGAGGAAGTATTTTATTTTTGGGCCAGAAGAAAACTTTAAGCGACAAAGTTGTAGTTGAAGAGTTTATTTTTAACATGTGATCGAGCAATTTACAATTGAGTGTGCAGTTTGTTTGTAGTATAGTGATTAATAGCGCGACGAGGTTGATTTTATGTCGCACCAACCTCCTCACTCCAGCAACTCTTTATGTTTTTGCTACTCGATCATTGTAAAGCTAAATAAATTTCAACCTTATTAATATTTGATACAAGTTAAAGAATTTAACTATTCTATGGATGTGATCATATATTTTATTTATTTGCAGAAGATAAATACTAATACCAGTATATTGATCGGCTGCCGCTGAGTTGAAAAAACCCTATGAAATCGACTTTTCCGCTCCGTTGAATGAAATACTCAACGTAATACAATTTACAATTGTGTGCTAATTCCTATATTTTATAATAATAATAATAATAATCAAATGACAATTTTAAATATCTGGGAGTGACAATAACAAGTGAAAGCAGACAAGACGACGAAATCCAATGTAGATTAGCAGCAGCTCAACGGTGCTATTGGAGTCTAACAAAACTATTTAGAAGTAGACTCCTGACCAGAAGAACTAAAATAAAGATGTATAAAGTAATAATACAACCAGTTCTACTATATGGAGCAGAAGTCTGGACACTTACAAAGCAAAATGAAAAGAAATTGATAGTTTTTGAAAATAAAATCTTACGTAGAGTGTTTGGTCCTATTAATGACAATGGTGAATGGCGGATAAGGAAGAACCAAGAATTAAGAGAACTTTTTAATGACCCAGATATCATAGCAATGGTAAAGAGCAGAAGATTACGATGGCTGGGACATGTATATAGAAGAGATGATAACAGTATGATTAAGAAGGTATGGATGGGGCAACCAGAAGGACGACGGCCGCTGGGACGGCCCAGATTAAGATGGAATGACCAAGTGAGGCAGGACCTCAGGAGGTTAGGAGCAAGTTTGGAGGCAGCAGAAGATAGGCAGCAGTGGAGGAGCATTGTTGGCGAGGCCAAAAATCACTTGGGATTTGTGTGGCCACAGGAGTAAGTAAGTAGTAATAATAATAATCATAATAATATTTTTTTATAATAGATGCATTTTATTAGCATGCATGAAATTTCAAGGAAATAATTTGTTTACAAACCATGTTTCAAGCAATGACATTTCTGACGAAAGTCACCCTTTGAAACTAATGAAACTGATAAGGACACTATTTTATAAAACAGTTTGTTTCTCCAATGCGAGAAACATTATGAATGAATGTAATAAAAATAAGTTAGGTGTAAAACAGAAATTTAAGAAATTGGTTTTGTTTCACAACATGTATTTAAGCACGATTGTGGACATTAATACATATTCTTAGAAGTTCAGTTTAGTATTATTAACCAACCCCTTTTCCATTAAGTGTGATTATATGAATTTTAAAACACATACAGAATAATAATAACACTCAAAACATTTTTTTTACTAATCGTGTCTTTGCAATAATATACAAATACAGTAGACTCTCGCTCATCCGGATCGGCCTTGTCCGGACTCCCAGTAGTCCGGATCGGCAATCGTGATTTTCTTTAGTGGAACAGTACAGTAGAAGTCAGATTATCCAAGCAAAACGGGACTGAGACTACCTTGAATAATGAAAAAAATCGGATAACACGGCAGTAAAAATTATTGCCGGTGGAAGTGCATATACCCGGGCTATCATTACTGTGGACCTGGAACAAAATTCAGCCGTAAAGATTATTACCGGTGGAAGTGCATATGCACGGCTATCATTACTGTGGACCTGGAACTAAATTGAAAAAACGGCTATATACAGCACTGTGTATTTGCTCGACTCTCGATAGTCCGGATTTTTCGTAATCCGGACCGGACGCCCGCCACATTAGTCCGGATGAGCGAGTCTACTGTACTCCTATTGTCAAAGGAACGAGCCCAACAATTTGATTTGTAAATTTACTATTCAATTGTTGTTATTGCCTTTACGTTAGATACTTTCTAGGTTTAGAATTCATGACCTTATTAATTAATTGCTCTGAACCTTAATATTTGAAAGTTCTCATTAATTACCCAACAAAGCATATATTAAAAGATCCCTTGTTACAACTAAACAAAGGGGGTTATTTGTAACACAGTTTAGTTGTAACACAGTTCACAGTTCTAATACATATGTACTTATGTGTTACCTGTATTAAAAATGTATTTAGTATAACTATAAAACGTTTCTGGGAGTACCGTAAACATAAAGATCAGCAGAACCAGGGAGGACGGCCCGCGGCGCGATTTATAACAAACCTCTTTGCGTTACTAATTACTCCATTACACATGACTAGAACATTTTATTTGAAATTGCTTGGTTATATGCTGAAGATCATCTCATTAGCTACAATTTTGTCGCTTGAAGTTTGCTTCTGACCAAAAAATAAAAAAAATCCTCGCTTAGTAACTTTTTCATGTCAAGGTGTGATATTTGTTTAACATTTTTAGTTGTTAAAATTCGAATTACGATTTAAATAAGATTATATTTATACTGTCAGATTCTGCAGTTAATGCAGATTCCGAATATATAACTTTAATTGCAGTCAACCTATTGTATGCACGGTCAGGAGCGTATTAACAACCGCGTGCACGATTGAGGAACTGACATATCTGCATCGAGTCCCCCTTTGTGGCAGGGGAAGGTTGCTGAGACGGCGCGCTTTTCATCCCAAATCTCCTATCTACCCGGTGTTCCAGTTGTGTTATATAGTTCAATGGTATTGTCATGTTTTGTGTTGCTAAACAATAACCTCAAAAGTCTTTAGTAGGTTACATTAAATAAAGAACTTTTGTCTTATTTTCCAATCTTGATATATTTAAATTATTATTGAATTTCAAAATTTTACTTAATAAAATGTTGTTGTAGAGGACGAGAGAGGAGATTTGCTGATTTTCCTGCCTGGGATGAGTGAGATAACAGCTGTTGTGGATGCAGCCAAACAGTACAATGAGAAGACCCAGGGCTGGATCATCCTGCCACTACACAGCACTCTGTCTATATCTGATCAGGATAAGGTAAACATAAACTACATCACACTTTGTATGATTTGGTTCATTTCCATATGTAGTAGGGATGTGTCGATCTGCGTTGGTATCAGTATCGAGAACGGATCATCAAAAGTCGATACTGATACCCGTCGCCGGAAAACTTACCGTGAACACGCAAGACGACGATGACGTTTCTGTGACCGTGGGATACGATGATGTCTACTCGGCTGCGGAAGATTTTCATGATTTTTGCAGAAGACAGTTTTTTTCTTCTTTCAAATGTAAGAATGCAACAACCCGTTGTAGTATAAATTCAGTCCAATTGTTTTTTTTTTCAAATTGTATTAAAATGCAAATTTGGTAAATCTTTTAGGTAGTTTTCTGTGTAGGTAAATCTGTAAATATAGTGTCAGCTACAATACCTATGTAACCATTACATAGGCCGAGGCCTGCAGAAGTCTAATGATTACTTTGAAGTATCACACGACAACCTTTTGAAATGAAGATGTGTTTGTTAAGGCCTTGGCATATAAATTACAGCATGAGTAAATAAAATACATTCATAATAAATGACAACAAAATTATTAAAACCAATTATAAAAGATGTTTTTGTTTTAGGCTACAACATTTAATTTGAGTTGTTGAGCCTGCACTGTGTTAGTGTAAAACCTGTTAGATTGTAGTAAATTACTAACCTGACATAAAAAATGTCAACATGCTGTTCTCCTGGCTGTAATAATTCTTCTTATTACGGGAAAATCAACGGAATATCATATCATATCACAGGTAAGCTTAGTTATAACTGGACTGCTGTTCAGGCCAATCAGTCTAGGCTAATTGGCCTACGTATTGTTATCGTAACTGTACTTCTGTACAGGTCTAGACATTAAAGTGCATTAGCAATTTACTTTAACAAAGAGCTTTTGATAACACTGTCACATTTATATTGCTTACAGAATTATGTGGGTTTATACAATGCCATGTCGCATGACGTTTATTTGTAGGACAATTTTTCAAAAGAGATTTTTAAGTCATCGGGATTCTAAACTCAAATGTAGAGAGTCGAGCAGGAGAGTCTATGGTTCGTACTACAGTGGCTAAGAATGACGTATAATACTGTGTAGGTGTTTGACTATGCGCCTGAAGGTATCCGCAAGTGTATCGTGTCTACTAACATAGCAGAAACATCAGTGACTATTGACGGTGTCCGCTTTGTCGTGGACTCTGGCAAGGTGAAGGAGATGAGTTACGATGCAGTTTGCAAGATGCAGCGACTCAAAGAGTTCTGGATCAGCAAGGCCAGTGCGGAGCAGCGCAAGGGACGAGCTGGTGAGGTGTTTGTCTATGGAAATAAGTATTTTGTTAATTGGTTAACAATTAAAAGTCATGAGAATATATTAGATTAGATTGGATCTTTGACTATTTAATACAACAATGATTGCTTCTGTATCCAATAGTCAATGATTGTATTTAACATAGGAAGTAAGGCTTCACTGGAACAAGTGTTAGGAGTAACTACTGACACCTGTAGTAGTTAGTAGTAGTGCAGTAGAAGCGACACACTAACCCAGTAGTAGCGCTTGACACATAATCCGGTGAACTGCTCTGAATATGGCTGTCTGCAACAAGGCCAAAAGCCAAGTATTTAGTAATAAGTTTCTGTCTCTGACTTTGTCGTATGCAGAAGACCTTCTAGTGTTGGGTTTGGTTTGTTTGATGTGAACACAACAGGATGAATATTTTAAGGGGACGATGCCTAAAGGGTGAGTTTTTAATCTATAAGTATAAAAGAGGATGTTGGTATGTTAGTATATTTGTTTGGCAGTGATAAACTCAGACACCGCTGGACAGATGGCCACGAAACTTGGTACATACAAGTAGAACCTCTATTATCAGGGGTGATGAGGGGGATGGAGACCACGTATAATTGAAACCACTCTAATCCATCATGGCATGTTTAAAACCATAAAAAAGCGTAAAACTGTATAAATGGACGTTAATGTAATAAATATTTAAATATTGCATCATCAAAATACAATTAGTAGGCTATTGCCCAGTCATGATATTTTAAGTCATTAACCTTGGTTCAGTAGTAATAAATACCCCCCGCTGCAGCAAACCTGCCGACTAAGCGAATTTCCGTTTGTCTGAATTGATTTTCAATTAAATCTACCAATCAATCAATTTATTTATTGAACAATAATAATGGATACATGCATATTATACAATAGGTGCAAAAACCATACAAAGCTTGTTTGCACCAACATATTATGAAAAATCGATTTAAATAACATTAGGTTCAACGATTACCTAGGTTTGCTGCTACAAGGAAACTAATAAAGTGTATTTTTTTGTAAAATATTAATAGCTTAGTATAAAATAAATAAATTTGCCAAGTTTGATCAAAATATATCCATAAACAAGCAAACTACAACATTTTAAATATTCTCTCCACAAGAATAACATGGGAATTTTAAATTTACAATAATTAGAATTTTGTCTGTTACCTATAATCATACAAAAACACTTTTGTACATTCTAAATTATTTATTTTTTGAAGCTCTTTAAAAAGGTCTAGAGAGAAATTGGGAAATCGCGTAAAGAACAGATTAATGGACATTCTAGTATCTACTGCTAGTCACAGGCTACTGCTTCATGCTGTTTTAGGACAGAAGAATGTCAATAAAAACATTAGATAACTCATAAACAAGTATAAAATCATAGTAAGTCAATTTACTTAACAATAATAATAATTGTCCTAAAATAAAATATAGATAACAATGACATAAACCATCGCTTATTATTTATCTTTTTCCTCTCAATTCTTTCTTGGGTTTCTCTTCATACAAACATTCAACAAGTTGTCATGGCTACTTATACCCAACCAAAGGCTACTAAAGTTGTCATGGTTACTGATTGCCCAATCACAAACTGTTATGACATAGCAAGCGCACATCAGACAGATGTGTAAGGAGCAGACAGCTTGACCTTGAAGCTATCATCTTCTTTCTCTTGCCTCTGTTTTATTTTTTTGTCAAATGAATTGTGATGTTTCAAAAGAAATCAGAAACTTCCATTGTCATAATTTGCAAGATACGTGCATATGACAAAATCAAGAATGAGGTTATAAGTTCAGCCAAGAAATAAAACAAGACAAAACCAAATAAATAGACAAACATGATTATGAATTGATTCAATGCACAATCAATTTAATAGTTGGGCAGTAACAATAAATAAAAATAAAAATTGTGGTGTGGAAAGCATTGAGCCTATAAGAAACAATGACAGTAAAAAGCAATATTGTAGAAGCCTGCTGCAAATAAATAATTTGAAACAATGTATTCCAACACATTAGTCTAATCATACATATTTTATAAAATTTTCTTGGACAATGAGGTTAATGTAATCTAATTTTTAGGCATCCATTGACCATGGTTAAGCCACTGCCCGGTTGATCCGCCCCCGATTAATCGAGGTTCTGCTGCACATGTAGAATTTCATGGAGTAGGTTTACCCATGTCAGGGATTTTGAAAGAATTTTATTTAGATTCGTTAACTAACAAAACATATGAAAGTTAAATAATATTGAAGATGCATCAGCTGTTACATTTGTTTAAATACTTTAAATTTATAGTTTGTTTATTTTTTCCCTGAGTTAATCTTTTGATTCTGTCACACAGTTTAAAGCAAATAAAAGATTTTCATCTATAAAAATCAATAAGTACGATTGAGATTTGCCTGTATAGTTCGCATGATTAGTATGTGTAACAGTTTTTTACAGTAGATTTCGAGACCTACATTATTCTCTTAATTATTCTTGCCCCGTTGCGAAGCACGAAATGAATTTATCTATTAGACAGAAACAATAGATAAACATGAGTCATTAAGGGGCAAAAATCATGCAAGGTATTCCTGCATCAAAACAGTAGTGAAAAACGTTTTTTAAATGTGTCTCCTACCAGCTGTCAAGTTCTTCTGCATGTGTGGTCTCTAACCAGCCGGTTGTGATTGAGTTATAATTTTAACCAAGAACAGTTTAGTCTTGTTTTAAACAATCATTTTACTACTATCAGAATGGAAATTTGTGTGTGGTAAACTTTGACTAATCAACGTCGACTATTAGGCAGGACTGGGCCTGGAGTATGTTACCGCTTGTATTCAGAGGAAGACTATGCTGCAATGTCAGCCTACACAACTCCCGAGATTCAGCGAGTTCCACTAGACTCTCTACTGCTACAAATGATTTCTATGGGTCTTCCTGATGCTAGAAAGTTCCCTTTCATCGAACCACCACCCACTGACACCATCGAGACAGCTATTCTATCACTGAAGCAACATGTAAGTGTGAATGTTTCTAAAATATATTTTTGAGAAATTACTTAACGGCTAATTAAGGAGTTGTTATTGGTAAGAGATAGAGTTAAGCCAGCTCACCTGAGTCTGGGGACTTAGAGATAGAAAAAGTAACTCCACATAATACCGATATTTTGTTGTAAACAGTTTGTTCAAAAAGTATTTTTTTTGTTTTAGCCAATTTCCCTTAAGGGAAGAAGGAGAGTATTAAAAATTGTCAATTAAAAATTCCATGTTATTATTATGGAGAATAAGTAGGGGTCTGCGGTACACCGAAAAAGTGGGTATGGTACGGTTCTGGCTTAATTACGGTCATCGGTTTGGTACAGCATTTTACGCTGTAGGAATTCGGTTTTGTACAGCCTATTATAATAATAAATTACTATCGTAGTCAACGTTAGTTGGTTCCGAGCACATTAAAGGGCTATCAGACGTTTGTTTATGATCTTCATAATTTATTACTAGGATGGTGATGCAATAAAAACCCCATTAGCAATCCCAAATCCTTTAATATTTTATTACGACAATAATTCCAAGAACTGTTGAGTTTTATCACTTTTATTCCTTTACGACTTTCTCCTATTCTATCTTATCATAAAACAATAGTTTTAAGATGACTGTTAAATTTTATCTCCAACTCAGTCAGTAATTTTGTGAATATTCAATATGCTATAGCGACCTTAAAACCCAAGCTATCATGTGGAATTGATGAGATCCCAGCTAAAGCTGTAAAACACTGTGCAAATCAACTCGTAATTCCGTTAGCAACTATCATCAATAAATCTTTTACCAAGTCAGTTCCCATCCTAATAAGAGGTTTTTATTCCGACTGAAGATGGACCTACGGGTCCAAAATTAATATCGGATAACCACAATAAGGATTGCAATGGATAAGCAATCCAGAGGCTAAAATGATTGACATGTGTAATCAATAAAATTGCACATGAAATCAATTAAAACTCCTATTTTACAAACAAACATACATCAAACCCACTATGTAAAGGACACAACACAATTAAATATTTTATAGGGAAGAAATACAAGTTTTGACACATTATAATTGTTATTATTATTATCACTATTTTTTCTATGCTTTGTGAGAATACATACATGCATGGGCGTTTCACAGTGAGAGGTTATGATCAAGTTCAAACCAAACGACTTCAGCTTCAGGTTTTTCTTTTTTTTTTCTCAATCAACTCAGCTCAGCCGGCACTGCCAGTCTGCTGTGCAAACAGTTCAAACATGGTCTACGAACCTTGAAAAACATAGAGAACGAGATATGAGCAATCCAAATAGTATTCCGTAGATTGTAAAGCAATTACTTATGTCATTACATTTTAGATTTTTTAGTGTGCTTAAGAAAACTTTGTACTAGAAAAAAAAATCTAACTTTTTGTTTGTTAGCCTTATGCATCAATTGGACCTCACCGACAAGTTTTTTAAACTTGGAGAGGCCATGCTGTTGTAATTTCTATAGTAAATATATTCGAATTTGATATAGCAAACAAAAACAACACAATCGGTGACACACAGAGTTTTTTTTCGGGGTGTTAAAACATTAGTCAAAAATACTTGAAACATGCAATACAAAAACTTATTAAAACATGTATAATCAATAAAATTGTACATGAAATGAACAAAAACTATTACTTTACATATTTAATATTTATAAAAATATATATTTAGCAAACAAAAACAACAACGCCATCACTCACGGAGGGCTCCGTGCTACGTGACTCTTCGGGCTTCAACTGATTAATCGGGGTTTAGTGGGAGAGGTGTGAGATCAAAATCATGTTCAATTTGTTCCTAGAAAGATGCATGTGAGGTCCTAAAGCTGCTGGCTGCCAATATCACATATTTTTCCATAAAAACAAATTCACCCGGAGGAAGACTCTGTGGTGTCACCGACGGAGGGTTAATAGAAATAGATTTGATTGAAAATCCAAGGAAATTTGCTTAATCTGCAGGTTTGCTGTGGTGTGGTGTGACATTTCTCATCAATCTATTTTCTAAGGAAATGCTACACTAGGAGGCAAACTGAGTGTTTATTAGTGACCTGATTGTGCATCTGTATACCCAATGACTTGCATACTTTTATGTGAGTAGCCAAACTCAATTTCTAAAAAAAAAAAATACCCCCGCCGCAGCAAACTTGCAGACAAAGCTTTGGCCTGATTGGATTTTCAATTATTTGTTATGTGATCACAAGTGGTTTTAGTGGAGTGGGTTCACAAATTGATAAATTTATTTGGAGGCCAACCTTTTTTGTTTTCTAGATAAACAGACTTTCAGATTAAAGTGGGCTCTGAACTTCTAAGTTACAGCATTCCAATAAAACTATATATTTTAATGAACTTGAGGGGGGGGGGGTTGAACCTATACCTCCAGGACAAACATTCTGCGCTCCACATCTTTCTTGTTTAATTTGTTTGGTTTTCAGTCAGACATAAATGAAGATGAATACGTTATTATTAATGTCACTAATTTTCAGCATTTTGGTTTGCAGGGAGCTCTGACCAGTGAAGAGAAGCTTACAACGGTAGGTCAACTATTATCTGCTCTACCCGTTGACATACCTCTAGGTAAGATGTTGATCATGGGCTCACTGTTCCACCAAGTAGAGCCTGTACTGTCATTGGCTGCTGTTCTGTCCGTCCAGACACCCTTCACACATCGGGCCTACAGAGACATCGATTGTCAGGTAACTTTTTCTGACATGTGATCGACAAAAATAGTAAATTATTCCCATAGTGCCCAAATTGACACTTAAAGTGTCACAAAGTCCAAGACTATTTGAGGTTTCAAACAGTATAAATTCCATCTATACTTATGAACAAAAATACCACTCATTCACTATTACCTCTCAGCTACTCAGCCATTTATGTTAAGTCAGAACTCTTGAAAAAAAAAAAAAAAATATATATATAAAAAAATTAATCTGGCTCTTCAAACATCCAACATTTGTACCCATGCAGTGTACTCAGTGATTGTTTCAGACTCTACGCAAACAGCTAGAGTCAGACCATGGAGACCCAATCACATTGTTGAACGTGTTCCGAGAGTGGCTGGAGGTTAAGCGGGGGGAGAGAGCAGCATCACGGAGTTGGTGTCGTAAGAGAGGTCTGGAGGAGCAGCGGTTCTATGAGGCCACCAAGCTGCGGGCGCAGTTCAAGGATTTGTTACAGGTTAGGTTTGGATTCATGATTAAGAATTTTATTTTTAACTCAAGGAAGATGGTTGTAGTGTTTTACTTGTCTTCTTTTCTATGGTGGATAAAAAGTTTTTCTTTTGGGTTATGCGTTAATAGTATCATCTTGAATCTATATCCATCTGGCCAGGTCACATTTACATCCCATAACACCCCTCATATTATCATTGTATGGCCGCCAGATAGTTTGGGGTGTTTAAAAAAAATATCATTTGAAAATTGCAGATGATGGCTAAGGTGGAATCAGTCTAAACTCTAAAATGTCAGTCCTTAGTTAAACATTGATCGAAGTACTGTTAATGAGTGGCGACTAAATCGTTTCGATGTAACTGGCAAAATTTGTTTGGGGGGGAATTTAGGCTATATTGTAACCAGTGTAAACTATTTTACATCATAAAAGCTAATTGCAACGGTCTGGATTTTATTTTCTGCAATATAAAAATATTATAATTTATGTTATTAGTTTTTGTGTAAATAACAAAAATCGTAATTTTCCTATATCAAATGCATGTTATTTGGGTTTGACGTGGTTGAACACTAAATGAAATGGGGCCCTTAGTGTTAAACCCAATAACATGCATTTGATATAGGAAAATTAGGTTTTTTGTTATTTACACAAAAACTAAAAGAGATACGAAGTAAGTGTAAATTACAAATTTGTTATGAATTAAAAAACCTATAAAATGAAGTGCCACTTGACATAATGTTGCTATTTAAAAATTTTGAGCAATGAGCATTTGCAAATGTTCAAAAATAAACTTTTTGGGAATTTTTATTATTTAAAAAAACTGTTACTTGTCGCATATCACAGTAAAGCTAATTTCATAACGAGTAAGAAAATTCAACCGGAGAAGGGCTAAATGCATTGGTATAGGACCCACAGAATATTAAAAAAAGTATAGATTTTTTCAAAAAAACTGCCGCCATTTTGAAACAGAAAAAGATAATTAATTTATGTTTTCGCCAAAATGTTTGTCTATTGAATACCTTTAAAATGATGTATAACATGACATATCTTTACATTTGAATATTCCGAGATTCAAACTAGTGACCCTCAGTTTTTGGCACACCTGTATTGGAAAAAAGTTAAAAATATTTTTACGGGATTCCTCGGGGTCGATTTAGCAGCAAATAATTTTATTTCATCCTTGTACGTTAAGCCGTTTTTCCGTAATCAATTTGAGACACCTCTCGTGGGACACCCTGTAGATTAGTTGGAAATGTTGTTGTAACTTGCAGGCTAGAGCTGGACACTCCAGCACATTCGATACAAGCAGAGCTACTTTGAATATTTTTGACAAATTGGATACACAACTTAATAATATTCCTCCCTATGGATAAACTAAATTTGAATTAATATATTTAAATTTCTAGATTATCCATACAGGTAATCGCAACGGAACCTCTCCATGTCAACCTAGATGAAAGAATGAATGGAACTGCCGCTGAGTTGCAATGACTGAATTGTTACTTTTTAAAAGACTTGATGACAAACACACGTAGCTCGACCACTCTTCTATAAATACAGATAATGGCAGTGTGTAGGCTTTCCAATGAGCCTACCCCCACCACCCTCAGAGGACCTGTCGCTGAACAGTGCGTGGCAGAAAATAGATCCGTTTTTTTGCTGCACACTGTATAATAATAATGTGTAGTTAAATTTGACCATGACCCTTGTACATTTTCATTTTTATTTTTTTAACAATACCGTTTCGGTAGAACTAGTACGTATCAAGAAATAAAAAATCAAATTTTCATTCAATGCTTTAAAACAATATTTATTATAAAAAGAACACACACACACACAAATAGTGAATTAATCTAAACATGAAAAATGCAAAGCCCTCACTCAATGACTTATTCATCACCAATTCTCCAACTTGGGATAATCTAGGTGTACCTGGTTTGTAAAACAATAAACTCTACTTTTGGTACTAACAGTTCTTTATTTCTTCTCTAAATGTGTGTGTTTAAATTTTATTTTTATTTTTTTTTATAAATATCTTGAATTTTTACCTGAAGAACAAAGTGAAGAAGTGAAGAATTTTTACCTTTTTGGTGAAGTTTGTACACCTCCTCATATGGAAACAGTGTCTTGCCTTCTTTATGCTATTAGACATTTGATCTATGGAAGGTAGCTCAGTGATTGTAGCCAGTACGTTAGACATGAGGTCTTGACCATGTTTTGAACAACTTTGAAAGCGTGAGATCATGGACTCCCAGCGATACAGTATATAATTATATCGTAAGCAATCAATGCTTCAGCCGTTAACATACGGTTCAACATGCAAATTGAGCATCAGAATTGTGTTGTTGTTGGTTCAAAGTGTTCATGTCTAATGTTTGTAATCAATGGATTGTTGCTGCACCGGGAAAGTGCCTTAGCCACCTTGATAAGCTACCCAAATCCCTCATAACCTAATCACCCTGAGAGTAAAGTTGTTTAGCAAATCAAGGAAATACAGCAATGTTTTCAAGATGACTTTGTTTAGGAAAAAACAAATTGTTGAAAGCAACTTAATTCCTACTCTAAAAGTGCTAGGATAAGTTAACCAGTTAATTGGTAGTTAATTGCTGTCATCCAATAATTATTCCCAATTTCACAGCTATATTTTACTAGTGATGAATTTATTTTACTATTTAATAGTTTACCCAAGCAAAGAGCGGGCAAAAAAGCCAGTCGCCTAGTATTCTTATTGTGGTCCTGAAAATCTTAACAATCTCATACTTAAATTTCCTCATTTACTCCATAATTACCTAGGTTTGTTCACAGGACTGTGGTCTACTGAAAGCCAGTGAGCGTCCGAGTGCCAGTCTGTCGAGTGCTGAGCGCACACTGAGGCATGGTGAGGTTAAGCTGCTTAAGTCTCTAAAGCGCTCGATACAAGATGCAGCCCCTCGCACTAGACGCACACTCAAGCCGGACTCCTGGACCATTGCTGAAGACGAGGACAAAGCTGCGGTTGATTTACGAGATATTGACTTCCGTCTTCGCAACGACAACTCACAGATTCAGGTAAACGTTAACTGCAGTGAAGCAAAAATGTCATTCCTAAAGGTTTGCCAGTTCATGTGCTGATTTAAATAAATAGGCTTAATTCCTTTTGTTTGCAAAGTTTTACATTCAAAATTTCCAAATTCAAAAACAAATTTTTTATATTTTTTCTACCTAATGCAGAACATATTATGCTGAACAAATTCTTCATTTCATTAAGAACGATTAAAGTATACGGTTCAATAGGTTTGCTCTGTTGGTTTAGTTTATATGAATTTTCAAAAATATGACTGTAAAATCGCCAAAAATGCCTTGCCACTACAGAGTTTACCTATTGCCAGTTGGAGGGTTAAATTATCAAACTAGTTTTCTTTGATTAATTTTCTTTCATTTACTAGAGGTAGCTTGATGTTTCAGGATCTGCTACAAGGGTCAAGCGCCTGCAGTTACAAAGACCTGGCTATGCTGAAGCTCATCCTCACCAGTGGTTTCTACCCTCAGTTGGCTGTGGCTGATGAGTTTAACCACTGCAAGGTAACTTTGTTGCTTCTTACATTCTGAAAAATCTAAGCTGTTTCAGTGATGTACACAGTTTTGTTTATCAAAGCTTATACAAAAAGTTCTTTTGTTGTTTTAAATTTTTTTAGATCATATGCAGTGTTGGGGAAGCTACTTTTAAAATGTAGCTTTCAATAGCTACAACTACTGCTACATTTCCAAAAAAGTAGCTTAGCTACAGCTACAGCTACAGTTCCAAAAAAGTAGTTAGCTACAACTACAACTACAATGAAATGTAGCTACAGCTACAATTTTAGCTACTTTTTCAAAGACGTTAATTTTTATTCCACGCACATTAGGTAAATGTAAAATTAATTGCAACTACATTTTTATTGAACAAACATTTGAAAAAAATTTCAGTATTGTATCTAACATTACTTGGAAAACAAATTATTCCTAGATTGTTTAATTTGTTGGTATTATAAACCTAACATTACAACAACAGAACCAAATAGTTGGGTGTCCCATCATATTTAGTAATTATTTTTAAATATTGCATTATTTTTAAGCATCTTAAAATGTAATTTTCATTAAGTCCAAAGGACATACAACCAAACTATATTTTAAAAGCTAATTTTATTAATTTAATATAGATTCATTTATAGATGTTTTATATCAACAACTAGCTGTACCCGCGGGCTTTGCCCCGCTTAACTTCATAAGTATTCGCATGGCTCAATCACGTCCTGGTTGAAGTTCGTTCGCTACGCTCACTCACCTTCAGGTTGGAAATCGTTCGCTGCGCTCACTTTTTTTCAGGTTAGCTCGTTCTCTACGCTTACTCGCCTCCAGGTTGATGTTCGTTCGCTACGCTCACTCACCTTTTGGTTCCAAAATTAGCTGTTGTCATAAATTTAAAAAGTCATCCCTTTTATTGTTCATAATACAGTACTTTTATAAAGGTTTTTATGTTTTAATATTTAACATTGGAGAATTTAAACGTTGTTAAGTGCACAGGTGTGCTGCGATTGGGGTTTAATACATTTGGACTTATTCAAAAGTAAAATAGTTTTCTGTGCTGCAATCTGTAGAAACACTGTGGCACTATTTCAAATCATGACTAATGCTAATACAGAATGTTGTAGTTATTCAAACGTACAAAACAGTTGGTGAAAGTAAACATCTGCTTTTAAATTATATTTATTTGTAAACATTCTAGATCAAAAAGTCTGACATTGGCCCACTTAAAACCCTCTGGGGCAGAGCCCTTTTGACGGATCTGCACCAAACTTCACTCGAACCATCCTTGAAAGATGCTTAATAATGCCTGAAAGTTTCATTACAATCTGTCGAGCGGTTTTGGAGTCCATAACGTATATACACATATATATACATACATACATAGTTCCTCTTTTATAGATATATATTAAGACCAATAAAACCAATAAAACCAATAAAACACCAATAAAACTGCAAAAAGATTATTTAAAAATACTTTTTGTGTTACAGAGCCTAGCCTACTGAAATTGGAGTTTATTGCCTTTCTTTACTTTTAATGTTAAAAACAACATTGCTATAGATTTTAAAGTGATAAATTACTTATTCTACGAATAACACTTTTCAATGTCAAGAAATCGTCATTTATTGTCATTATGCATAGGGCAAATTGTGCTTCAACCTAGTTGGTAGAGAAAACAGTGTTCAGCAACTTATCCTGAAATCGGATTTTTTAATTTAAATATGATGAAATTTGTAAAGTAAAAATAACATGTAGGCCTACTTGGCTATGTAACAAGTTGGCTATAGTAGGCTTGTCCTTGCAAGGACTAAACAGATATATTCATAATAATTGAACTTGGTATTCGTCTTAAACCATAGCCTCAGTCCTATACAAGAGCTGTTAGCAGGAGCAAACTATGCTATTTTTTTTTAATGTAAGTTTCATGTTATATGGAGATTTTTTCATTACAATTATCATGTAGTCTAGGCATATCTTAAATCTCATCAGGTAATTTCCTCTTTGCTAATTTAGTAAACCTTTGAAAAATCTTCGTAATCTAACCAAGGAAGGGCTTGTGATGATAAACCACAATCAACAGCTGAAGCAAAAGGTTGATAGACCATCTTTCTCATTATTTCAAGGTGTGTTGGTTTCCATTAAACCCCAAGTTGAAGCATTATCGATATAATAAAGAAACTAAATTGATTACTAATTCCCCTGTCCTGTCAATCACTTGCAAGCATTCAATTCAATAGCTTCTCTTGTCACCGGTACCGTTTAAACGTCGTCTGCATCTAGCGATTTTATTTTATCTGACAGTAATCATAGAGTAGTAAATTAAGGAAATGAGAGCCAAAAATGTGGATAACACTCATTTAATGGCCTCTATGTCCACACAACGTTGTAATAGGGAATAAAGCGGCTGCAACCAGCTGTTTGAAGCCAAGAAAGTAGGCCTAATCTTTTTGAAAATCTCAGTTTGAAAGAGGTTGTTTCACGTAAGGTTGAGGTTATGATAAAAATCACTATCTCAAACAAATGTTAATGTAGCGAGAAAAGTAGCTAAAATTCCGCTACAACTACTTTAAAAATGTAGCTAGCTACAGCTAAAGCTACAAAATATTAAAAGTAGCGTAGCTACAGCTAACGCTACAAAAAAAGTAGCGCGCTACTGTAGCGTCGCTACTTGTAGCGCGCTACTTCCCAACACTGATCATATGGTATTACATTTAATTACTTTTTTGTCATACTGCAGCAAAAAACAGCCGTTTTTAAAGCATGCGTTATGGGTCTAAAGTAGGTCGTTTAGTCTCTAGGGAGTAAAAATAATTTTTATTCCCGAGAGAGTAAAAAGCATTTAAACACAGTTGTAAACTTTGATTGTAAGCAATCGCATGTAAAAGTATGTATCGCTAGTATTAACTGGTTGTAGCTTATAATTGCATTCTTTTTAACAGTTCAACTCATCAATGTTCAACATATAATATACACTAACACAATCGTAATAGTCAAAATGCATATCAATGCATTTAATACAAAGACAGTGTACAGTTGGATTTTTTAGCTAGTAAGCTTGCCGAACTCTACCCTTTTTCAACTCAATTCATAACAAATTACTTATAAATTGTCTGTGACACTTTCTGTTTCACTGTTCTCCATGGACATGAATTGAGTGTTGTGTTTCGTGTCTGAAAGCTAAATAACAATGTTGACAGACAGTAAGTGAGCAGTTGTTCCACTGCCAGACTAAGCCGTTTGTCTCACTGCACCCTCTGAGCATGTTTGGCAACAACTCCTCTGTTCTACAACTGGAGGATGGTGATATTGTGCCAGGACCAGGGAAACACCCTCTCAGTCACCGACATCAGCTACTCTGTTACATGTAAAGTACAGTAGAACCTCGATTATCTGGGATAATGGGGGGAGGGAGACCACAGATAACTGAAAACCACGGTTAATCCAACATGACATAAAACAGTTATTACTAACCCATAAACAACTCCTAATATTGTATAAATTGATGTTAATGTGATAATTTGCTTATTACATAATCAAAATATAATTAGTAGGCTATTGGGCAATCATGATAATGTGTTAAGTCATTAATCTTGGGTTCAGTAGTAAAAACTGTAACGTTTAAAATCACATATTTCTCAAACTTATACTCAAACAACAAAATTGTCAAACACTGTACAGCAAAATAAAGTACAGAACAATAGAAAGAAACAATAGTAAGCTGCTACTGCTAGTAATAGGCTATTGCTACGCTGTAACATAAAAAAAATTAAAATAATCGTAGCCTACTTAGAGATGATAACAAAAGTTGTAAAATACACGATGAAGATAACAATGACATGAAAACATTTATTCTTTCTCTTTGTTCTTCTATTCCTTCTTGAGTTTCTCTTCATCCACACATTCAACAAGTTGCCATGGTTAGTAATCACCCAATCACAGGCTACTAAATTGTCATGGCTACCAAATACCCAATCACAAACTGTTGTGACATAGCAAGCGCACAGCAGACAGATGATTGTCAGTGCAAGCGGAAATCTTGACCTTGAAGCTATGCTTGACATTTCTTTGTTTTGCTTCCATTTTACTTTTCTCAAAAGGGCAGAAATGGTTAAATATACTAAACACATAGTCTCAACACAGACTAACGAAACACAATTTATAGGTATAGGTCTTTTTCTTGGACAATGAGCTTATGATACGTCATTTTAGAGCCATCTATTGACCAAGGTTGATCCGCCCCCGGTTATCTTTGTCTATGGATAGAAGAACTAGACACTCCATTCCCATGTTAAGCTTATCGCTAGTTTTATAATCAAAATGGACAAAGTTGAATAGAGCCACTGACACAGTGCACTATTGTAAATTACTGATTTCTTACAATTACAACAATTTTTCAACACAAATAATCTACCTCCATATCTTCTGTTCCTCAGCATCTTCTTCACTAAATCTCATCTTGATATTCAGGGAGCTCAGTTGTTCTTTATTTACTACTATAATTTAATATATCAGCAGCCCTACTACGTGACCACCTAAATTAAAACTCATCTTGTATTTATGCACTCAGTCTTTTCACCTCTTCTTAGGTCGTCCTAGAGGTTTTTCCTTCCAGATTTCCACCCCACACATCCTTTACAAAAGCCCTAGCAGTTCGTCCAATCACCAAATCACTGGATTATAATCCGCTAGGTGTACCGCACAACATCACCTCAAGGTCCAAGTGAAGAACAAAGTATTGTAAATGTGTTTCAATGCAACTGAGAACTCCCACTCAGAGGGATACATTATAATTTTGGATTGTGTTACCTATAGAATTGGTTATTATTTGAGTTTATTTCAGTTGCATTGCAGGTAAGTTTGTAAATTGTCATTTTTTGTTGTGTAGGTCTTTGCTTGAGACTACAAAGGCTTTTCTGGTGAACACCCTGAGGATGCCAGCCGTCCAGACTCTGCTTATCTTCTGTCACGATCTTTACACCAACATTGATTTGACAAGGTCAGTAATACTCAGCTCATAATTAGTACAACAATTTTATTATTTTAAATCACAAAAGCTCTCTAAGCATCATTGAACAGTTTTACTTCAACAATTAAAACAATGGGATGATTTTTCAATTTTGTATATCCTAGTCCCTATTAAAAATAATGTCTTCCAAATTTTTATTAATTCTGACTTTAAAAACTTTATTATAAAACAAAAAAGCTTTTTGAATTTTCTTAAATTCAGTGATAATCAACCGTCTCGAGTTAAGACTTAGGTGGTACAAGATGAGATGGTTTTGTTGTCTCATTGCTACAGTTATCTCTGGCTTTCCCCTAAGACAAGTTACATTATAACCTATTTAACTGCCTTTAAATAACCACAAAAACCAGTATGTTTTTGGGAAAGTGTAGTTGAGTCTGAAATATCAGTTAGGTCTCCGACAAGCTCCCGTCTCAGCAGAGAGAGCTATTTCAAATCTGACAGTAGCATTGTGTTATTTAATTCCCCTATCACTACTTAAGCACACATCTATGTGGGATACTCAACTACTCAGTATCGTGGTAGAAGCTTTGGAATTGTGAAAAGGAAAATTGACTTTTGACTTTTGTTTTTGATGTGTTGTTTTTTTTTTGTTTGCCAAGCATGAACAAACAATGTTCTTCAATTATAGCAGGTGTACACAAAATAAGTAAACAACAACTTGGCTCAAAAATGACTGTGAAGTTTTCCTAACTTAGAAAGAGTGACATACACCATAAGAAAGATACTAAATCTCAAGTTTTTTCCTATATACTACAAGTGTTCAATATGTGAACCACAGCTTGGTTTGCAGACATCTATTTCCTGACCAAACGTTTTAAAGAGTGGCCTCATCAACAATTTGCACTACAGCTGTAAAGCGATGGTTAAATCCCAAGAGATTTATCAGCAAAGAAGGTACAAAAACTGTGTCTTTGACATTACCCCACAAGCAAATCATGCCCACGTTAAGATGAAGATCCATACCCACCCTCTGCGTTGATATCTCAAAGTGTTTAAAGTTGAACTCAAGCTGATCATTAGGACGTTGCTGGTCTCCCGGAGCTCTTTCCTTTTCCTAAGTAACCTGTGGCCTTGAACTTCCGATGCCAGTCGTAGATTGACTTTCTATTCGGAGGGACTCTATGATAACTCTTCCAAAAACGATGTTAAACATTGGTAGCAGATCGAGTTCTTTCAAACTCCAGCACACAAGAAGACTTTTCTTTAAGCGTATCGACCATTTTTAACTAAATCAATAAATAACGATTTCTCAAAATTATTGGCAATGTTAACAACAGACAGCTGTGTGGAGAAAAACCCAGTGGTACCAATAGCTATGTCAAAACGTAGATTGTGTTAAATTGATGTACAAAGTTGTTACTTCTTTTATGTACACCTGGTTTTTTGTGGTTTTTAAGGTTTTTAACTAGGTAAAAACTTAAATATAAACAACAAACAATAATCATAACATGTGTTGGCAAATTAAATGAAAAACATTAATCCAGCTGTCTCTACACTTTCCCTTCTCTAAATTTGTTTTCATTTATTTTCCCTGTTCATATGTTTGGAATCTAAAAAGAGTTGGTGGGAGCTAAAAATACTCTATTCCTTCTAGGCCTATACAATTTCCCATCGATGTTGACCATATAATCTCTAGTGTTGGAATTTGTTCCAACCACTAGTCCATATCGCTTAAAGTTAGACACCCATGACCAAAACTCACTCGCTCTTTATTTGGGTAGCTCTCTTACACAGTGTCTTTTGTCGCAGTTTCGCTTCTGTTTTTCTTTTACTGAGGAGTTTATTGCCTATTGTTTAAGTCTGGCCACTTTGGCTCCAATGTTTTGTCCAAAGTAGGAACAGTGCTTCTGATTTTCCTACCAAAAAGAAGCTCAGCTGGACTGTAACTTAGTGGTAGAACAATATGCTAATAGGCTCTCATAAGGATCTTGATTTTTCTTTAGAATGTTTTTAGCAATTTTAACTACTTGCTCTGCCTGTCCATTGCTTTGTGGAAACATCAGGCTGGAAGTAATCAGTTCAAAGTGGCATTCCTTAGCAAACTCCCTGATCTCTCTTGAATAGAATGGGCTGTTGAAGGGGCATTGGTTTTGTTCACTTAGACCAATTCTATGTACTTGGAAAAATAGTCTTGAATGACTAGATAAGCTTTTCTTTCGTGCTGAAGCAGATCAGCTCCCAATACTTGCCACGGTCAATCAGGCAAAAGTGAAGGGAGGAGCTCACAAGAAATATGTGAATTTTAATGCAAATAAGGCATCCCTCATCCCTCCACCTTTTGTTTGATATCATTAGTTACTCCCGGCCACCAGACGGCATCACGAGTTCTTGAAATACACCTGTTAACACCTTGATGTCCAGTGTGAATGATGTTCAGAACATCTGCTCTGATTTTACTAGGAACAAATAATCTCCTGCCATGGAGAATCAAGTTGTTATGAAGCACCAAATCACCTCTGTCTTTAAAAAATGCATTTTTCTTCAATTTCGTCCAATCACCAAATTGAATCGCATCTTTCAATACCCCACACAAGGTATCCTCAGCTTGGACACTCTTTATTGTTGCCAATCGCCTGTCAGTGACAGAAATGGATGACATTACTTGAAAAACGTGAATTTCCATTTCGTTTAGGATATCTCCAGTGTTGTCTTCATCCCTCAGAGCCATCGGGTTCCTTGATAAAATATCAGGAATAAAGACGTCTTTGTCTTTTTCGTGATGGATATCAAAGCGAAAGGTAGCAACTTCGTTTGAAACCTTTGAAGGCGGGCAAGAAGACTGTTGATGGGCTTATCACCAAGAATTTGGACAAGCGGTAAGTAATCAAATCAAAAGACTTTCACCCTGACACAAATTGAGAAAGTCGTTCGCAAGCCCATGTTAAACCCAGAGCCTCTTTTCTATTTGAGCGTATCTCTGTTCAACTCCACTGAGACCTTGAGAAATGAATTTAACTGGCCGCCCAATTGAAATACACTTTACATACGTTTGAAATACACTGCCAACTGTAGAGTTTCAAAATGGAGAAAAGGTGCACGGTGTGAACAAATTTGTGTGAGTTGTGAAGGTAGTTTTAGAGAAGGCTGTTACCATTTGCCTGACGTTGTCGGCTTCAGTTGTTCATCAGTTTCAGACAAGGTAGTGACAAGATTTAACCCTCCGATTGTTAAGCGTTGCGTAATCGACGCACAACACACCTGCCGTGGTGTTATGCGTCGCTTTTGTGACACACAAACATCGTTTACGGCGAAGGCTCTGGAACTGACTGAATCAGATTGAACTCGATCGAGATTGGTATCGCTATTTTCGGCATATTCTAAGCTTTCTCCTGATGTCTGTTTATAGACACTTTTCATATTAGTTCCAAAAATATTGTAGCAGACAGCTGACGTGCGTATTTGTAAACAACTTGGTTAACCTCGCACCGATGACTGATGTGTTTTATTACGTTTAACACTGTTTTAGTGTTAAAAATAAAAAGTAGTTATATACGTGGTGCATTATAAGAAGAATAAAGTGATTTTGAAGGGCTGGTTGATGATCCTGAAGAAGTAGGTAGTGATATTATGTAAATTATCCGCCAGATTCTTAGCTATGGTTAGGCTATGCATTCTTAGCTATTATTATATTTTTGTAATCCTTATAAAATTAAGATCAAAGTGGCTATTTTAAAATATTTGTAGACCTATAAATTATAAAAACTTATTGAGCGCAAACATACATTTTTTTCATTTTTTAAATATTTTTTGACAAATGTTAACCACACAAAAATTGCTGAAAATTTTTTTTGTAAGGTTTTGTACATTACATTGAAGCCCATAATTTTCCAAACAAAATTATATTCAAAGAAAATTATATATAAAACAGTATACTTTAGAGTGTTTTTAAGTTTCTATACATTTTAAAAAAAAAACCCTGTGATTGCGCAATAAATGGGCCCACATTAATACCATTACTACGGACACTTGGAGGGTTAAGGAAATCTTTTATGGATTGACATGTGAAAATATTGTGTCAAATATTTTTACAGGATAAATATTTAATTTACAATTTTACTAATTAGTATGTTGGTGTTGTGTGGCCAGAGTGGTGTGTGACAACTGGCTGGAGGTGAGGTTCCCAGCCCCAGATGTGGCTCAGGCCTTAGTAAAGAGAGTAGTGCGGGCAAGGACGCACTGGGACAACCTACTCAACATGCGGTTCAAAGGTATTCATCATCCATCCTATCTAAGCAGTTAATGTTTAACTGTGCATAAAACAAGTCAAACCCTGTGTAGTTTTGTTCAAGTAGAGGCTCTAGGCCAGGATTTATAATTGTAGAATAAGGAGGATAGCAGCTAGCTTGCCTTGAAAAGGTGTAGGTAGGCAGAACACACAACAGAAGATAAATTGAACACACAATATTTCGTCCCCTGGAGGACTTTGTATGGAAGACTTTCCCAAATTGGGATTTCAGTTTCTAAGTTAATGATATTTCCAGCCTACTCTACCTTTTAGTTTGATATTTATCTTTGAGTACTTTGTATTGTTTTGGGTATTATTAAATTTGGGTTTTGTAAGCGAGTGCTGAGTTTTATTCCTGAGCTACGCACCCAGTACCTCTCGATATTTTCAAAAATATCCAGGGTCGTCTCCTTTAAATAAATGGGGAAATAGGTTTTCTTTTTCCTATCGTCCCAATTGTTAACGGTCGCTGCCCTTTCGTATTAAAAAAAAGGATACAATGGACTCTGACTGAGTCCCTGAATAATTCCCTGGATGAAAAAATGGGAGCTTATTCTGTGCTACCGCCATTTCCACAGGTTCTTCTTCTTCTTCTCCCTGACTATCGATTGAAATAGATGACAAACTAAAATCATCTACGTCCTCATAATCATAAACATTTTTGTAGAAATTTTCCGTTTACTCTATACTATTACCAAATCTCTCTTGAATCAAACTAGCCCTCCTATTCCACCTCGCAATATCCTCATAAAACTGTCAAAATTGATTATTCTGTCCCTCTTGGGTCACTAATCTAATTAACCTACTGTAAGGCTAGATCTCAAAAATTCCAAATCTGCTCCTTTCAAAATATTTAATTTAAATTTAATTGCTTGTCCTTATCCCTTTTTAAATTTTTAATATCTGACAAACTTAGATCCATGCTTAAAAACTAACTTTTACATTTTCATAAACCTACGCACTAAACCTATTGCTAAACAGCTAAAATCACACAAGTGTGATAGCAGAACGCTGTGTTAACATGAATTGTTTAAACATTGCCTCAAAGTATGTATTGCTAGACACAATTAGACTAGATTGCTTAATCCCTACTGAACAAAGTACAGTGCAACCTATGTAGCAATACTGCTAACTATGCCGAGCTAGCACAACAAACCTAGCATGTCCTAACAGCAACCCAACTCGCTCTTTATCGTTAATAAAAAAATGTATTTACAAACAAAAGGGAGCCAAAATTAAAATTACCAATTCTACTTTAGCGCTTTCAGTCACCCACTAAACTACACAAAGTATTACACATACTTGGGGAATAACGAATAGAAATTCTAACAAATAGCAATATGACTAACTAATAACTTCTATCAGTTACTTTTCACGAGAAACTAATAACTTCTAACTAGTTAGAATTTTTAACTAACTTTCCCAACTATGCGGAAGCCTCTCAAATTCGGGTTATTTATTTCACGTGATCAGTGAGGGTGGCGTGCAGCCGTGAGAGGTCAGCGCCCTTGTAAACAAACAACGTGGGGGGTGGGGAAAGAGAAAGTCAAAGTCCAGTTGCTTTGGAATACAGTGTGCCTGTGGAAGGGCAGTGACGGCCAACACCCCAAGCACTGAGGGGTGGGAAGGGGGAATGTCGGTTTGGTGATTGATATATCATCTCAAGTGTCAAAACATTGTCTTCAGTTGATGTTCATTATCTGACAAGTTTTAAGTCATTTGTTTCTGTTGTAGTAATGTAAAATGTGACAATGTTTGATTAAAACACAAGTACCAGGGGACCGAGCTTGCTCGAGGTGTTTGATTTGTTCAAGAGGTAAAAAATAAAGCTTATAAGCCTACAAATATTTTTAGTCTTACTAAGATGAATTAAGTTGTAAAGTCAATTCGTTTTCGTTAGACATCCACTCATCCTTAATTTACCTTACAAACTTTTTCATGTGGACGAGCAATCTAAAAAATGCCTACAATAAGCATCAATCAATATAAAACTCATGATACATAACATCTGTTATCGGTAGACCGTTATTGCATTAAGTCACTGGTATCGCGGAATCAATTCGTGCGGCGCATCGTCGAAAACTACAAAACGTCCTTGGCCTTTCCTTTAGATTTTTAGTTCAATATCAGTGATTAATGTTTTGCGGTAAAACACTTAATGTTTTTGAACAGTCGTAATTATCCCTTTGGTTAGTAATACATCATACAATTCAAATGTATTATAAAAGCAATTCTCAATAGCATTGCAATTAGAGGAAATCGTAGAAGCCATTTTTTAATCATTGTGCACAAACTTTACTCATATTATAGTATAGATTAGTAACCAAGATGTGTCATTACGAAATCCTTTAAAACAGCCACCCAACAAACAGCTAAATTCTACAAAAACTAACTTTATTTTTTTATCAGTTAGTTTTTAAACTATTTAATAACTTCTATCAGTTACATTTTACGGGACTAACTAATAACTTCCAACTAGTTAGAATTTTTTACTAACTTTCACAACTTTAACTATGAAGTGTTAAGCTGTTAAGGAACACCAATCTAGGGGAATGCTACTGTAGTATAATTATGTTTACACCTACGACAAATTTAATTCTCTCCAACATTGAGTTTGTCAATTTTGTTACTATAATTATATATTACAGATGAAGACTGTGGCAGCCTAGAGAAGGAATTGACAGAGGATTTGGTTCACCTGATGAATAGTCAGGTGGTGTACAGCATGCGTCGTCTGTTAGCAGCTGATCTCAAACAGCTGTTTGTGGGTGTGGGTCACAACACTGCATCAGGTTCCAACCCCCTCAGTCCTGGAGAAGAAGTCACCAACCACCCTAAGTTGGGTGGAGTTGTTCTAACTCCGTATCTCACATACAACTGGTTAGTAATTGTATATCTCGTTATGGAAGGGGGGGCAAGGGGTATAAAAAAAGCTACAGCTGAGCGGCAGGTTGGGTGTCATAGCTTATAATGGCATACCTTATAATTGAGAATTTGTTCCATAATTTGTAATCGTAAAAATGTGGCATAGCTTATAATGGAAATAGAAATTTGTTCATAACTTATAACCATAGAAATGTGGCAAAGCCTATAACAGTTTTTATAAATGTGGCAAAACTTATATACTTCAAATAAAGCTGTCTGTTCGTTGTCAGGACAGAATTCCATCGGAGAAGACAGAACCATTACTGAGGATCGGTTTAACACATTGAACCCTATGGGCGCTAACAGGGCTTATAAGCATATAAAGGGGGGGAAAAGTCTCGAGGCAGTTGAATACTTCAAAAAGTAATAAAGAAATAGCTTCGAAACTTTGTACACAGTTACTGAGCATTGAAATACACACACACATTATTAAGTGATGCTACCTCTTCAGGGGGATGGCCACTATAGGGGTCAGAAGAAATTTTAAATGTAAGCATAAGTTGATAAGCAAATGCAATTAAAGGTGAATACTTTACTAGTAGAATACAATGCCGCAAACCCGAAATCAAAGGGACAACTGAGTAAAAAATGGTAGCCGTTAAAAGATTTCTTGAATCTGCTATTTTGAATCTTTGAACGGGTGCCATTTTTTACTTAGTTGTTCTTTTGAGCTAAAATTTACGGCATTGTAATCTACTAATAAAGTCCTTTAATACGTTCAGTGCTGACTACATCAATTGATGTAGTTGCGCCACGAGCACTCCTACCGGCCTACATCAATTGATGTAGTTGCGCAACCCCCACTACGTTAGTTCAGTATGTTTTTCTAGGCAATTTGCTAACATTTAATATTTAACTTGAACTTGTTGTATTTGAGTTCGTTATAAACTACAAGTAGCAGAGTGGAAATTTCTAGTTTTCAGAATGTTCTACATCAGCAATTTTAACTAGGGGTTTTCATGAAGACTGATTAAAAGGTTGTTTTCAGCTTGGTTGATGATTTCATGTTGGAAACTTGGACCTGTGACAAGTGTGAGCTTACAGCAGCTCTTAGCTTCCTAGAGAAAGAGCAGCACTTGATGGAATGTCAACCTACTACTCAGAGTTCTGGTTAGTGAATGTGTTCAAATTTTTGGTTTAATAGACGTTGAGAGTATTGTGTGACAAGTGAGACAAAAGAACAAGTGTTTGCCATTGTAATAAAACCTTAACTTTTCACTTACGTATATGTAAGCACAAGCCAATAAAAACTTCTAAGGAAATCACCGGCATGGGGTTCAACCTTGGAGGAAAATTTAGAACTAATATGGTTGTAAAATGCAAGAAAATACCAGTAGGGGTGTGTTATAATAGGACTAAAAGTGATTGATAATTGGGTTGATCCCAGGGTAGATCAACAGTTGAATACATTTTTGGTTTCCGGTTCTGGTGGAAATAGGCTACTAACTTACTGACTTGAAACTTTATGTAAATACGTGATTTCCCTGGACAGTAAAGTATAAACTTAGGCCATTTATTTTAATGAGCCTAGGTTTATGATTTAGTGTCCAGGGAAATCGCATATTCACACTTTAGGTACCAATACTTTTACTATTTTGACACAAACTCTCACCATGGCTGATACTTAAACTCAGTTTAACTTACTCATAATATATGAGATGAGCATGACGCCATCTAATGCTATTACAGCAATTGATTGGCTTTTAGAGATTTGTCATTGGATCCAAATCTTAAGCAATTACCATTTGCAGAAAAAGTGGTGTTATTCTCAGGGGATTTTCGACAAACTTTACCTTTGGTACCTCATGCAGGACGTACTGTCATAGTTGAGAATTGTCTAAAAAATAACCCATTGTGGCCCTGCATAAAAAAGTGAAACTTACAAAGAATATGGGTGTATATGATGGGGAAAAGGTTTTTGCCAACTTTTGATGACATAATAAATAATGATGTTTTATCCACCATTCAAGGCGAAACTAAGGTTTACGATAGTGTTGACACATTGCTGGCCGACAACATGGATGCACAACTGGAATGTTCAACGAAATTACTCAACAGTGTTGAGATTAGTGGCCTCCCAAGACACCATCTTTGTTTGAAAATTGGTGCAGTCGTTTTGTTGAATACTGCAAAAGGCTTAATAAATGACACACACCTACAGTTAGCTAGATTACACAAAAACATTGTAGAATGCAAGCTTCTAACAGGAACCAATGAGGGAGAACAACATAAATATTCATTCCCAGAATCAAAATGTGTCCATCAGAGACAAATCTACCATTTAAGATGCAAAGATTGCAATTTCCTCTCCTGTTAGCATTTGCTATGACAATTAATAAGGCACAGGGCCAATCGCTAACCAAATCTGCAATTTACCTACCTAAGCCTGTATTCACTCATGGCCAGCTTTATGTTGCCCTTAGTAGGTCTAGGTCATTCAATGGCACTAAAGTTTTCATCGACGAAACCGGTAACTCCGGGGGGGTATTTCCAGATGGATGTTTTTCCACATCTAACGTACGTGGTGTTCGAAGAAGTGCTACTTGACTGACAACATTTTTGTTCAATTAAAGTTGTTATTCTCCTTTTTTTAATAATTTTGCGGCGCATATAGCCGCATGGTTGCACTACTTTATTGTATTATTTGTGGCAGGGCTTGAGTTAAAAGGTTTCAATATCAGTAACTTTATTATTGTTAACATGTTTACAAAGGCTATTTCTATTTTACATGTTATCCTACCTTTATAGGCTTATCGAACCTTGCCACTGCCAACATAAATACATTTATGTTATTTATTTATAACCAGTTAGGCAGTTATAGATTTTCTCACTTATGCCGATACAATATACCTCCAGTATTATTTGTTCTTTTATTTACTGTAGTGGCTGACCATGAAATCCATACTATTTATATGTTTCAGAAAACAAAGAAGTTGAAGAGTTTTCAGCTCCCAAACCCAACAGTATTCCGTACAACTGTCCGGAGTGTGATAGAACCTTGCATCTCACCCCAGTAGAAGTGTTGAAGCACAAACGTTCTCATGTTAAATCTTAACATCACATTGTATAGATGGATAAGTTACAGTGTGGCCTGTTTTATTGTCTTAATGACAAGTTAGTTCATTGTCTAACTATCCTGTCTACAACTGTGGTATATTGATTACCAGATAGACTTTAATTTTAAAAATTCTATCAAATTCTAACTTTTAGATTATTAACTAAATATAAAAAAAAATAAATAAAATTGTTGTACGGTGGCTTCATAGTAGCCCAATTGAGTACCAGAGTGTCTTTAATACTTTTTTCGTTTTAATAAGATTTGATTTTGTTCCATTTTAATTTTCTTGTATAAATTGTAAAAAACACTTTTCCTCCAATTATTGATTTTATTTTTTTGTGTTCTTTAGTTTTGTCTCAGACCATGCAAGCCATAAACAAACAGTAAGAATTTAAAAAAGTTCTAGTAAAGTTTTTATGTAAAAAGAGTATGTACATAGTTTTTAACTCACCGTGTATATACATATTTACATTAAATAAACTTGTATATAACAATAAAATAGTGTTGTTAAAAAGTTTCAAAGAGTAAAATTAATTCAGTTTACCTGTGTAATAGGTAAAGTATTCTTTTATGACAAAATTGTTAAGAGAAGGGTGAAGGCACCGATTAAGCTTGAGTTTCCTCTTGTATCAGACACAGAAAATTTGGCTATTAAATGTAAAGAATAGTTTAAAAGTCTTGTCGGTATTGTCACCTACTCCCTAATGATAAAACTTAATACTGTACTAATACTCCATATTTGTCATATTGTGTCAAAAATTCAAGGGGTGCCCTTATGGTTGTCCATCAAGTTCTTAGGCACCCACCGAGCAAACACTTTCTTTTAAGCAAGATGATCTGTCACTATCTCATGTAGGAGTGGTGGTGAAATTTGTGGAAAAGTGTCATGTAAAGTCGTCAAAATAAAATATTGATTTATTGATTTACTCAACGGTTTCTTCAACTTTTTGCTTCAGTTCATCTGTGACTAGTCATGGCCTCCCGCACTGATATTCATCATACACGTTAGTCCTTCCTTGGTTAAACATGATACACCACTTTCTTACTGATGACTCATTCATCCCATCTTCACCATAGACAGCTTTATTTTGCCTATAAATTCCAATGGGCTTAACTTTTTGAAAGCTGATTACACTCCGTACTTCACATATGGCAAGATGTTTGATTTGCGCTGCCATTTTTAAAACGCTGAAAAAACAAGTAGAGTGATGGTTGTGTGTGTATGTCTGTTTGTACAGGATAAACTCATAAATTACTAAACGGATTGGACCTAAATTTCACAAATAATAAATATATGATTACAGTACCGAGGATCAGTTTAGAGCTATCCCTGCTTTGATATTGTCTGACTTAAGGCTTTGCCCTCTGGGCTTTCAAAAGTTCTGAGGTGAGGCTTTTAAAAGTAAATATTGATTGGTCTCTATGTCAACAACTCACAATGTTAACATTTTCATGGACATTTAAATGTAAACCAGTAGAACTTTAAAATTCACTTTGTTTTACAATTCCACAGAGCTGATCCAAACAAATTAACTTGCTATTATAACAAGTGATTTTATATTACCGCACCATTGACTGTAAAATAAATTAATGTGTTGAAAATTGTCAGGTTTAAATTTCCATCATAATAAAATGAAATTCCACTGAAACGTAATTGCTAAAACTAGTTGTAAATAAATTGTGAGTTTCCTTTATATTGATTTTAAAATTAAAATAAACTAAACCCACTGTTCTAAATAACTAGGTGGCATTCGCAGAGACAATTGAGTGGAGTCATCAGGGTTCCATATACTGTATATTTTTATTGATCTTCACCATCGAGCTTCATAATTATTTTTTACTTACAATATTAAGTTAAGAGAACATTTGTGTAAAGATAAATATTGATGTAATTAGATTAGCTACACGTTGTTTCGTAATAAAGGGGAGTAAAAAAATACAGAGATGTAATTTTACTAATTTTAGGCATTTTTGGAGACCTGCATTTACATTTTAATTTTAAACCCTCTGAGTTAGTCACCAACTTTGGTTTGGAACTTTTTTTATGTGCTCTTTTTTAAGCTTTCACTGTACTATTTAAGATACTTTTTTTTGTTTTAAGATTTACTATTGTATAATTTATTATTTATTTTTTGTTTAAAAGTTGTTGATTTGAATTACAATCCAATTCAGTCTTAGCATTATTAATAAACTTCAATAAATCCTCTCAAATAAAATTTACAACAACTATAGAATTTCGTAATAGTCATTAGAAAATCTTCAACGTTCAATTGAAAGAAGAATGGATAGAGAAATTGAAACAATGTATAAATAGAAAATCCTGTTCAAAGTTTAATTAATTGTGGACTTTTGAACTCTACACTAATTAAGTACTAAGATGTAATCAGCATGTAATTGAACCAGTTTCAATTACAGTATAAATTTTAACTATGCTTATATAAGACACTTCAGTTTGCAAATTTATTAAATCTTATCTTAAACTTTATAGATAAAATGAACTGCTTGGCAGAATATTTGGATAAACTGTATGAGGATTTAGTAGTAAATGTAAAACTTCCCACTCAGCCTGAAAACTTTGCTAAACTACAATAATGTAGAAACAAGTTTGAAGTGTCTTTGTTTAATCTGGAATTTAAAAATATACAAATAGTTAATAGAGCAATGTATCTTTCTGAAAGCATTGAAAATCATACCATGTTATTTTATTTTGGATTACCTATATTTGAATAAATAAAATTGATTGTTAGACATAAGAAACCATTGAAAATCTCAATCAACCATTACACGTTAAAAGACAATATAAATGAGATATGATTAATTTACTTTATAATAATATCTTTATTGCCGTGAAACAAATATAACAATTACATGGCATCCGTCATAGGCATAACAAATGATAGCAAAACAAATAAATATAACAGCATACAACAATTCAAAATACTCATCACTAAAAAATTACTCAAAACTTATCATTTGATTGATTAAGAATCTCAGAGCAGCCGAACACGCATCTATACTCATTTGTGTTAAAAAAAAACTCACCCACAGTGTAGTATTCCTTATCAATCAGAAATCTTTTTAAAAGCTTTTTAAATTGTTTTTCGTTCCTCTGTTTTCTTATTTTTTCAGGAAGCCTATTCAGGAATCTCACCCCCGTCTGAGGCGGCAAGCTTATGGCTGCTTATACAGAGACATTGCTTTGAATTCATTTTTCCTACACACCATGGTAATAGAAAGGCTATTTTTAGCATCGGGGTTAACAGAATAATTGGTTATCCGAAACGGCTCTCTCCCTTTTATTTCGGTTAACCGGGGTTCTACTGTACAACAATGAACTACTACAAACTCAAAACTCATAAACTAATACAACAGTAATAAATTGAATGGTCAAACATTTGTGAAAAATCCTGAAAAATGCTACAATAGTCGGGGTTACGGCCGACTAGAGCATTGAATGGTCCCCTCAAATCCATCCATCATTGGAGATTTCCATGACTTTCAATAACCAGAATTTTTTTCCATGACTTTCCAGAATGTGGACACCCTGCCTGGCCTTGTATTAGGCTGCATTTAAATTTAGAAAACGTGGCAGCTACCTAGAGAGGCAAGAGTAAGTAGGCCCAGCTCCCTGAAGCCCTACAAGACTCTCACCTGTAGTTTAGCCACTATTCTGAGTGCTCTCTTTTGAAGGCGGAACAACCTTTGGAAGTCCGCTTCTGCACATCCATCCCAGAGTGCAATGCCGTAAGAAAGATGAGGGTAAATAAGGCCAAAGTAGGCCGCTAGCAAAACATTTTCTGGACAACATTTTGAGAGGACTCTTAAGGCAAAACAGCCTGAAGACATTTTCGTACAGACGTCAAGGTGGTTACTCCAAGTGAGCCCTCGGTCAATGGTGATCCAGAAACTTAAAAGAATGAACTTGTTCAATTTGTGAGTCATCAATCATGACTGTTACGGTCTATTACGGTTTATTACCTCTGCTGTGTTTAAGCATTGACTCTTGGATATTGAAGATAGTATATATTTTTGTTTTAGGTTTTATTAAGAGGCAGTGAATAAAGGATGTTAAGACTTTAAATAAGGCAATTTATTTCACCTGAACAGCGTTTCATAAATTAGGTTAACGTCTGAGGGAAAATCATTGCAATATGACAATATTCTAGGGAATTTAAAATACCTAAATACCATACCAGATATTTTGGAAATTTGGCACCTAAGTATCAATTCACAGACGATGTAGGTTTGGTTAACATTACGGTTTAATCATCACTATCAAAACTTTTGTTATCTGACCTCCCTGTAAATGATTGCCCACTATGAGATCACAAGCTATTTCCTAATGGCATCATTTTAAACATCAAAACAGGTGAATTGAGACAGTCTTTAATACAACTGCAGACTGTACTTAGAAAATACACATGGCTTTAGGCCCCTGCTCTTGCACGGCAACCTTTAACTCCAGGCCGCGGCCTGGTAGAATTGGCAACATTGCAAGTAGTGTTGTTTAGTGTCAGACATCCATCTCAACAGAACAATTAGTATATAACACCAGATTAAAAATTAACCTACCTCAGCATAATCTCGAATTGTATACTAAAAAGACATCTTACATAGGGCTAAAATTTCTCCAGTCTATACCAACTCACATCCGTAAAGCAACAAAATTTAATAAATTCAACAGCTCTTAAAAGAATATTTTTTAAGAACTCCCTGCTACTCAGTAACAGAATTCTTTAGTATTAGTAAAAAACAGTTAGGCATAACTTAATTTGAATTCCAAATACTGTAATCCTTAAAGTCATGGTTTTGTTAAAAGTAAAAGTAAAGTAATTTTAGTACTCTTTTTATGTATTTAATTAGCAGTAAGCAATTTTGAATTTAGCTTATGACTCTATTCAAGTTCATGTAATGTGAAACTATAATGAATAAAGAATGTTTTGACTTTGAGAAGTCCCATACGATAACATGGCAGACAGTGACATCAGCTCATTAATTCACATTTTATTGATTTAAATTTATGAACATAAATTTATTAAAATATTTAAAATCAAACATACGGAATTGAAAACCAAAACCATATGCATTGAAAATATATAATCTGTACATTTAAAGTGGATTCAATATTTTCACTGTCCAGTAACCAAGCTTTCGTAAATACACGAATACTATTAGCTGCTTCCAAACTAAACAGCTATAACAACCCTACTTGCGACGTTGCCACTTTGAAGGACGCGGCCTGGAGTTAAAAGCAGCCGTGGCTCTTGTCTATATTTTCCCATGCTGCATACCAACATACATTAGAAACGCATCAAAGTCCATCAAATCCGTGTGTATGAATCTTTACTACCCTTACTTCGTACTGACATAAGTTTGTGTTGATAGCTATGAAACAAAAATAATTGAATTTAATCTATTTGTTACGTAGCTTTTAACAAGTACCTATTTTGTAAGCTTTTGATATTTAAATATAATATTTAACATTTAAAAAAATGGTTTTAGTTATTTTCTTTCTAATTTGACACTTTAGCTCAAATTCAAGATTGTCACAGCAGATTAGGCTGAATAGTAAATAGTTATTTGTGTAACTAGTGAGCAAAGTGGCACTTTGCTGCACACGAGAGCAACGTTTACGCACTCGCCTGCGGCTCGTGCGGAATGATCTCGAGTGCAGCAAAGGCCCCCCTGAGCAGGGAGGATGTTGCACTCGTGTTAAAACACATTATATTTTTCCTACAGTCACTATAAAGCATATAAATAATTAGTCTTTCAAACACTACAACACGTTTTTAGGTTCAGCTTGCAACACAAATAGGTGCCCTAGAGAAAGTAGTCCCCGGTCCGTATCACTCCGCTATTTTTTCCTTGGCAAGCAATGTTCTCCGCGACTTGAGAAAATAGTTCCGTATATTTTTGTGATTTGCAGTGGTTTCCGCGCCTAAAAAAATGCTTTAAAGGTATTTTCTTGTTTATTAAGATCGTAGGAATGTTTTAAAAACATTTAAAAGAAAAGTCCAGAAAGTTCAGAAATCCCGAAAAGAGAACATAAACTATAAACATGAAATGACAGGTTAAATTGTAGTTATAATAGTCAATCAGCTGCTCATAGTAATATTATCTTTAAGTGTTGCCAACCTATTTCCAAGCGTACACGGATTACGTGCATAATAGAACCACGCTGTTTTGTGTTGTTTCGTTGGAATCCTGATGTTCGCCAAAGTATAAACCGTACGACAAAGTATAAATATGCAGCAATTAGCAGCTTTCTGTACTATAAACAGTACAAGGAAGCCAACTTTGTCGGGTGACTGCAAGAAAAACTCTATTGTCTCAAAGGATGTGGTTTGAAAAGTAAACCAAAGAATAAAATAATAAACTGTTTATTGAACAGAAAGTATAAACACACACATGGTTAGGATTACAACCCCAAAATATGAAAAGCTTGAAATAATCATAATGAAACAAGAATGTTTTAAAAAATAGCATAGAAATAAAGTTCAAAACAAATAAAAATGACATGCAAGTAGCTTAACTATTCTAACTTGAATCCACAGTAAGAGTTAGATAACCAATCTGGAAATAAATCATTTTCTGTCAATTAAATAAAATTATTGAATTAAGTTCATTGAAGTTTGGTACTGTACAGTTATTTACAAATATAAAGTGAATTCCTTCTCCCTGTTTACTCAAAATTGATATAAATTAAAAAACCGATAAAAAATGTGAAGTTTTTCCATAATGAAAAAGATAACTCACAACTGGTTTTAGGATTCCCTACCTTACTGACAAAAATAGCCTAGATGAAAATGTGCAAATAAATACATAGCATTTTCATCTTGTGATTGAAATTTTGGTACTTACGTATTGTATCGAACAAACCTAATAATTATGACGTAATTGGATTAGGTTATGAAGATTTTGTTACTTAAACTAATTAAAAACTTATTAGGAAGTCGGTTTATCGGTGTGGTCATCAGGAACTCGGTTTATCGGTGTGGTCAGTATATTACGTAAGTAGGCCTACTAAAATTTTTACCCATTAGTTTTCTGACATATAGGCTATAACATTTTGTGCATTTATTTCTGTCAGAAAGGACAGCCTGTTGTTAAACCTATCCACAAAATCCTTAACAACTCTGGCTTAGGGCCATATTTATTTATAAAACAGTTACCATACCTCACAATAATTTATAAAAATAGCCTAATACCCATTCCAACATTTAGAAAGAGCGTAGGTCTAAAGCAGACATAGCCTAGCTTGGAGTGAAAAAAACATAAAACCTTATTTAGGTAGGGCAATTGATATTTACCTACTTGAGTTATAATTTACAAATTTAACTTCACATACAGAGGTATAAATGCAGTGATTGAAAACAGTTAGGCCATACATGTACTTTATTATACACTTAAGGATGAGATTAAAATAAAAACTATAGGCCTACATTACCAAAACAATAAGTGGCGAATCTCATCTTACTGTAAAGTGTTTATGGAGTAACACGCTTCGGGTCACGGGGGAACATGGATGTCTTACGAATATTATCGAGTCCCAGATACAGCATAACAACTCGTTCTAAGCCAATACCACCTCCAGCATGAGGTGGACATCCATATCGGAATGAATCTATGTAAGCTTTAATTTTTTCAAGGTCAATATTGTGATGAAGAGCTCTTTGAGTCAACATTTCAGGATCGTGAATCCTTTGAGCACCTGACATGATTTCTTCTCCTCTCATAAATATGTCATATGAGTTGGATCTTTTGGAATCTTCAGGGTCGGGCATTGTATAGAAAGGACGCACAGCTAAAGGGTATTTGTCCAAAATGTAGAAATCTGTATTGTACTTAGCTTTGACAAGCCTTCCCAACAGCTTTTCATCAGGTGTACTCAAATCATCTTCATCACCGATGGTTACTCCAGCCTCTCGAAGCATGCTCAGGCCAGTAGAGAAGTCCAAACGGAGAGGAGGGTCGAGAAACTTGAAGGGTTCAACTGCAAACTGCTGAGCAACAGTTTCAATTTCAGTCTTATATTGGTCTCGAAGTCCTTTAAACATTTCAGTGAAGGTATTTCCAATTGTATCTAGAACTTCGTGGTAGTGGTACTTAAATGCCATTTCCAGATCAAGTCCAACGAACTCAGTCAAATGACGGTGAGTGTTACTGTCTTCAGCTCTAAAAACTGCACCAACAGTAAATACCTTGTCAAAGTCAGCAGCAATAGCCATTTGCTTGTACAGTTGAGGGCTCTGTGCAAGATATGCAGATGTCTTAAAATATGATACAGTAAAGACATTTGCTCCACCTTCACTGGCTGCACTAATGATTTTTGGAGTGTGAATCTCAACAAATCCTTTGTTGGTTAAAATATCCCTGAATAGTTTGCAAACACCAGCCTCTAGCCTAAAAATAGCTTGATTGGCTGGTGTTCTTAGATCAAGAACTCTGTTGTCCAGCCTCGTGTCCTGATTGACTCTTATATTAAGGCCTTCTTGGTCATCATCTTTAACCGGTCTTGCCGCATCTTCAATCAGGAGAGGAAGTTGGCTTTTGGCTTCACTTACAACCCACAGCTCATTTACATGTATCTCTACCAGGCTTTGGCTACAAGAATCAATTTTTTTGGGGACGTTGCTCACTTTTCCGACAACATCTACAATTGTTTCTTTATTTATGTTTGAAGCAAATTTAACCATCTGTTTGCTAATGGTTTCAGAAACATTGACAAGGCATTGCACAGTGAACTGTTGTTGACGGAGTACCATAAAACATTGTTTACCTTTTGCTCGGCTGGTGTGAAGCCTTCCTCTAACCAATACTATCTTGTTCTCAATAGAGGGTGTAAGGTCTTTGATATGATAAAATTCTTTGCTTCTCTTCATATCCTCTGCACTACTTCGAATGATTCCAAGCGAACCATATTTACCTTCTGAGACATCCTCTTCTACCTTGTTGATATCTCCTTGTCCTGAAGTTTTCTTTGCTTCCTTCTTGGCTGCTTTTTCTGCATCTTTGGCTGCTTTCTTTAGAGCTTTTTTGGACTTTGGGTCTTCTGTTCCACTCACAGTATCTTCTACTTTACTCTCCACAACCATCTTGGGCAAGAGAATACAATAACCAAGCTATGAATTATGATTACAATACAAGTTAAGGACAAATAGATAAAAGTAACATACGGTAGAGTGTGTAAAATAGCACACTGGGTGATGATGATAAAATTGTTTGAGGTTAAGGTATTGAGGTTAGACTGTTAATAAACTTATGATCTCATGATCTGATGGCTGATCTGATTCTGTTCTGATACGTACGGCTGAGGCTTGGCTGAGGCTAACTGGCCCTGGAATGGAATGGAATGACTGAGTGTCGAGTGAGTAGTGAGGTGCTGGTGGGTGCTGCATGCACAATTTTTATTTCAGGATTAATTTTGCCAGCAGTGTCATTTGGTTGTTTCTGATTGACTATAATGAATGTTTACTAAAAAAAAATAGTTTTGTTCATAAAATAAAATTGTAAAATGCCTCAATTTTATATTTTTTAATTATAAAAAGTAAACTGTCGTAACCTAACCAAACTAGCCAAACTTGATGATAATAAAAAATCGAATGAAGGATTAATCGAAAAAATAGTTTTGTTCGTAAAATAAAACTATAAATGGCTCAAATTCAATTTGATAATGTTTTAATTATAAAATTAAACTGTCATAACCTAACCAAACCAACCAAACTTGCTGATAATGAAGACCACCGAGACCGATATCGTTACACCGTATCGTTGCGGTAATGGTGCTCCCCCCCCCCAGAACACCAATCAGAAGCCTCCAAATGACACTGTTGGCAAAACTAGTCCTGAAATAAAAATTCAGCGTCCTGCCTGATTCAAGTTTTATCTATGGTGAAACAGTGAAGTGTGATTGTGAACCCCAAAAACTCCATTCCATTACGGAGCGTCTGGATGTATTGTGCCGCGCATGTGCGCTAGCAGGAGCGCCTGTTTGTAGAAATGACAATATTGACAATTAAACAGTCCGGTTACTTTTAATGTAATGTAACGGTTGGGAAACGTAACACAAGTTGTGGCTAATAGCTGTTTCTGTTAATTTGGAACGAACCCGTTATGCGGACACTTGGAATTTACCAACTGTGTGCGTATTTCGCAACTATTACTCAAATTTCCCAACTATAATATTCAGATTTCCCAACTAATATTATTACGTTTTTAACAATGTAAAAAGCTACCTTTAAACCCCCTTATAATAGCTGGCATACACAAATAACAAGAAATTAAGGTTTCTCACACTTTGTTACGTTGACTGTAATTGATTTTTTGATAAACACGTACTCAGTTGAATAGTGGATACTCCTCTCCGCCCACAGCTAAGAAAGAAATTTCCATAAAAAAAGTCTTGAATTACTGTTTACTAGATACGTTACGTGTCAACACTTTTTTTTAACATTAATTATTAATTTATACAAGGGTATATGTCGTCTGCTTTGAAAATAAACCTCTGATTCGAACGAACTCTGTTCGTTTAATATGTCACCACTTCGCCTTAAAAGTCTAGAACCTGTAGATCTTTATGCAACTTGGGGATTGAGAATGCACCTGGGGATTGACAATTCCCTGGTCTTCAATTATCAATTATTTAAGATGGGAACGCCACTATGTGCGTATTTTAACCAAAATATGAGTGAAGGATGAGTGTAGGATGAGTGGCGCGATCTTGTAGTCTTGTTAGTGACTAAGGCCGACATGTTCCGACCTTCCTTCAAGGCTAAGGAGAAGAGGAACCTGTATGTATGTATGTATGTATGTATGTATGAAACCGTTGAAATTCATTTTGTTGCAGCTCAGTGTATATTCTTCGAATGAATTGAAAATTATTGTAAAATGGACTGATGTGTTTTATTTGTAAGCAATTTGTTTTACAGTATTTTTGTCGTTGTCATACATTGTAAATGTGTTGCTACAATAAATATTCAAATTCGTTTATTTCGCTACAAATTAACAAAACAATTCCATTGGCTAAGTCAGAAAAAAGTACAAAGGACACTTAAACAACGTTTTTGTACTGTTTTGACTTGAGAGTAACAGCAGATTATTTCATTGATGGTTTGACTCAAATGATTTGACTTATCACTTTTTTTACTTGATAAAAATAACTACCTTGATAACACCATCAATGAAACATAATCCAATAATAATAAGTTACCTAAGTTACATTCCATTCCACTCGGACAGGATCTAATTCATAAGATATGAATATGTACTCTGTTACGTATACATCTTGAACTGATTTTCTTGGCTTCCTCTCTACATAGTACATCCGAAGCTTTTTATTAAGCTGCGCAATTAAAAATAGTTGCCATCTGTATCCACCTGTATGGTGGGCAGATTTTCCCATCCTTGTTAGTCAGTCGTGACGTCACGTTGATTCGATCGATTCGGGAAGTCGATGTAGTTCTAAATATCGTCTATCGATATTTGATCGTTATTCGCGTCGAATTCGTTAACATAACATCATGGTTGATGGTTATGGTTGTAGGTTGTTATTAATGTAGGTTTAGGTTGTTTCTCTACAATCTATGAATATGAAGTATGATTGTGATAGTCACAGTAGAAAACGCTTTTAAACTAAAGTTATAGAACGGTCTGTAAATTAAATTTACCGCTCATATGCAAATCTAATTGTATTATCGGTAATAAGGAGCTTATAACCAAGTTGGACTTGGCTTGTGACCAAGTAAAAGATAAACAAGAACTTGAAGCTATTATAGTATTATACAGGTTATGGCCAAAATCCTGCTTACAAGCACGCCTGCAAACAAATTTGCTATACGTAGATACTTCGGTTTCTTGCAATTTTAATAGAAAATTGGTCGTATGTATTAACAAAGTGTAATTTCGATTCCACTTGATCACCATCATTATTAGCTTCTGTTGCCTCCATTTAAAATCCTCTAATAGGCCTAGGCCTAAGTTAATACTTAAGTCATATAAATATAAAAATGTATAATTTAAGTTAAACTAGGCCTAGGCCTATCCAGAAAACAACTTCTCGTAAGTTAAGTACGGGTATAAATTAAAAATTAAACTAGTGAGTTATATCTGAAAACACGATTAACAACTTTTCTTTCGTTACGCTTGTCGACATTACATGCAATCCAACCAAACAAAAACAAAGAAAGAACCAAAGAACGAGAATCTCTAGAGTCCTGAACCTAACCAAGCAAGATTCGAGAAAGAAGATGGAAGCGTTTCGTTTCAGCGATTCTCAAGTAAAGTAAATTAGGGGTATTCGATATCGACTATTGACTTGTGGAGCTATGCGATACCAGTACGATAACTGCATCGCATCAACGATGACGTCACGACTGACTAACAAGGATGGGAAAATCTGCCCACCTATCAACCTGAGACATGTGATCGCGGTCGCGTCCGCGCGCCATTTATTGGCCAAGGCCTGCCACTCAGTGTTTCCATTCGCGGGATTATTATCCCGAAAACGGGATTTTTAGACCTTGAGCGGGATTAAAACGGGATGCGGGATAAAACGGGATTTTCGGCTGTGACGACTATTTTTATTTTTTTCTATTCAATTTCAGAGAAAAACTAACTGAAATTGTTTAAATACTGTAGCAAAATATAATAGTGATGTTTAAACAACATATAAAATTGATACGTAAAGTTAAATACTAGGAATTGTACCAAAAAAATCATGCGGGATAAAACGGGATTTTTCACCAATTTAAAAGCGGGATAAAACGGGATTTCACGACCCAGTAAGCGGGATTATTATTTTGGTCGTGTGGAAACACTGCTGCCACTGCCACTGCCAGTGTCAAGTGCCAACTCCAACTACGCCGTCTGTTGTGGAATCTACAATACAATTACTGTAATATACAATACGAATACTAACCAAAACCAACCAGGCAAAGGGAGAACGATAACGATAAACGATACAGTAGAGATTCAGCGTCGTGATTCGTGATAGTTACGGCTTGACTGACTGATTGAACGATTGATTGAAGTGAGAACGAGAAGTAAAGTAAACTGCGCTGGGCGGTTCTTCAGTCTTGTCTTCATCTTTATTTCGATTTCGTCTCGTTTGGGCTGGTGGAATCTATGCTGCATCAGTTAACACAAGCAAGATTATTATGTTTTGGAAATAAGTTAGGGACTACGCTTTCAGTAAGTAACCTAGCCTAAATAAAATCTTAAAATTTGTAAACAAATTACTCTTGTCACATTAATGTTTACACCCAAAATTTTGTAACCTTCAACTGTTTGTTTACGAATTGTTACACACAGAGCTAAATGATTTGGATGTTTTACAATTTATCATTGTGTTTAAAATTGTTATGAAAGTTTTGGTTTGGCTGTTCAAATTGAATCTATGTTCTCAAAGCTAGTTCATGTCAAGGTTAAACTAATGAAGTGTAACTTACCTAGCCTAAATTTTTTACCTTGAGGGTTTGTAGCTCCAATTTGCTGGAGTTTGCAGTAATCACTTAAGTTAATGTAAAATTCACTAACTTATACCTAACTTACTGTGTTTAAATGTTTAGTCATTGTAATTTTAATGCAAGACCTTATTAAACATAATACTGTATAGATAACTTAATTAAGTTGGATTGATTTAAATTTTTGCCAATTTAAAGATGCACTGAAATAGCAGCCTAGTTTACACAACAATCACGTAAAGATGGTGTTAACGATACAAGTAGGCCTAGATATTTATGGCGAGTGCCTTAAAAACTTTTCCGAGCGGAGCGTCGTTAAGTCTTAAGACTACAGTAGAGTCCCGCAAACTCGGCACTCGATAACCCGGCAGTCTGGATAACTCAGCCATCACCTGGCTCAGAAAATTATTGATTTTTTGAGTCCGAGTTAAGTTAAACATGGGCTCAAGTCAAAGCATTTGCAACTCGTACCAAGGATTTGTTGTACTATATCTGATGACTTAATACCTACTTGTGAAATAAATGTAAATAAATAAGGCAGCTAAAAGGAATAAAAATTGTATTGTTCTTATTTTTAACCCTAGTTCCCGATAACCCGGCATTTCACAAACTCGGCACCCTTCCAGTCCACATTACGCCGAGTTTGCGGGACTCTACTGTATTTACACAAGTTGCGTAGCCTACACTAACTTGGGCTGCACTTTACTTGACGTCCTACACTCATTCGATTGGTTTTTTTGATTCGATATTTTCATTCGATTCTTTTATTCGATATATCGTTTGGTTAGTTAGGTTAGGTTAACCTTACCTAACTAACCAAATGATATATCGAATGAAGCAATCGATTAACCCTAGGAGTGGCGAGACCGATTTTCAGTATGTGCTTTGTGGAGTGGCACGCTCATTTTGGTGAATTTGTAAGGGAGTTCTTCAAAAATCTGTATAAAATTAGTATGTAGAGATAAACCATTGAACCGTATATTCATTTTGTTCGTAATAGTCAATAGAATTCAAAAATAATAATACAAACCAATTTTAGAAAGGTAGATTTTTAGAAAAAAGTAAAAAAAATAAAATTTATAAATTTATCAAATTTTATTTCAAAAGCAAACACGTGTCACATGTAACGTAATTTTTTATTGCACAATTCAAAATATGCATTTTGTTCAGAATTTATTCTTCTACATAGACATATCATAATTTACACAAAATAATTAGATTTACTAGCAATAATACGGAAAATTGGAATACGTCAAATTCTTCAACTACACGTTGATAGATCCACAAATGCCCCCTACAATCAATATGCTTATATCAATATGATAAAACCATAAATTTTTTTGAAGCCAATAATATCATTCTATATAAGAATAACTAAATAAGATAAGTAATAGAATATTTGGTTTTCACAAAAGCAAAAATGTAAACAAAACAACTGATCAGCTGTTATAGCCCACAAAACTTCACTGACTTTTTATCCTATTTTGGATCACACATGTATAAATATTTATGCAAAATAATGCATAAATATTTCGCCTAATACAAAATAATAAACTAAAACGAACATTACAATGTAAAATTAGGGATAAACCCACACTTCGTCTTTGTTATCGGACAAAAACTCACGACGACGCCGCCATTTTAGGTTAGACGATGACAAGTGTTCTGTTCCTTTAGCTTTGAAAAATCAAAAGCTTCTATTTGTGTGACAAGCCTAACAACATTGAATTCTACTGTCCTGCGTCTACAAGAGAGTATATAAAACAACGTTTTTGTACTTTTCACATTATATATATGCGATTTAGAAATCGACATTTTATGTCGATCCGCCACATGAACAATATGTAAAAATAGGCTATTTACAAAAATTTTTTATCAGCTGTTGGAATGTATTATGACGTTATACTTTATACAGAATAAAAGATTTCTTCATGCTTGATGCAGTGGTACCACTTGCTTTTGTCAGAGACAAAAATTACGTCTGCTATTTATTTTTGAAATGACTCATCATTTACGATTGCGCAACAAAACATGGCGTTCGCGAGTTCGCGCGTATTTTTCGTTTAAATGTAACTCATTATAAGATCGATATATTTATGTTATAAAGGTTCATTCTTATAATAAAATGAAACTACGGAATTTTATCTTTCCATTGGTATAAGGGTTATGACATTTCACCGACTTTAAATGTGCTTGACATGCAACTGAAAAAAACGTTACATAAATCGACATATTCTGTCGCCCGCCACTCCAGCGGCACATACTCCTAGGGTTAATTGATATATCGATCGATATTTTCATTCGAATGAGTGTAGGACGTCAAGTAAAGTGCAGCCCTAACTTGCTTTACCTAGGCCTACAACAGTTTTTTAATTACTAACAATCACTCTTAGCTTCTAAGAGAGGTTATGTTTCCATTTATAACCTCTCATTGCCACTTACAATGATGCAATGACTCGTACACCAACTAACTTACTAATTGCACCGATCATTAACCCTAGCAGTGGCCAACGAATGTAATACGCTCGTTCGCCGTGACGCCTAGAATGGCCACCAGCGTAATACGCTAGTATGGGCCGAAATTTTTTTTACGCTTATAATCAACTCTGATATGAACAATATACCATTCAAAAGATCACATTCTGAACTTTCATTTTATTAACTTATACACTTAAACACTGTAGCAGGTAGGCTATTGTCAGGACGATTAGAAATCAAATGAATTTTTGGCGCGGCACGACTTTAGCAGCTGACACTTGCGAACTGTCAAAACACAACTCGTTTGGCATTACCCTGCTCGGGTATTTTCGTCTTGGAATGTTGCAAGTGGTACCACTGGATAGCCATTGATTTTATCTTCATTGTGGTATTGATTTAGAACGAAATATTGATTGCACAATAGGTCCGATTTTATGAAAACAGCTGTGTTTTAAATTTTTAACAAATGGCCAACCAGCGTAGGTAATACGCTAGAACGGAAAATACGAATGACAAACAGTGTAGGCCTACCGTAAGTTATTATTACTAGTCATATAATATGTAATTTTGAAGAGGAAGAAATGTAGCTTGTGATAGTGGCAGCCCTGCGCTCAGGGTTATTTCCGTTTTCTCTCACTAAGACAACGAAAGTCAAGTCATCACTACTGTCAAGGTCTCATACACAAAGTGCCTTGTATTCGCCATTGCTGTTGCTGCCGGTGAGTTGTCGCTCTAGTTTTATCCGCGATTTATTATTAAATTCGTTATTATTTTGTATTGTTAGGGAAATGTGTGTGTATATAACAGTAATCTTCATTCATTTTACTACGCATGAATATTTACTGAATAGTGGGGAATTGTGTTTATTAAAGTTTGGATTTTTCTTGCGGTTGTATTTTGCGGTTTTCCGTTTATTTATATTATTATGCTCCTAACACGTAAAAAAAAAGTTTTTACCGAACGTGTTATACATTTTTATGTAGGTAGCCTAATTGAATACACTACAAGATGATTATGTTGGTTTGAAATAAAAAAATGTTGTACAAAAGTATTATACTAAATAGGCCTACACTATGAAATTTTTTTTACAAAATCGCTAAAATAAAAAAATATTATTTTATTTATAAATAAAAAACTGTTTTTTCCTACAGTCACCCGACAAAGTTGGTTTCCTTGTACTGTTTATAGTACAGAAAGCTACTAATTGCTGCATATTTATACTTTGCCGTACGGTTTATACTTTGCTGCACATCAGGATTCCAACGAAACAACACAAAACAGCGTGGTTCTATTATGCACGTAATCCGTGTACGCTTGGAAATAGGTTGGCAACACTTAAAGATAATAATAATATGAGCAGCTGATTGACTATTATAACTACGATTTAACCTGTCATTTCGTGTTTATAGTTTCGGTATTTCTCAACTTTCTGGACTTTTCTTTTAAACGTTTTTAAAACATTCCTACGATCTTAATAAACAAGAAAATACCTTTAAAGCATTTTTTTAGGCGCGGAAACCACTTCAAATTACAAAAACATACGGAACTATATTCTCAAAACGCGGAGCACATTTCTTGCCGAGGAAAAATAGCGGAGTGATACGGACCGCGGGTACTACTTTCTCTAGGGCACCATTTGTGTTGCCAGCTGAACCTAAAAACGTGTTTTATAGTGTTTGAAAGACTAATTATTTATATGCTTTATAGTGACTGTAGGAAAAATATAATGTGTAACACGAGTGAAAAAGGCTTTTGCTGCACTCGAGATCATTCCGCACTCGCCTCTTGCTCTCGTGTGCAGCAAAGTGCCACTTTCACCTCTAGTTACACAAATAACTATTACCATAAACTTTTTGACTTTTTTGGATTCCTTACTTTATTAGCTTTACAAACATGTATATATCATTATTAGTATACATGTAATATATTAGAATCAGCTGATAATTTGGTTTCCCGTCCGGAACATCAACAAACATATGCGGATATATCTGTCACCCGTCATTTATCGCCAAAGACTTAGGCGGATATATTCGTTACCCGTCCGCTAAGGGTTAAAAGTTACACAGACATATGACTTAATCCTCCTATGAATACTTTTTCCAGCATACAAACTTTTTTGCACTAACCCATTGGGGAAGGAATTAATGCACTGCCTGCAGCATCCTCTGTTTGCAATTCATTTTATTGAATTTGTATAGACTTTTACTTTTAATTTAAATATGATTTCCTTGCAGGTATTATAGAACTTACAGATAAAAAATGGCCGGAACCACTGAAAGCCAAAGTTTTGTTGCAACACCATCTCCTGTTTTGAGCCAATGGAGAACAACTCAAGATGAAGAGAATGGGAACACGGTTGAAGCTACTATGCTGCCAAACGGAAATTCCCCGCCTAGACCTTCCCTAAAGAAGGCTGAGAGTGTGGAGGTTGTTGATTGTAAGTACGAGTAAAGGGAAAGTCAATTTAAACTTTGATTGTAATTTCTTTGATAATACAGTCCAACCTCAGTATAACGAATCTGAAGGGACCGAACTAAATATTCGTTATATCAAGGATTTCGTTAAAACGAGGTTTGTTATATAGAGGTTATGTTTGCAGGAATTTCGCTAAGTCGAGGTTCAGAACCAGCGTCGGTCAATATAGGTCGGGATTAGACATTCATTAAAACACAATTAAAGTAGCATAGGCTACAATACTTTACAGTACAGTGTTTACATTGTACAGTAGAACCTAAATTATCCGGCATAAAAAAGGGGAGGGATCTTGAATATTGCGCAATCATGAAAATGGCATTGACCTTGGTACAGGTTAAAAAAACTGTAAGTTAAAAATCACAGCTTGTTCTAACCCTCCTAAAACCTAGCCAAACACTTTATTGCGTAGTAATAAACCATGTAAAGAACAAACAAAACAGTAGTAGAAAGTTTTGTAAGCTACTGCTCGCGATAGGCCGGTAGGCTACTTACAGTACAGTACTAATTTATCACAACAGAGGAATGTCAATAATAATCATTAACTATAGCATTGGTGTTGCTAGTTGAAACAAATCGTATTGAAAACAATAAATTATTAGATAAGTCATTATAAAAGTGTATAATCATAGCCAACTTAAAGATACCAGTAATAAAAACACTCGAAAAAGGAATGTTAAAATAACGATGTTGCTATTCTTTCTCTTTGGTTTTTTTTTATATTCTTTCTTAGGTTTCTCTTTATCCAAAAATTGTACAATTCACCATAGTTACTTATCGCCCAATCACAGCTTACTAAACATTACGTCGTCATCAGTCCTTAGTGAATGAAATCAGTTCTCAGTTGCAACATAGCGCGCGCAGCGACAGCAGACAGAGATGTGTAGAACGGAGCAGACGAATGTTAGCGCAAGCGATTACGTCACCTTTCTATTTCATTTGATAAAGAAACAGATTTTTAAAAACAATAATGGGGTGGGGGATTTGTTATATCGAGGGAAAGACGTAGACAATTCGTTATGCAGAGGTTAAATTCGCAATGTAGAGGTTCTGACAATGATAAATTCGCTATATTGAGGTGTCTTATTTTAGCCGAAATCATGAAAATTTCGTTAAATCAAGGTCGTTGTTATGGTTTGTTCGTTATGTAGAGGTAAAATATACATTGTGTCTTATGGAGAGTTCTAGGGGATTTTAAAAAATTTGTTATATCAAGGAATTCGTTGTATCGAGGTTTGTTATATTAAGGTTAGACTGTATAACTCTAACTTATATACATTTTGTGCCACAAATAGAGCAGACTTGAATGATACTTTTGTCTTACATATTATTATTAGGTATGAATTGTCATTGGCATAGTATTTTGGTTCTTAAACCAAAGCATTTTGGTTTATCCGGCCAAATTGTTATGTCCCGTATCCGGCCAGGGGCTTGGTCCTGTGGTGGCTGGATATGAGGGGACAGGAGTTATTGGGTGGGGGAAAACTGTGGTAATTATCTAGGAGATTGTGACCATGGGAACATATTGATTTATGCCTATATTATTATTAGAAATTTCTATGTTGTGCATTGGAATGTTGTGAGATGATCTTTGTAGCTGTGTTACTAGCTAAAGGCATACTCTGCTTGGAGCGACTGTAGCGATAGTTGCACAGCGATTATCGCTCAGCTAATATCGCTGTTGCGGCGTCCGTTTTGCTTAGATCGATTAATTTTCGGTCGCCGCACAATGTTTCATAGATTGTTGAATACCAGCACTCACATTTGTGAAGTTTTGAGTCCATTTTGTAACCTTTTAAAATTATACTCCTCAGTGAGGAGTTAGAAGACGAAGCTCTACTTGACCCTAGTGGATGTATCAATAGACTGATCGATAAAAAATACATAGTGATAATGGTGATACGTAGGATTTGGGACGGATACATATCACTAGACGTCACTAGATAGGATATAAATAGAAAACTGTAGTGATATCAATTAAAAAAATATATAGCCTAATTTATATCAATTAAAAAATTAGTGATATCAATAAGAGTACATGAATGTCAGAAAATAAAACCTGGAATCTAAATAAAAAAGATTTATTCATACAAAAAAAAACTGATACACAGTATTAACACCCACACTACGTAAATAACACAAAGTCAACTTGAAACAGTAAACATTTTATATTTAAATTTGAAAAGATGAGGATTACCAAAAAAAAAATTTAAAAACAACCATTTGAGCAATGACCAATTAATGCAAAGTTTGCTGGAAATAAAGAGTCGCCTGTTTCTTCTACAATTTAATGTAAAAAACAAAATGAATGTGTAAGGAAATATAACCAAAACTGCACAATCAAAATAGCACATGAATAGAAAAATTAATTTGAACAAAAAGTAAACTATGCTTATTTTAACCCCTATTATTAATGTGCCTACTAAGTGAATAGCACTGTTTTGAGGTTCTGCACATGTGTCGCTGCGTATCAGTCGCGGCTTGATTATCGCAAGACTGGTACTCAGGGCAGTGGTCCACGACTGTAGCTAGCAACTCTTGCAACATTGCTCTAAGCAAAACAGGACAACGCATTCTCCGTTAGAAAAGTGCTCAACTACTATCTCTACGCGACTATTGCTGCAATCGCTCCAAGAAAAATAGGCCTTAAGATCAGCTGGTTCATCAGTCAGGATAATTTATTCAAAGCCCAATGATCAGGAACAGCTGGGTCAATCAATCAATCAATCATTCAAATATTCTTTATTCAAGTTTAGACAATATGTCTTCAATAGCGCCATTAAACTAACATAAACAAAAAATTATAAACTAAATAATAAAAAATGTAATTATGTAAAAATAATAATTAGGTCTAGTTTCGAACCATCAAAAAGCTACTGACGTTTGAGGATCGATCCAGCCACCTTTTGATTACTAGGCAGGAGGAGGTAAAAATGCATTTACGCACACTGAGATGCTCAATGGCCTCTCAGTAGTGCTGGACGGCGGGCTCAATGTCCACGGACTACTGGCTAATACAACCCCCTCATCTCGTAGGACACTAGCCTGGAACTGTTTAGCACATTACTTCGGGCTAGGCCGTTTAAACTACGCCTTTTACACTACCGCTTTCCTTTCCTCCTCAGAGCACTCCAAAGTATGGCCTCGATTAACTGCTTTACACAGTTCCAGGTTCTCTCGCCCTGGAGCATAGCTCCAGCAATGTTGTCAGGAGTAATATCGACGGCGATCTCAGAGATCTTGAGGCTCGGCGGACATGCCACTTGTTGCAAAATAAGAAGGTACGTGTCTGCAATGCCGGGACAGTACAGACAGTCCGGGCTGGCAGCCTTCCCCATTCTGAGCAAAAAGGCCCGGAAGTACTCGTGACCCCGTGAGTCCCTCGTGAGTCACGGAGCACCCAACCTCACCATGCTCCCGTTCCACCCATGGTCGGATGCTAGGAATGAGCCTTGCGGTCCAACGTCCCCGAGACTCGGCCTCCCATTCGCGCTGCCAGCGGTCGAAACTGTGGTCGCATTCTTCTCTGGCAGCAGTCAGAGATACTTTAGGTCTCCTGCGGTAGATCGCCTGTTGCTCCCTCGCGAGATAGAAGACGGGGATGACACTGTCAATCACCATGACTGCAGGCTCGGAGACCATGCGGTAGGCGGAAGCAACTCCCAAGGCCCCTCGACGCTGAACACGGGAGAGCCTGTCACGGAAGACACACCTCTCCAGCACATGAGCCCAGACTTCAGCGCCGTACAAGAGAACTGATTGGACGGCAGACATCAGTAGGCGGCGCTTGCAGGAGCGGGGGATGCCGACGTTTGGAAAAAGCCTACTAAGGGCAACAACTCCCTTAGCGGCTTTGTCAACAGTTCGCTTAATCTACTCGCCGAAAGACATTTTTCTGTCAATCATAACACCAAGGTACTTAGCACACGGCTTGTTCTCTAACTGGGCATAGCCTACTTGCGGAGGAAGGAAGAGCGGTGGGAATTCTTTTCTTGGTTAGGACCACAATTTCTGTTTTTTGACCGCAACAACAAGCCGTGGTCCTGCATCCACTCGTTGACACGGACCATAACTACACCAAGTTTAAGCTCTGCTTCTTCCACGCTTCTGCCTGCAACCAAAGCAGCGACGTCGTCAGCGTAGCGTAGCCAACGAGGCGGGTCTCGTCTGGCATTCCGAGTCTTAGCAGAGGATCGATCCCTGTGCAGCCCGAGAAGTGACAGAGATCCGGCGCTGACGTTCGGTGGTGTCAAAAAGCAAGACGCGGTCTGAAAGATAGGACTCAATTATTCGCAAGATGTAAGGAGAAACGCAGAATGAGTGCTCGAGCGTCCGAAGCATGTCACTCCACCTGGCGGAATTGAACCTGTTCTTCACGTCATGAGTGACGAGGAGAACTAAGCGGCGCGACCAATGACTGTAGTTCACCGCACTCTGCACTGCTCAACTACCTCTCGGATGGCATCAATGGTCGAGTGACCAGAACAAAAACTATGCTGCTGCAGGGACAAATCACCCGCAGAGTCAATAGCCTCGGTCAGTCTGACACAAATTAACTTCTCCCTCACTTTGCCGCCGGTGTCAAGTATACACAGTTGGCGGTAAGAAGAGGGGCCCGGTGCACTCTTCCACCTTCCTCGCCATTTGGAAAACGCCTTCCGCCAAACAGGCGTTGAACATATCCAACAGTAGCTTTGGATTGTACTCAACAAAGAGCTTGAAGATTTCCGCAGTAATGCCATCAGGACCGGGTGCTCTTTGATTTCTCAGGGATTGGACAGCGGAGGTAAGTTCCTCTTCCTGAAAGGCTGGGAACGCGACAAGATCCCTGAAATCTCAAGTTGGTCGTGCTGGGTGCTTTGGAAACAACGAGTCGACGACAGCAGCCATGGCAGCAGGTTCCATGACTACAGGCTGGTGAACCAGTCCCTAGCTTTTGGGTTACTATCTTGTAGCCCATCTCCCAGGGGTTGTTGTCGACGTTCTGTCACAGTTGCTTCCAGCACCTGACCTTACTCCGGTGACCTTGTGCTTTGCCGATCTGGCAAAGACGACCGAGGTTCCAACGTCAAGGCAGATGGGCTGAGTTGGCATATGGACGCCTGCGCTCAGGAAGTACCCCAAAAAACAATTGCCTGGTTATCGCTTGCAGAGTAGTCTTAGGAGGCTCGCCAGTCAGAGATACCAATGGCTAGGCCTTCAGATGGCAGAGAGATGTCAGGAATCGTTTCTCTATATCTCAGGCGACGGAAAAGTGAAGATATTGCCCGGGCTTAGGATATGAAGACCCAGCCTGGCTGCCATCTCTAAAACATATCGTCCCCTTGTGTTTGTTTGGGGTAGACCCCATTCCACCGCCCTAGCGTTGAAATCTCCACAAACAATTGCCCCACCATCGACGTTTAGAATCTCGTCCTCTAGAGAGTCGACCATCTGGCAGTACTCTGCAATGGGCTGGTTGGGTGTGAGGTAGCAGGAGAAGAAAGTTAGACCTCTGCTCCGCACCCACACGAAACCGTTTCCTGCACCAGAATCCAAGATCAGTACCTTCCCAGGGTCGAGGACTCAGATGGCCGCCGTCCTGGAAACATCAGGCAACCACTGATGAAGCGTCAGTTCTGATATTGCTCACTCATCAGCAAAATATCGGCGCCTTGCTCGGTTGCGAATTGGTACAGCAGACCGTCAGCTGTCCTGCTCCTTTGAATGTTAACCTGAACGGCGCTGATCATTTCTGGGTGGATTGGCGGATCTTCTGCAGTGCTTGCTTAAGCAGCACAACGGCTTGATCCCGCATCGTGCTTGATGGCATCGTTCTTCAAGCCGGCCTCTGTGCAAAGGACACGAGATTCAGCGGAGCTGCAAACACTGGCCCTGTGATCCTGGCCGCCGCACTTGTAGCACATATTGCTTCTGTCGAGACCTTTACAGCGATTAGCTATGTGGTTGAACCCCAGGCATTTGTAACACCTGGGGGCTACGAGCTTCTCGCAGACCCGGCATCTCACACATCTGACCTTCATGAGCCCTTCAGCTAGGAGTTTTCTCCCATCTCTAGCTCCCAACGTCAATATCACCATCTCCTTCCTCGAGAGTTGGTCTTCGAGACGAAGATCTTCATCACCATGGGTTCCCCGAGGACAGACTTGACTACAGTGGAGACCTCTTCCTCAGTCGTGACTTTGTCGATGTCCCTTACTTCCAACGTTTGGCTCGAGAATTCGTACTGAGACGTTTGCACCAAGGATGGATTGCAAATCGGCTCCGAAATCTGCCTTCGTCCCGGAGGAATGGCCAAGCTCTACTAGGGGGTCACACGCTCTGGTTTTTTTGAGCGATTTGATGACAGCTCCCTTCTCTTCGGGCTTCGCCTTTTGACGTATTGTCGGCTTGATTAGAAGAGCGTCAAGGCGTTTCTTAGAGGCTCTCTTCTTGGGCTTCTTTGCCGTCTCGTCACCAGGCTGGACAACATTGACTGCTGAGGAGGGTTCTTCTGCTTGCCCTTCCGTTTGGCAACTGTCACCCACTCTTCTGGTTTGTTTTTGTCGACCTTCTTTTTCTTCCTAGTGACAGGCTCAGCTGGGCTTGAGGTGGCTCGCTTAGAGCTGGCCGCAGTTGAGGACGGTTGTCGTCTGTTGTCGTGGCAAAGTCTGCGTCGACGAAGAGACGAGGGTCCTTTCACAAGAAGACTTCCAAGACTTGCGGAGGTGGAGGATGTGGTTAAGATAGGACTCCAGCTTGGTAATCCCAGTCTTAACGTCTTGGTTCAACGTCTCTGTCTGCGTGTCGCAGACTTCATCTGACTGAGAGTATCAACTCAAACACTTCCTCAGGAGGTCCTCCTCCTCCTGCCTCGCCAGGTTCACGGCCTCGTATGGCGAAGCCGATTTCTTACTGCCCTGCTCTGGCAGAGTTTCTGAGAGCGACAATGGATCGGCACTCAGGGTGAAAGAACGGGGTCGAACAGGGGAGCAACTCAAACGTGAGCTCTTCCTGAACGGGTCGAAGTCCACTTCAGGTGTCGTTTCTGCCTCTTTTTTGGGTTAGGAAACCCGAAAGTTTTTCTTTTTGGTTGTGTTCTGCCATTTTTCAATTGTTTCCCCCCTATGCTGTGCCCTCGTGAGAATGTTACCCTTGTTCACATCGTGCATGGCAATACTCCATGCCCTGCGCCCCCCAAAACCCAGAACGCTCCAGACAAGGCAGTGGCCTCGGCAGAGCCCCCCCAAGGCCGCAGCAAGGCCCTATCCGGTTGCCATCCGGCACTACTGGGGCCAAAGAAATTTTCGCCGGATGATAGGGCAGCCAGGTCATTGCCGGCTAAGCTGACCCGGGCCCCTGTACTATCCAGCAGCCTGGGATGTGCAAGAATGACCCAGTTTTTAAGCTGTATCCTCTCCCTGAACGGACTTCCTACACATTGGGAGACAAAAGGACACAGAGCCATACACAAGAATATACCAGAGTGATTAGGAAAAATTTGGTCTATTGATTTTAAATGGGATATGTTGGTATGCAGAGGGGACACTAAAAAAATGGGGGTGCTCCCCCCTTTTTAGTCGACTCTTACTACGAGCAAGGGATTCTGTTCTCTATTCTAATGCCGGAGGAGCACTAAAACCACTGAGCTACAGCCATAAATAGTTAATTGCCCTGCTCCAGCTTACTCAGCAGTGATGTAGGGTCTTTTTTATCACTATCTTTCACAGCCATTTTGAAGAACCAAATCATATCGAGGAAGCTTGTTGAAAAACTTGATGACACACTTTCATTTAATTTCATTTCATATAACTTTATTCATTAAAGTACAATACATAGATACAGGAATGGCGTCAAGAGTAATTTAAAAAATTGGTTAACACTTAAGTTAGGGTAACAATACTTAGCCTAGCTAATTTCTGTAAATTCAAAATTTTACTATTTCCAGATAAGAAGCTCAACAGAGGAATATCCCGTGCTACAGATAATGTGAATCTCGTTTCACAAGTGCGCTGCGAACTTGTCTTGGACAACATTGAACAAGATTTCTTCATTGAAACTCCTATCCATACATTTACACTGCCAGATTTTGCAGTATATGCAGGTTAGTAGGGTCAATTCATAACAGGATGATTTTGTGTCTCATTTAAATTTGTTGGTATGAGTGAGTGTGGTCTGTATCTACTTAACCCTTTCGCTGCCAGCATTTTTCATTTGTATAATCAAGAACCGCCGAGGCCATTTTGTACTTAAACGCAATGTTTATAACTTTTTTATTTTTGCAAATATTTTGGTAACACTTTTCTTCTAGAATTGTAATAAAATTGCCTTTATAAAAATATAATATTTATAAAGGTTTGAATGGATTTTTTATGTTACCAAATAAGTAAAAAATATAAAAATAAATAAATACAACTTTGAGTACAACCAAGGTAACTATATAAATAAAAAATAGTTTATCAATATTCCTGTTATTTTTATTACTTCACACATTTGCTAGCAAGCATACGAAATTTGAAAATCCTACCTTGAAAAATAAGCTTCTTTTCAGGGTTTGAAATAAATTGTCTTCAGAGAGTTTTGATGTCTTCGCGTCACTCAAATGCGCTATATAACGTCTAATGCCATATCATGCACAAGAAAAGGAAAGAAGCCTACAGTTTTTCTTTATGCCAAAGAATAAAGATAACACCAACTATTTACAACATAAAACTATATACATACACTTAGCCTAACAAATTTAAATGGTCTAACATCGTCTACGACCTATGCAGATGTATGATTCTAAATTACTCATATTGTGTAGATCGGTGTAGTTATGGTTTGAATTAATGAGGTGATTAGCAAAAGCAGATTTGGAGTTTCTCCTTGGTAGATTTGAACCTTGTAGTGAAAGAACGGGCAGTTTGTCCGATATAAAACTCTGACAATCGTCACATTTAATTTTATGAACACCTGTGCTGTTTACTTTATCAAGTGTCTTCTTTCTTCTTTCCCCGAGGAGGAAAGAAAGTTTGTTAGGCGTTTTATATGCGACTTGTACTTTATGTTTCGCCATTTCTTTCCTCAGTGTGTTGTTAAGTACAACTCCGTATTCTGCAAAGACATATTTCTTGGGGTCTTTTTCTTGGTTTTCTTTAATTTTATTTTTCTGTTTGTTTATAAGTTTATCTATTAGTGAGCTCTCGTATCCGTTGGATACTGCGATATATTTTAGAATATGTAATTCATTGTTATAGTTTTCTGGTGAGAGTGGAATAGATAATAGCCTATGTACAAAGCTGTTATAAGCAGCTGTTTTGTGGATGATGGGATGTAAAATGAATTGTCTGGTCTGTTGTGGTAAGTTTTCTATAAATTCTAAAATCCAGGCAATGGTCGGTTCTTGTAATTGTGACGTCCAAAAAATGTAAGGACGTGTTTATCTCAGTATCAAGGTAGGTTCAGTTTCAAGGCTCACTTAGCAGCACAAAACAGCTATAGTTATTTTATAACACAAGGATCAATTGACGCAACAGGTAAATTAAACCTTTTATATTTTGCATAATCTTGATCCAGAGGCTAACCCATCATACCAATTAATTGCACACCAATCTCTGTCAAGTTATGAAATATTGTGTCTCTACTCACTGACAACTTATTTTGACCAAGTTTAGTCATAATTTACTAACTAAAAACGCTTCAGAACAACTAACAAATCTTGAAAAGTTATCTACAAACGTACATGATCACTGTTCAACGTCCAATATATCGGACCGTGGCGGCCAAAGGGTTAATGTACTAAATAAAAATAATATTTTAGTCATTATTATGTATGAAGTGAAGGTATTATTTATTTATGCTCTTACTAATATTATAAATGTGAAAGTTTGTGTGTTTGTAATTGTTTATGTGTTTGTTTGTTTGAAGTTCAATTACGCATTAATCAATGTCTGAAAATTGGTTATTTCTCTGACCTTCTCAAAATTTCTAAAATTACTCCAGTATATAAAAAAGGCGATAAAAATCTTCCTAGTAATTATCGTCCTATTTCAATAGTGCCAATCTTTTCCAAAATTTTTGAATGTCTCATGCATAAACAAATTAATGAATATTTTGAAAACAACAATTTATTGACAAATTCACAGTTTGGATTCCGTGAGGGTAAATCAACAACTTCAGCTGTCTTAGAAGTAGTTAATAAATCTTTAAATGCATTTGAAAATAAAGAAACTGTTTCATTAACTTTATTTGATCTTACAAAAGCATTTGACTCTGTACCTTTTAATATTTTATTCAAAAAACTTGAATTTACGGTATTACAGGTGAAACTTTAAACATTTTAAGATCCTATTTAACCAATAGAAAACAGTAGGGATGGACGAGATTGGATTTTTAGTTCGAGACGAGACGAGACGAGATTTTTTATTTCTCATAAAATTTCGAGACGGGATTTCCCTTCTCATACACAACGGGAAATGCACGTTCAAAATTTTTACCTGATTTTGTAACATTGTTAGATGACTGTTTAAATACAAAAGTAATGATAATAGGCAAGAATATTTACAATCTTTTATTAAAAAACATCAGCATAACATTTTTTTTATTAATCACGCTTAACTTATAAAAAATGCCTACGATTAGGAAACATAGTGATATCAGTTAGGATAGAGTTCAACTTATCCTAAAATAAAATAAATCATAAAATAAAAGCAATTATTAGTTTTGATAAAATAGTTACTTGTTTTGACTTTTTATAGTAATAAAACATTCCTCACACTGCAACAAAACTTCTCAAATGTTATTAAAGTAATGTTATTAAAATAATTAAAGTAATATTTACATTTAAAGAATTAATTAAATAAGAACGCCTTCGCAAAGGAAACGCAACTACAACACGCTCCTGTATTGCGGGTATTGCATTGACTTTCTGCAGGCGTTTAAAATTTTTTTTTTATTTTTTTTTTTTTATTCTCGTCTCGATAAAAATCTCAGCCAAAAAGAAATCTCGTCTCGTGTAACGAGATTTAAAATCTCCCGAAAATTTCCCGAAATTTCGAGACTTGACCATCCCTAGAAAACAGTATGTATCTGTTGGAGGCAGTCATTCTGACTTAAGATTGGTTGAAGTAGGTGTTCCACAGGGCTCAGTTTTGGGACCCTTCTTGTTTTTAATCTCGATAAACGACCTGCCGAAGAATGTTGATGTAGACACTGTTGTGTATGCTGATGACACAACTTTGATTGCAACACATAGAGATATCCATGAGCTTGATTTAATTACTAATGAATCAATAACGTCAGCACTAAATTGGTTTTCCTCAAATAAATTGATGTGTAATCAAGAAAAAACACAGAGAATTCTTTTGAGTCTATCCCCACTTGATAATGAATTAAAATCAGTAAAATTGTTAGGATTCCAAATTGATTCAAAATTAAATTGGCAAGAACACATAGAAATCACATGTAAAAAAATTTCCAGAGTAAATTATCTAATTTGGAAACTCAGAGATTTTGTTAGTAATGAATACCTTCGGACTACTTATTTTGGTTTTTTTCAATCCCATATTTTTTACGGGATTATACTTTGGGGACACTCCCCCCACACCCATGAAATTCTTTTATTGCAAAAAAAAGTTATACGAACAATCTGTGGGGTTGGCCCTGTGGATAGCTGTAGACTTCTTTTTATAAACCTTAAAATTTTGACTGTAGTAAATTTGTATATTTTTCACATACTCCTCTACACTAAAGCTAATCTACATCAATTCACTTGTAGAGATAGTATACACTCTTACAATACAAGAGGCAAATCCAATCTAGAAATCCCTGCCCATAGATTGGCCAAAACACATAACTGCCATAAAATAAATTGTATACGGTTTTTTAATAAATTAGGTCTGGCAGCCAAACTGGTTCCTTTTAATAGGTTTAGGTCAAAAATGTTTGAGTGGCTCATCAAAAATCCATTTTATTGTATAACAGAATATTTACTTTCTAATGTTGACATTGATTTTTAATATAGAACCCACTACTGTATTTTTTATAGTTTTTATAGTTTTAGTTTTGACTATGTCTATTCCTTGTAAAAGGTCAATGACAATAAAGTTCTTGATTCTTGATTCTTGATTCTGGTCGGATTGAGTTGAAATTTGGTATGGTGATAGCTCACATTCCCGATAAACCCTAGGACTGCCTTTCGCCGTTTAGCTGGCGGTTTCATGTGTGCGCTCGGTGCCCAACTGCCGTTTGCCGTTAGTTTGTGCTTTTTTTTTTTCAAACGCTTACTACGCAATGAAAATTATCCAGAAGCGTAATAATTTTGATACCGTTGGAAAGAGGAGATTCTGAGCTCTTATTTTCATATATAAACGAACCTAGTAGCACTAACAGATCAATATAACTGCTATCATAATTAGAACAATATTTAGTGTGCGTAACATTTGCGGTGATCGACAAAGTCTCGTAAAATACGTTATCTTGAAAAAAATCTACAAGTCTTAATTTTTGCCTAAACAGGAAGTGGTTGATAATAAATGACAAATAATGCTATAGGGATGATTTTAAAATTTCAATGTAATTTGTTCTTCTTCTTCAGAGGATTTTCGACAGTTCCTAGAGAAGGACCTAATTGCTGTGTCAACACAGCAATCGCTGGAGCAGGCCAATCGTCTAAACTGGTGGTCGGCTGTATGTCAGAGGTTGTGGCCCTTGTCTACCTCTGGTGACGGAAACTGTCTGTTGCATGCTGCGTCTCTTGGTAAGTTTATCTTATTTGAGGGATTGTTGTGGACATTTTATGATCAGTGAAAACAAGATTTGTGTTTTTTTGGAATCTGGAATCTTATCCTGTCTTCTGGTGAGGAAGTATGTAAAACATAACAATCAGTTCTTAAACTTAGTCAAAGCTGGACAATCATAATAAAAAACACAGGGAACTAAATTGTAGTCTAAACAAGAAAAAAAAAATCCTCAAATAAAACGACAATTAATACAAGTAGAGAGACAAACACAATGGACGTTTACATAAGATGGTGGCTCAAGCAAGACTTAGTTTATTTGTAGTGATGTGTTGATACCAAAATCTATCGATTCTCGATACCAATACTGTACACACCTGTAAAATCGTTTCTCGATACCAATACAATTTTTTTTATAGTTTTTACTAAATTTTCTGAATGGATTGGCTATACTACACCAACCACTGTCTTTATATCCTCCTATAACGTATTTTTGAGATAATGGGGTATTTTTCAAGTCAAGAAAAAATTTATGAAGCAATACAAATTACTAACTAGCCAATTGAAGTTTTAAGCCTTTATAAACACATTTAATTATTATAAATACATAACCAACAATATAAAAGGTAAATAAAGATCTAACTACTAAAGTCAAAATGAAAATGTTATTATTACTGCAGATGTGCCTAATATTTTCAGTCAAGTCTAACTCGGGGTAATATTGTGATCTCAAACACGGTCTTGGTGACACCATGATCTTCTGGGATCAATGCCATATCCCGAATATCTTCCTCAATCACGGAAACATTATCACTATATTTTGCAGACCCGCAAAATCTTGTATATTGCTACAGCGGTAACAGAAACGCAATCATCGTCTCACACGGTCATGGAAACGTTATCAACGTCTCCCGCGATCACAAATATCTCCCACAGTCATGTAGACATTACCATAGTCTTGCGCAATCGCGGCAAAATTCTGACAATCTCGTGCGGCCATTTAGACATCATTATCAACTCTCGCAGTCTCGGAAACGTTATCGTCGTCTTGTGCAATCACCAATTAACCTTTGGATGATCAATTCCCGATACTGATACCAACGTCAAATCGGTGGTATCAAGACTTCAAACATCCCTAGTTATTTGTCTGTCAGTCATAGACTTACACCCCATTAACATTGACTGCCACCTAAGTTGGGACTACCATGGTCAATTCTATTCTAAAAAGATTGTCATTTCTATACATCTTTGAAACCTTAAAATATATCTACTTTGCACACATTCGTTCTCATCCATCATACGGTTTGGCCGTATTAAACAATTAATTAAATTAAATAATTTGGGATGCGTCAAAACAAATCTGGTCAATATGTTAATACTTATAGAAAGCTATTTGAATTATTTTGAACATAAATGAGGAAGACTTGGTAAAACTATATTGTTACATTTTATGTACTTTTTATATAGGTACCTAGTAATCTTGGTGAACATAAAAACACAAACCTCCAAACATGGTGTTGTTCTCCTGACCTGATTTTGGCATTATATATAATCTTGTGGAACTGCTGCTAATAAAGTATTCACAGCTGACTTCAATTGATATATTTACATTGAAATGTAAACATTAAAAATTTGGAAGCCCATGGGGCGTATCCCAAGGGAAATATTAAAATAAAATGATTTAGTATTGCATTGTCATCCATTTGTGAGCGATGTTTCAAGTTTCAAGTCTCTAGTTCATCGGGAAGATAGTTTAAAATCGATTGCAAAATTTGTACCAAACAGATAAGAAAGCGAGCTAATAAAAAGGTTTCTATTAGCTACCTACCTAACGTAAAAACCATTTTCATCCCCTAAAACCTCGTTCCCATGGTCCGATCATGCGCGTTCACAGACTCGTTAGAATCAACGATGTAAATAACTACTGGATTGCGCTCTCAGTGGCGTAGTGGGCGCTGTTTTCGGGCTCGCTTCCCCCACTCTCTACTGGCAAGATAGCGGCGGCGTACCTCACGTGCACCCATTTCAACACTTGTTTGATGTAACAGTGTGCGGTTTTTAAAACTGTGATTAAAATTTATCAATATCTTTAATTGTACGCTAAGTATGTGTTTAAAATGGTTGTGTCTTGTTCCGCTTACAACTGCACCAACAGAGTAGGTACAGAAAGGCAGTGGCATTTCGTTTCACGTGTAAAGTACCTAATCTAATAGATTATAAACAAGGTGTCTGAGTAAGTGATTCCTTAACTCGATACAGCATGACATTACTGAAACTTACCTACTGAAATTTACTTAACTGAAATTTGTTTTTATTTTGTTGATAGGGTTAAACTAAAACTGTACATTGTAAAACATGCACAATGAAATAATTGCGTCCGGGCTCATTTTCTCAGAGGTCAGTCAACACTATACGTTATATGATGCTAGGTCGGAATGATATTCATTAGGTATAATGTACTATTCACATCTTGTGCAATATATCCCTACTCAAAAAGAAAAAAAAAGAAAAAGGCAATTTGAGTTATTATACACAACTGACTGATTATGTAACTAAAAGTAAGCTCATTAGGGTACACAAAGATGTTTTAAGGTAGTTAAGTACGTTTACAATGTATCAACTCGTCAGCTTCAACATAAAGGAAACTTTAACACAAAAAGACTATTTGTAGCCGCCTGTTCCCATTTTGTGGGCACTATTTTTAAGAGGCACGTCGAGAATATTTCTTTTGGGGAAGACACCTATCATGTGATAGCAATTAATTAAGTTTGTTTGTGACCTTTTTATTAAAATATATTGCCACCACTCAGCTAAATGAAAAAGTATCACGTTTACGCCTAACATAGGTCTGCAACAGAAACTCACCAAAATTATTTTATTCAAAAATATTTAATGTTTTCATTAGTTAATTGAGTGTGAAATGACAAATTTTGTACTTACTATCCTTTCTTTGCAATAACTTATTATTTTACCATGTATAGTTTTGAACTAGTCATGACAGTTGTGTGAAAAAACATCTAAAATCAAGTTTAGTGAATGTGTAGTTTTAAAGAGTTCAAATGGGTTATTCATTCTATGCAAGAAACAAAACATACATTAAGTTTTTAATTGTAAAAAGAGTTTGACATGCATTACCAATTTTTCATCTCTACATATTTAAACAGAGCAGCATCTAAAAAGGTGTGTTTTATACGGTGAGTGTATGGGCTGCGCCGGCTTCTGCCAGTAGAGAGTGGGGGAGCAGCAATCTATGAGTTGTTTATATCGTTGGTTAGAATAAACGTAAAATTACATGTTTGTACCAAATTTAATCAAAATCGGATGATTTTTGCTTGGATTATCATTCTATCAAACACATACAGGGTGATCAACTCAAGGAGGCCACCATTGGGATATCGGAAACGGTAATAATTAGAGAAAACTTTAAATGGGGGACATTCCTTTATTTTTTGTGGCAGTTAAAAATATGATTTTAGTTTTTCAAAATTCAGCCGCCATTTTCCAAAATGGCGGCCAACTTTGAAATTTCTTATGGAACACCCTGTATTTTATCATGTTTTCGGATAGAACAAGAAATTTAAAAACTTTTTTATTCTTGACATTTTTTCGATAAACCCACTCGTTTAGGAGTTACAGCCTATGGAAAAATTACTTCCGGTGTACATTTTACATCATGTAGCTCCAAAAAAAGTAGGTTTATATCGAAAATGCGAAGAGAAAATAAGTCAAATAAGTCTTAAAATTGCATCCACATTCCAAAAAGTCCATAAAATTCGTTAAAAATATATATTTTCTATTATTAAAAAATGGCGGCCATTTTCCAAAATGGCGGCCATTTTCCAAAATGGCGGCAAAAATGAAAAAAAGGAAAACTGTGTATTTTAAGGTCTTAATGGAATGTGGATGCAATTTTAAGACTTATTTGACTTATTTCCTCTTCGCATTTTCGCTATAAACCTACTTTTTTTGGAGCTACATGATGTAAAATGTACACCGGAAGTAATTTTTCCATAGGCTGTAACTCCTAAACGAGTGGGTTTATCGAAAAAATGTCAAGAATAAAAAAGTTTTTAAATTTCTTGTTCTATCCGAAAACATGATAAAATACAGGGTGTTCCATAAGAAATTTCAAAGTTGGCCGCCATTTTGGAAAATGGCGGCTGAATTTTGAAAAACTAAAATCATATTTTTAACTGCCACAAAAAATAAAGGAATGTCCCCCATTTAAAGTTTTCTCTAATTATTACCGTTTCCGATATCCCAATGGTGGCCTCCTTGAGTTGATCACCCTGTATATAAATATGAATTTGAACATATGGTATTTAAGGCCTCTAGGGACATCAAAACAAAACAAGTTAATCGGTCCTGGGTCCATGTTTTATCATGAGAACTACAGCTTATTCCCTCTATGAAAATGTTCTAACCATTTCCTCCTACACTTAACATTAGAAAAACCTTTAGGAGAAAATATTAGTTATATTATGTGACCTTTTTGAGCATGTTAACTGTCTGTGACTTTTTCTTCAGAGTTAATGGTAGAACATAATGATTAATGGTAAGGGTTATTGGTTATTGAATGATTCAGGCTTTATGTGAACATTTGCTCCAAAGGTATGTGGGGGTTCCATGACCGACTGTTAACTCTGCGCAAGTCTCTACATGCGTTCTTGTCATCCTCACCTCGTCACGAGGCTTTATGGAGACGCTGGAGAAGACAACAGAGCGCATTGAACGCCCAAGCCGGCCTCATTTACTCAGAGGTAAAGCAAAGGGTGTCATTATTCTTAAAAAGAAAATAAACCAACATACACAACCAGCACCAGCACTTCAGACAATTAGTCTGTGTTGTGAATACAGCAAAAGTACTGATAAGTCACATGAGCAAGCACTGGAGAGGGCAGAGATTTTCACAATAGCCAAAGGGTTAAATAGCATCTGTCATCAATTGATAGTTAAATGACAAAAAATGGCATCTGGGTCCAGGAGCGATCTCACTTAGAATCAAACTTGCGATGTTCAGATTTGACAGGGTTCCCACTCAACCTTGAAAACCTTAAAACCGTGAATTAGCCATGAATTAGGTCAACCGTGAAAAGACCTTGGTTTAGCCGTGAGTTTGTTTTTGAAACCTTAAAACCTCAAATATGTCACCTGGAGACGACACAAGGGGCAAGTTGTGTGAAACTGAATGCAGTGATATCGAGACTGTTGTGTGTGTGTGAGTGGGAGATACACAGAGAAAGAGAGAGAGAGAGAGAGAGAGAGAGAGAGAGAACGAGTGAAAGAGAGAGAGTGCCAGAGGAGAGAGACAGTTTAGTCTTAGTGCATCAAAGCTCATAGTGGTCTCAAAACTCAAGGCCATGGCTTGAATTATGTCCTAGTTGTATTTAAATAGGGAATGGCCGATAACATAATTTCTCTATTTGATACCAGTTCTGAAATATTACTCCACGATTCTTGATACCGGTTCCATATAAAAACTCATATTTAAGGAGGAAGTTGCCATGGTCAATGTTTTGTTGTTCGTTTAAATTCTGAATCAGACAACGAGCGAGCTCATGCCAGCCCAAAATTATCGTGCACTCTCAGTTAAATATCGTATCCAAGTCTGATAAGTAAACGGAATCAGGGAACCGCTCTTGCTTTTTACGAAACGAAATAGTCATAGACTAAAAACATCAAAATTGATGTAGCACTGGCACAGCAACTCTGCTAGAAAACCGAGACGTTGTAAAATGTTGTTATGTTGGTACCACTAAAAGAATCAACCAGCTCATTCGCTGTTGGCTTAATTGCATTCCCACAATATCCTAGTTCCAAAGTACTATTACTACAGTACAAATGGCTGCAAACGTCTCACAATTCTCGCATTCAGTACTGCCTTCGGTTGTAGCCCTAGTTCAGTGCGAGCAATTATTGCCGGTATTGACTTGACCGCAATAAGTATTTATTATTATCTGTGTTTGTTTTTCGTGTAGCAAGCAATGGCGGAACTGTACTGTAGTGTAGACTCTAGACAGACAACGTACGATTTACATAATACGGTTCCCAATCGAAACGACGCTCGACTGTGGATTGAATTGATGTTTAGTATTTAATATGTTATTAAAAAAATTGATTAAATAACAGGCTACAGCTGGTGTTTTCTGTGACCTGTCCAAAGCTTTTGGCTGTGTTGATCACTTAGTCCTTCAGTTCAAGCTGAGTGATTATGGTATTAGGGGAAGTTGTCACTCTCTATTGAGTTCTTACCTTTCTAATAGAAAACAAAGAACTGTAATAACACTGGATAAGATCAAGTACTATTCGCCATGGGAAAACCTATCGGCAGGTGTGCCCCAAGGTTCAATCTTAGGTCCTCTATTCTTTCTAATTTACATTAATGACCTCCCTTAAGCTATTGATCAGGAACTAATTCTTTTTGAAGATGAAACAACAGCCTTGATAAAAAATAATAGTACCTCTGAAATGCTATCTTCTTTTGAAAATGTGGTTCATGACATGGAGGGTTGGTTCTTGAACAATGGATTAAAACCTAATCTTGAAAAAACGCAAACAATAAAATTTTCTGTCAGAAACAATGGTAATAAAATTGAATCCCTTAAATTGGCAACGTCTCATAAATTTGTAGGTGTTTACACAGATAAATCACTTAAATAGGATGTACATCTGAATCAATTAAAAAGTAAACTTAGATCCATGTCAATTGTATTTCTGCACTTTAAGGGACTCTGTTCCTAATGAAACTCTGAAAATGGTTTATCATGCTTATGTAGAATCAGTATTGAGGTACAGTATAATCTTATGGGTTCAGGCACAGAAAACGTACTACTATAACCCAGAATGCCAACCGCATAGTAAAAAGCATTAAGTGTTTTGTGAGAGCTTTGCCTGTCAATCGGTAGGCAGCGCCACCAGCGTTGCTATGCTATTGCATGGCAACGCTGGTGGCGCTGCCTACGGATTGACAGGCAAAGCTCTCTCAAACCGCTTAATGCTTTTTACTATGCGGTTGGCATTCTGGGTTATAGTAGTACATTTTCTGTGGTTCAGGCTACCGGAGTCAAATCAATATTCAGGCTACAAAAACGCATTATCCGTATTATGACCAACTCAAATCCACGTAATTCATGCAAAAACCTTTTTCGAAATTTAAAAATCCACACCCTAACAGGATTGTACATTTTGGAATCACTAAACTACATTCATTCAGCTAAAAACTTCCGCCCGGAATCAATTCAAATCAACCATAGATATAATACTCGAAATGAAAACATTTTTAGATTTCCAAGGCACCGTTTAGCCCTTTATGAAAAAAGTCCGCTATATGCTGGGCTGAGGCTGTACAATGTGCTGCTTGCAAACTATAAATTGTTAAGTGAAAATAATTTTAAAGATGAAATAGGTGAACACTTACTTGACAGAGCCTTTTATTTAATTGCAGATTTTCACAATAACCCTTTAGTTTAGAATAGTTTTATCATTCAATTTTGTCAATTAAAATTATCTTCCTGATTACTATTTCATTATTTATATTCTAATAATTTAACTCTGACAATGCACCTATTCTGTATGTACCAACACATGTAAAGAATGTTATGTGCAAATAAAATATGTCTATGTCTTTGTCTAACAGAGTATACCACCATTGACTATACTATCAATCAATGATTTTAAAATTAACAAGTGTACCTACAACAACCATAAATAACCAATAATAATATTTACCGTCCAAATAAAGTATACCGACCGTTCGATTTAGGTTGAAAGATGTAACCGATTAGTCATCTGTTATTTTGCCGTTTGTCAAAAGTAATTGCGTAACTTTTCATTTCAAAGAGTAGTCAAAGGATTTCATGGTCTTGTGTTTTCCTGCATGTATAGATCCAAGCAATGTTAAATTTAATAATGGTGTCATATTAATTGGCTACAAAACCTTGTGTACTGGTTAGAAAATGCATTACATAAAGTTTTGTCATTATAACTTACATTGTTTGGGGACCGTGAAATTTATAAAAGCAGACTGTGAGAACCGTGAAAACACCATTAATTTTGTTGAAGAAAAATAGTGGGAACCCTGTTTGAAGGCAAACACTATAACCTAAGAACACTTGTTTTGTTAAAGATATGAGTTTGAAAAAATTATTTTAATTGATGATGTGATCAGGTGGAGTGGAGGAGGGAGTGGAACGCCATTGTCAACATGGCCTCTACTGAGCCAAGGTTGCGGAGACTCAGTGTTGCCAGGTGAGGGAATGACAGGGAAATTTATCATCAGTGATTCATTCTATTAAGGTTCATTCATTCAGATGTTATTATTGTGTAGAATAAACTACATTATTAACTTTGATTTTTCGAAGAAAAATTACGAATGCATAAAGGAAGAAGGAATGGATTCACAGCCAAGTCACCTACCTGAGAAAAGATTTTAAAGTAGTTTATAGTTAATAAACCCGTTTATACGATTATACATATTTTATCCCTTCAAGGCAGTGACATTGGTTTTGGATATCTTTGCACCATGGCAGTACGTTACATCACTTACTCTGTTTGAGCTGTCTAAATCAGTATTAGCAACTCAAGATTGGCAGGACTGGGTTATTGGGCATTTGGGGAGTTCTTCATCCTGCTGTATGGAACTCTTGATTTATTTGTGTTAGCTGTGTATCTGTTTCTGCTACCTTAATGTACAATTCTTCAATTCATTGTACCATTGTACAAAACATGTACATGTACAACATTGTACAACATTCATTGTACAATTCATTGTCTGATACAATTCTAGAGCAATTTAAAAGAAAGAATGTAGCGAGTCATAACGTAGATATCTTTTATTTTTTTAATATAAATGGATAACTGGTTATAGTATGACATGGAAATGAAGTCTTTCAATTCCTTATTTTCTGGACTCTGAGGCAATCCATTTATATTCACAATTCCATTTTGTCTTTTAATTCTTTACCTCCTTTAGTAATATCTGTTGGTTTGTGTATTTAGCGACCATAGTGGCGAGATCGCTGGAGCAATTTACGAGAGTTTGGAAGAGATCCATGTATTAGCGTTGGCTCATGTTTTGAAACGTCCGATCATTGTTGTGTCAGACACAATGTTGAGGGTGAGTGATTCTGAATTTGTATTTTACTTGAGTGTAGAATAGTAGCATTCTGAGGGCATTCTTGAGATATTAGTATATACTTTTGGTATCAGTCAGTTAAGATTGGCCATTGCAATGTGTTAAACCTCCACATTTCTTAATGAAAGATGTAAACCAGCACTATGGGTGGCTCTCGTTTTTCTCAGTATATATATTACAATGAAGTGCCGCAAAGAAGGAATTATTGCAAAAAAAGAACTGATTGGTGCTGCCAGCAACATATTGGTTAGCCTACATTTCTACGTGTAAACTGAGGACTACATTTTGTATCATTGATTTGTTACAGTGGAATGTGCTTGATTCAAATCCCCCTAGTTCAAAAACTATTTCAATTTTAATCTCCTCTTGGTCCCTATAACTACCATATAAAGTCAGGGTAGAAACTAGAAATATCATGGGTTAATTGAATATAATGTTGGTTAATTCAAATACTATGACCATTGATAATTGACAACGAAGATTAATGTGCCAAATTATTAAACTTCTAACTTTACACATCACTTGTGTTGCCAGCACAGTTGTGCAATAAAGAATGTCACTTTTTAATTTTCAATCTATTTGTTACCAATCTTATATTTCTTACTAGTCCCTGGTATAGTTGTTTGAACTATTCAAGTTCCTACTGTATTTGAGATACTGTTCAATATTCTGAGTTTTCAATGTTCTGATGGAATGTTTATCATTTATCACTGTAGGACATGAATGGAGAGCCTCTAGCGCCTATCCCATTCGGTGGCATCTACCTGCCTCTGGAGTGTTCTCCGAGTGAGTGTCATCGCTCCCCGCTGCTGCTGGCCTACGACGGAGGACACTTCAGTGCTCTGGTGGCCATGGACACTCCAGCTGACAACACCACTGGTGAGTAAACCATTCAGATGCTGAGAAAAATAAGCATATCTCTATTGTAGGTTACAGTGGAGAGCATGGGACTTCGGTTACAAAAAACAAAAAATAGTGATCTGAAGTGCCGGGTTCAAATCCCAACAATTTACTATGGATTCTATCTAAGTGATAATGCCACAACCACTAGGCCTAACCTGAAGTAATGTGAAAAACAAATCTTGAGCTAGAGCTTAGTTAAAAAACAAGAGTTAACAGATTTGCAACATTGTACATCTGATAAAAAAAATAGGTATTTGGTAAAAAAATAGGTTAGATTCTCTATAGACTTTCATAGTCAAAGTTAACTGTAGAATCCCTTAGAAAGCTTTATTTTATGAGAGGATCTATCTTTGAGTTAGTAGTTAGTAGTTTGGTTAGCCCTTGAGTGAGTAAATTATGAAAATAGTTATATACAGTGAACAATAAAGAAGGCTTTCATGGTAACCAAAAATTGGCTCATCTCTTCCAGAGATTGACCACTTTACGGAAATAGCAATAATACTGATTAACGCTTCAGATGCGTTGCTGTAATTCATCTTCAGGTTACTACACCTAAACTGATAAAGGCATATTTCTTTCTATCAATTGATGGATGTTAATATTTTTGTTTAGCCTGTTTAACGACACAGTCAAATCCAGTAGACCAAGATTTAAGAGATTCCTGGTTTGATCCAAAAGTTTGTTTTTCTTTATTTTTTTTTGTAGTCCTTGGCGTATTTTTATAAATCATTTTATAAAAAATACAGTAAATTTTTACAAAAAGTTTAAAATAGTTTCCCTGAGAGATTTATATTATTACAGTATGTATATAGTCTCTCTGACTGTCTGTTTTTTCAGTGCTTTCTTCAGCCATCCCCCTGGTAGACGTAACACATGAGTTGTTGCCAATTCAGTTCTGTATCGACCCTGGTGAGAGGGAGGACTTTGGAGAGAAGATGGAGTTGGGCCAAGCAGAGTGTCTTGGCCTACTGAAGGAATACTTGGATGTCCTCACAATAGATCTGCACGTGAGTGTTTAGCTGAAAACTATTACTGTAATTAACGTAACTGGGTTTTGAGTAAGAGTTTGTCTTTTTGGCAGATTTTACATTTTAATCCTTCTTCTGTGGCAGCTTGAAAATTTGAAATGGAATTTGTAAATTGACTTAAGATAAAAATAGGACAATGCAGCACAATTAATTGTGTAGTCAAATGAAGGCCTACACTTTTCAGCCAGTTAGGCTTGAGATAACAGACTAGTTTTTTTTACTTTTGCTACAAGTTACTTACGCTAACATGTGTTATCAAAACGCCAGTTTGATTATGGGATAAGTCAGTAGTTATTAAAAATTTAGATTTTAATAAATGATTCTGTTTAAAGAACATTGTTGAATCAAGTCTAAAGAACTAAACTTACTCTTTAACGAGGATGTCACATAATTCCTTCAATACTCATCTAAGACTACACTCCCTGGCGTGACTCGGTGTTGTAGTACATTGAATAGTAATTACCATATAATCAACTAGCAGAGTACCCGTCCTTCATACGGGGTTGGCATATAAGTATAATCGGTCCATTAGTTTTCATGTGATGGAACTGCAGAGTTACACACAAACATCCATACGTTCACATTTATAATATTAGTACTAAATGGTCCAAATTGATATTAGTCTGAACAAAGCTATTATACAAGGCGTCTCATTCGTCCTTCATCTGCCTTCCATTCATATTTGAGTAAAAGTACACCTAGTTGTGTTTCCTCATAGAATAGTAGTTATATGCCAACATTGGTGTTTTAAACATTCATTTGCTGATGACATTCCAGTACCATACCCTTATGTGCACCGATTGGAACTGTTGACTTCAGGTATATTGGTTGGTTGCAGTTTTATGGCCTATAACAATGAATAGCATGGTACACTAAAGTCCCGCTTATCTGAACTTATCGGAACCATACTCTGCTTGGATAACCTAATTGTTCTTGTCAGTCATATAAATACAGTCAAACTGCATAAACAAAAATTATATGACCTTAAATATCCTATATAATTAATTAATCCCACAATTATGAACACATAATTGAAACACATAATGAATTACGACAAAATCATGATCATTCCCTGCAATCTTGGCAATATATCATCATCTCCTATTTTATTAGTGCTATTTTACTGCATGATTACCTTAAAAGAGAATCTTTCCAAATCACTTGACAGATAACGCAACGGAACACTCTTAGTGAATGATGGACACTTGGCCATGGGATATTGGCAATTATATAAAAAATTTAAAACAACAAATAATAAAAAAAAACACTTAAAATATTGCTGATTGGCCATGAATTTTATAATTTAGAAGAACTAATAAAAACATAGCTTAAAACATGTTTTTTAAATTAGGCCTATATAATTAATTTATTGTATAAAATGTTCTACAAATTATATGATGTTCAATATTGTGTATAAGAAATTGCAGTAAATATTCTTGTATATATTAGTTTTGTTATTAGAAAAAAAAAAAATAATAACATGACACATTCATGAACTCTTTCTTTGTATGTGTTGAATAAAGATTGATTTGATTCCAAATTTCTCTCTTCCATGACAAATTCACATACTTTTTCCTGGTTCCTATGGTATGAAATAAACGGTACCTGGTTTCCCTGTCGGCTGAACACCTTTGTTAGTATCCAGAACATATAGCTTTTCCTACAGTTACCTAACAATGTACATGTTCTCTCACTGATTTGAGAAAGCAAAGTGGCCAATTCGCTCACCAGTGAGACAATATTAACATTGTCTCACTCTAATTACTTTGTCTCACTCCAGATTTGCAACGTGAAGGCACGAAATAGTGAGCGCGTAACATGCAGGCAACGTCGTATGCGCGCGAAATACGTTGGCAGCACTGGCTGTAAATCAGCTGGTCAGCTGTTGTACTGTTGTATTTGTCACTGCACATTAAATGTTATATTAAAAGTTCACTTCTGTGTACAAAATAGGTTATGTTTCTTCATGTTTCTTCACAAATGTTTTTGTTTTATGGTAACTGTAGGAAAAGTATAATGTGCAACTCGAGTTCAAAGTACAATTGCCTCACTCGAGAAACCATTCCTCACTCGCCTACGGCTCGTGAGTAAGGATTTCTCTCGAGTGAGTCAATTGCTCACTTTTCTCACTAGTTGCACAAATAACTATTGTTTTTAATTTAAATACGGCAATCATTTTTCTCAACATGTGGTTCGGATTAGTAGATCTCTAGTGTACGTAACTTAGTTAATTCTTAGAAACTTCCTATTTTATTACCAATTAAAATGATATCTAACATTACATTGATGCAGGAAGGAGAAAATACTTTGCAACAAGAGAATATTTTGCTGCAGGAAGGAGAAGGTCTAGCGAAGAACCTGGGGAAATTGGGAAGCATCGGAAAGTCTGTTGGGCAGAAGCTGCGGCTGAAGCTGACTCGCAGCAACTCTCAGAGAGGCTGCAAGAACACTGGGATACTGTGTGCGCAGCTGCACACAGATAAGAGACATGAGTACCACGATACTATGATCAAGAACTATCTGCACACAGCGCGTGTGCGGTTCAACCAACAACAGGATCAGTTGGTCAGCAACATACCCTCTACATCTTTGTAGCATGGTCACCATCCTCACTCTATCTTCCTCACAACCCTCATCCTACTAAATATTGCAAAACAGAGCAATAGTTTGCGAGTCAGAAGAAGACTTCGTAGTGGATTTGAACTGCTTATTCGGAGTCTTCTACTGACTCACTGCCAGTAATTTAACATTTATCACCAACTAGTAGGCTTTAAATCAAGTAGGCCTTTTATTATCAAGTTGGTGATATGAGGAAGCTTTGTATTGCCTGTAACCTCACACTGCATGGCAAATCAGTCACATTTTACTGTGGTGCTTAGTTGCAAATTTGAAAAATTATCTACAATAGACTCCCTCTTCCACACTTCGGGACCAGACCCTTGCCAGAATGTTTTAAATTCTAAACCATCAGAAGATAATAAAGTGGTACTTGGATGGTTCAACCATCATGATATCATTGTAACAATATACTCAAAATTTGAATTAGATAAGTTTGGTGGCAATAAAGTATCTGAAAACCGAAAAATAATTGTATGATCAAGAAATATTAAGAATAATTCAACATTTGAGTTAGATAAGTATGGTGGCAATAAAGTATTTGAAAATCGATTGCACATACTGCAAACTTTAAGGGTACATTATGTCTCTGCTATTTTTTCAGTAAGTCAAAAGAATTTAAGGTTGGTTTGGTCATATCCCAGTTCAAAGTCATGCTCTACTGTACAAAAAAAAAAAAAAAAAAAAAATGAATGGATACGTTTTAAAATCACATGCTGTACTATATTTTTATACTTAACAATAACAATGAAACTGTAGGTTGGATTTAAGGTTGTGAATTGATGGTTTTAAAGGCTATGTAAGAAGCATGTGTGAGTGTGCAAGTCATATGCCTCTTTCTGTTCTAAGTTCAAACAAAACAAATTCAAACAGGAGGGAGTCTACTGTATTAGTAGAACAAATGTAGGATTGAGAAGAGATTCAAAGCTGAGAAATGATAAAGGATGCTAAATTAAAATATGAATTCGAAAGTAAATGGTCTATATTATTATGGCCTTTTTCATTTTAGCAAAAAAAAATCTTTTGCCAATATAAATTTAATGTGTCAGTTTAATTTGAAATGTAGTGTCGTCAAATAATAGTTAACGATGACATTTGTAATTTTAACACCAACTGATAATAGCCTGATTGTAATATTAATGTCTGAAAGATTTGTGTAAGATAAAATTTGATATGGAGATCAAGCCATGTCTGCTAAATGTTTACGGCTAAATGGAATGGTTTGTAACTATAACTCTATGTCTCTCATAGAATTATTTTATGCTCATATTTTCTTTTATTGTTATAAAATGAAGAACCAATAGCCGTTTGATAAAATTGCCTAGAAAAAGAATTTTCTACTTACACAATCTTTAAATAAGAAAATTTGAAATTTCTTATTTCACTACAAATGTTAGTATAGTAATAACAAAGAAATAGTAGCAGTTTAAAATAAAGTTGATTTTTTCTATTGTGTGAAGTTGAAGTTAGTACCGGTACTTAAACTTCTAAAGTGTTAAGACAAAGATCCTAGCATGCTTACTGCCTTGTAAATATAACACATTCTTGCCTGAAATGTTTTCCTTTTCAGTCATCGGCCCTTCTTCTTGCAATATATATCTGATCTTTGTATGCTTAAACCCCTTGTTGTATGATATTCATTTGAGCCTGGGTTTGGATGAACATTTATGAAGTATTTGGCTTATCACTGGAACACTTAATCATCAGGTATTAATTTTGCTTTTTTCCGTTTGTTAGTAAGTTAATTTTGGGAAAGGTTTTTATGATAATTCTATGTCAAACCATATATTCTAACAACGATCACATAAGACCAATAGATGGAGCACCTTGGCCGCGACGTGAAGCCAGTGACTATTCGGTACTTACGTATTAAACGGAGGCCACCTAACCTACAGATTCGATTTGATTAGTAAACCTTCACCATCAGCAAGTTTGGTTGGTTAGGTTAGGTTAAGATAGTTTAATTTGATAAAAAAACATATATTTATGATAACCCAACCTAACATAACCGCTGCAGCGCGCTGTAAAATATGTGGCCTCCGTTTAATACGTAAGTACCGACTATTCTTCACCAAGATGGCGGCTAAACATGGGGGCCCTAGCTAAAGATGGAGCCCTAATAGCAGGCACAACTAATTAAATGTTAGTTTATATCAATGATATCCGTGACAATACGCCTTTGTATTATAAATATTTCTATTACTAACACTATGACCTTCAAAATACGCTTTTTCTTCTAGCGTTTACCCTTTCTTAGAAAAAGTTATTTACATAATTAACAACAAAAACTTTTTGGGCAAAAGAAAAATTCTGAAAAGCTACAAATTAATTTATAATATATCTATTTCGTATTAAAGTTTGATTAAGTTCTGGCGTTTCGTTTACAATGTACGAATTTTCAAAGTCTAAGACATTTTCTGAAACTCGTTATACAACTCTCCTTTATATTCTAACTGTCGTATTCATTTTTGTGAAAGAGCTAAAATTTTTAGATGAATACAAAGAATAAAACGAAGAACACTTATATGAACTCTGTGTTTTTTTAATTAGTTTAGTAATTTTTTTGTATAGTTCCAAACTTGAGTATCTGAACTGTATTACAAGTGAGGTTGTAGGCAGGATCGGATAGAATCTGCCCGCATGACGCAACGTGGCACGGCGGGTAGCCCCTATAGTACAATTTAAATTACAACCAAACTACGCCAACTAAAAATTTAATAAATATGATCAAAAAAATTCAACTCTTTAGCTACAAAATCCACCGTTTTTAACTTACCTGACCAATAAATAAAAAAATTAGCAGCCGACGAACTTTTTCATGTCATATTTTAAAACTCATTTAAAAGAACCGACTTTATTTGAAGATTTAAAATAGAAAATATTAACCAATATTAAAATATTAACTTTTAATTAGAACCAATAGTGTCCTAGACTTATTGACATCTTTCATACGAAGTTTCAACGATTTACCTTTAGTCTAACTAGGCTAAATGTAAAGTTATTTTGAAGTGGGACATTGAGTTTTGCTGCTGTTTTCATCAGCATCTAAAGCTTCTATCCTACAGTAAGATGGCGGACCTGGTTTCAGCTGCTTGAATGTTAGTTAGATAGGCGTGCTCCAACTATTGGTCTCATGTGATTGCTGATTCTAACACACATCCCCATAGAATGAATTATTATCATTACAGAACAACTTGAGACAATTTCAAGGTGTATGTCACAGTGAACAACTGTGTACCTAACCTATTATCCTATTATTACAATATTAGTATCCAACAGGTATAAATTTACAATAACATTAAATGAAAATGTGTTTTGTGAATTCATTGAGCAAAGATAAGTTCCATTAAGATTAAAGAACAATTGATGAGGAAATGTGTTGTGATTGTGAAAGGTGGATGGTTGACCTTGGTTGTTGGCTAATTTTAGACTAATAGATGATCCTATGAACATGTATCTTCGCAAGTTGATTAAACTCAAAAGAATCAGAATCCAAAACCATTATTCATATTGTATATAAATACAGAAATAATGTCAAAATTACCCTATATTAGAGAAGAAATAAAAAACAAAGCGAAAAATATCAATGAAAATTAGAAAGCCATCCAAATTTCCTGGTAGTTGACCTCCTCGATAATAGTGAAGCTACATATAGGCTCAAAAGAGTTAATCCAATAGACCTTCCAAATTGTTTCTAATTAATTTTTTTATAAGCTTTTTGACGTTAGTGCACTTGATGGAGTGTAATTAACCCATGTTAAACTGTCATGAAATTTACTTATTGTTCTAGTATAGAATAAATTGTAAATAAATACTTGTAAAAAAAAAATCAAAAGTAAAATAGTTTCTGTGCTGAACTCTGTGGAAACATTGTGGCACTATTTCAAATCATGACTAATACAGCATGTTGTGATTATTCAAACCTACAAACAGTTGCCGGGTAACAGCTAGTTATATTTATTTGTAAACATTGTAGTTCAAAAAGTCTGACAATGGCCCACATAAAACCCTCTGGGGCAGAGCCCTTTTGACGGATCTGCACGAAACTTCACACAAACCATCCTTGAATAATGCTTAATAATGCCTAAAAGTTTCATTACAATCTGTCGAGCGGTTTCGGAGTCCATAAGGTACATACATACATACATACATACATACATAGTTCCTCTTTTGTAGATATAGATTTAAATTTATTTTACTTTTTAATCTGTTTTGAAATGGTATTTTTCTAGTTTTAAAAACGAATATACAGTAAACTCTATTATTAATGCAGACTAATTTAGGATTAAATAGAATAATCGTAACTATGACAAACATCGGGACTATTTTTTGACTGTTTGGGTAAACACATTTGTACAGTAAAATACTTTTTACAACAACAAAAATATTAGTGTATTTGTAATTTTAAAATGCAAACAGTAATATTTTAAAGTAAATGTCCAACATTTTAGTTTATAGTAACCATGACGAAGGCAGGTAGGCCTACTGCAAACTCTTCTCAATCGTACAGTTGAATCCACACACACATGACTATTAAACAGAATATTACGGACCAATAATGTGTAGTTTTCAGCAAGTGATGCAGTTCTAGCATAGCTGATTAATACTTTGATTAACTGCTATGAAATGGCTCTCCCGAGTCAGTTTTAATAGGGGTTTACCCAGGGTTCCAAGTGAATTCCCTAACTTTCCCTGACCTTCCCTGACCACAGCATATTTTAAGTACTGTGAGTTTTTTCTTAATATTTAGGTATAAGTTTATCGCTTAAAAAAACAACTTTTTATTTAATACGGCCTCCACCATCCCCATAGCCGCCATTACACCAAATTTTAGTGAATTTCCCATATAGGAAATAAGGCTATTACCGCAGGTCTCATAATAAGACCTAGACCGCCAACCGATTTACTTTTTTTGTTTTGACAAATTTGTTTATTTCATATTAAGCTATCAAGATTTTAATAAAAAGCACTCGTTATTATATTTTCTGTAGCAACAAACCAATGTACTTGTTAAAATTAATTTTATTTGAATAGGAAATAATTTTAAAGGAATATTTTAAAAATCCAGCCAGGTACAGTAGACCCCCTCTTAACCGACCTCGTATTAACCGATAATCGGATTATCCGCCTTCGGTCGTAAAATAATACAGTGTGTTTTAACCGACCTTGCTTTGAGAGCAGTTCGGTTTAACCGCCGCTTTCTAGGAATCTTGACATTTCCGCTCCCACGCTGGGTGATGAGAACTGAACCATACGCTTATCTCTACAGGATATGACTAAGAAAAAGTTATTTTATATTGATCACAAAAAAATAGCATATTGTCAGTTTGTCATCATCGTTCATAGTGCGAGCTTATCTGATCTAATTTGTTATCAGTGCGGCAAATTTATAACATCGTAAAGTGCGTTACTATTTTGAGAACTGATTATCTTATAGCTGGAGTAAACAAACAATGCAACTTGTAGGGAGGGCAGGGAAGGGGGGTTAACAACTCCAAGGTCAAGATAGTTTTTGTGCCTCGAGCCTCCAGTGAGAGGCTATAAATAAATATCCTGTCTTGTAACAAAATGGTTGCTTGTATCTTTATCTTTGACAAAAGGTTCTGTACTGTATTACAATGGATTTGGAAAGCATCAATTAATACATTACAGTACGGTACTACATCTTTTTAAATAGGAATTTTTATTGACTCTTGCCTAGTACTATAATATATTCCACTGAAAGTAGGCCTATTTGACTTAACCGTGTTTGGTGTTTATTTGTGACTTTTCTATCAATACGAAAAAGGAGATAAGAGTAGTTTATTTTATCAAGTATGACTTCAAAATAATGATTATATAATTCCAAATGAATAGCACTTCTTTATGTTATGATTTAAGGGATTGCCCGTTTTAACCGACCTTTTGAGTTATCCGACATAGGTCCGGTCCCATTAGGGTCGGTTAATAGGGGGCCTACTGTAAATGGAAATTCACTTAATCTGAAAGTTGCTGTGGTGGGGATATTTATTAATACAATACCAAATAAGAAATAAAATTCAAAATACTTACAGCTCTAAATAAAACAAAAAAATGGAAATAAAAATTACATACACACCACAGATTTTTCAGAACTATGTAATCTGTTCCGCAACTATCTCATTTCAATAATAACTAATCATAAAAAAAGTTAACGCAATCTATAGAAGTTTTTAGTAAATTTCCCTAACTTAACATAGCCTTTTTTTAAATTTTCCCTGACCCTATACCTATTTCCCTGACTTTCCAGACTGTCCGCGGGAACCCTGTACCATATTGCTATAACATAATTAATAAATACATTAACAATGTTGTACTAATTTAACTGTGTATGTCTTTTTCCGTACCATATATATTCTTATTTTTTTAGATTAAATTGTACAGAACGGTGTTGTAGAAGATACAGACTGTATGCAACACAGTAAATTGGTGCAGTTATGACACTGACACAATAATTTTGCATAATTTCATTTTTACACGACAAGTACAGTATATTTGAAAAGGAAGTATTGAAAAACTTTGCATGCGTCTGAGTTTTTAATGAATGTAATGTCAATAACAAAATATTTTCACAGTATTTTACATGTTTGTGTATTGTCTACATAGTTAATGATGAACTGTATATCTGAGTCCGAGAGTTGAATACAAGTTCTACTCTGTTCCATACTGTTATCTTTTACAAATGAGGAACAAAATACTTGATTGACTATGTATTATATTTTACGTTTTCTTGCAGTACAAGGACGGCGGCATTGCGACGGCACCACGCTACGGCGCAGGCAAAAGCCAGTTCTACACAGAGGCAGACCTAGAGTCTCACGAGCGCATAAGTCAACTGACTCCCGTAAAGCCAATTACCAATTCTGACGACACTGTGTACCTCTGTAACTCAACGTTCTACCAACCGAGCGAGATGTGTCGGGCAGAAGGATGTCCGTTCTTCGGCAATCCTCAAACACAGAACTACTGCTCAAAGTGTTTCCGGGAACAGTTGCAGTGTAAAGAGTCGTAAGTGTAAAGAACTGTTACTGTGTAGGGTTGTAAGTAAACAACTGTTACAGTTTTTAAGTCGTAAGTGTATAGAACTGTTAATGTGTAGAGTAAGTACTGGACCGTTACAGTGTAAAAAGAATGTTTTGAGAACTGTTACAGTGTGTCAAGTCATAAGTGTATAGTACTGATCTAATGTAAAGAGTTATAAATTCAAACAACTAACAGTTTAAAGAGACGTAAGTGTTTCAGTGGATGTTCCGGTGTTGCGGTACGCTGTACCTGATTTTCTGTCAGATTTTGCTGGTGTTTAACCTGTACATAAATCCCTGCTTTATAGCCTATTTATCTGAGAATCTAGTGCAATCGTGGAGACATCATCAGGTTAAATGTAAGAGCATCAAGTTCAAACTAAACTGTGGCTTTTTCAATTATGTTGTACTGAATTAAAATATTATGATTTTAAACAATTTTTTATCAAGAAGAGATTTGAAATAAGTCAATTGTTTTGAACACAAAAGTAAAAATCCCAAGCCACAGTGTTAACACATCAACATGTGTCTTCAACTTTTATGTAGTTTGTTAAAAAAAAACTACTGACAATATTTATTTAACTTTAATTTTTTTTACCATATCACAGTATTGTCTCTAATATTGTTTTTCATTGCACTAATGATTTTCAGATATATTCATTGTGTCATACAATATTTTGGGATGTTTTTAGTCTGTATATTTTATTGTTTTATTGTTTTTTTTTATCACCAAATGTGTGATAATGTTCAAAATCTGTTATTTAAAATAAATGTTTTCTTGTTAAATGTTAAACTGTGTTAAGTATATTTTTGTAGTTAAACTAAACATAAATCACTCTGTTGTGTGGGTATTTATTTACTTTGTTATGTGGTAGGTGTGGAGTATGTTAGAAACCTTTGTTGATCCAAAAACTTAAAACTTTGTAGGTCGGATGAAATATCTGTGAGATTTATAATCTCAGGCATAATCAGACCAATAATATGTCATCAACCGTCAGTTGATAATACAGAGTAACAAATCTAAGAAGAAACTTATCGTTTTGCAGCAACTCATGGTCAAGTTTTGGAAGCTGTTTACCATGGCTCATTGCCATTGTGTTTTTCCCACATCAAAATTTGGAAACAAAATTAATCGGTTTGTTAATGAAAAAAATTATTTTTTCACTAATTTTTGCTATTTAAATTTACAACACGTTCACAGACAAAGTACAAACTGTACTATTGCAGTTGTGTTTCAGTACTTCTGTTTACTATGTGTTGAGCCCATACAAATCCCTAGTTCGCTGTTAACATTTGTTTTAGCAACATAATTAGAAACATCCCCATGTTCAATTTGTCGGCAGATTTTTTATCAAAATCGGCATAGTTGATGTGAGCCACAGACAGATTGTGATGATCCAAACTACTAATTTCTGACGAATACACAGACCTTTTTACCAATTCAAACTAATGGAATTACTTGTAAGCTATAGCAACTTTTATGACCCAACTTGGTCAGCAAGAAAAAATAAGGTAGAAAATTGAATTTTAGACACTAGGCATTCTGTGACTAGCTAAGACAACTACATTCTTTTTTAATACAAAATTGGCCATAACTGGTTCATATAGATAGGATGTCTACATACTTCAGTATCCAATAGTCAATGATAATACCTTGGATTAAACATACTCATAGATTTCTCATCCTCTGGATCTTAAAAGTTTGGCCCCCAACTAACTTGGTCAGTTATTTCTATTTGTTGCATATTTTACAGAATCGTTTTGCATTGCTTAGGTCGACCATCACATTTTTTGTTGCTAGTCAGTAGTGTTGATGTAAATACATGTAAGTACAAGTAGAAGATAAGATCAATTTTTTTTTCATTTTTCTGGGGCATTAGTTTATGCTGCAAGTAAAAGCAAGCGTATCAAAAAACTGATATCTATAAAAAAAAGTAGGACTACTACTTAATTACGAAATATTTGTTTACTAATTCACTTATTTTTTTACATTAGTGTACGGTAAGATTATTTAGATTATACTTTATACTTTTTTATTAAAGAAAGTATAAAGGTATATTAGGTACACAATACAATGGTATAAGTCAGATAACATGTTGAAGGAATAGCATGCAGTGCTAGTGAATTCATGCTAGACAATTAATTTGTCGCTTGCAAGATGAATGGGTATAAGTCCTTAGCATATTAATATGTACTTACGCTCCTTCATCTTGCAAGTGTCTAATTGTTTATGAATGAGAACCTTTGCATTGAATCAGTGAGTAGTTTCAATGGCGCTATAAATGCACTGTTATGCATGAATGCTATGTCAACGTGTAACCAGTCTTAGGCAAATTTGCCCAATTAGGTAAACTTACTAATGAGTTTAATAATTTTTCATTCTAATGTAAACATTTTCAACAATATTTCCAGTTTAATTTGGTGTTGTAATAATACATGTGTTTACACCTAAAACATTTCCTACATTGTATTCTGATTACTAAGCAATAGAGCTGTAAGGTGAAAAATAAGTAATATTTTGGAAGTTTTTTTCTTTTCTGATGGGAAACAAAATTATTCTATACTTAGGATATTGGTTTTATTCTATGTTTTTGCTTGGTTTTATTTCTTTTACTTTAACAGCAAGTATTTGCACTTATTTATAGAATTTAGGATATTGCTTAACTATTGTTTTGCAATTTGTTATTGTTAATGTTGTTGTTTTAGCTTGTACTTTTTTATTTAAATGCTTGGCACTGGACCATGTTTTTAACAAAACGCAACTAAGGCGACTATGAAAAGGCTTAAACTTTTTTTTATTTCTTATAAATGGAAGTTAACCATATCATCAGGGGTGTATTGGGGCAAGATATACAAGCTTTACAAATTTCAGGAAGGATAAATAAGAAATGTTACATTTTGTTTTACTTGATATAAAAAGTTGGTAGCAAAATTCCTGTGTGTATATAGCAACCACTACACAATGCTCACTCCTCTTTGTCCTTGCTTCATCTCACTCCATGCTGTGTTTGAAACATTCCCTGTACAACCACTTCATTAATGTAGATAGGTTAAAAAGTTAAAGAAATAAAAATTACAAGATAAGTTGCAAATGGTTCAAAAGTGATTTTTTTTCAGATTTGCTTGTACCTGGTTGTTCAATCCTTGATACAGTTGTTGAATGTTATTAGTATTTAGATCCCCTACTACAATTGCCTTTGATTTTAATAGAAGTGATATACACTCTTTCTAATCACAAGATGATGTATGTTCATCACGAAATGTAGGTGGTTTCAGTTAATGTGTTATGTTGCAGCTGATTGACAAGTGGTGCAGGTAGTATCAAGTGTAGGGGATAGATTTCTTCCCCTAAAACCACCTACAGTTCTTGTTCGGAGTATAGTACCTCAAACTTGTCTATTGAATTTCGCTTGTTAGAATCACAAACACATTTGATATAATACTTAGCAAATTCGTCCTAGACTACCACTGTCTCTGAAAATTCTAATTTCAATTTTGCTTTGTGTATTGTATATATTAATAAGTGCCATACTCATTTTTATATTACCACTTCCTCCTCTTTGATCCAATTTATAGTTGCATAATAAACACCATATGTGTAGTTTGAACTATGGTTGTACTGTACATCATAGCTGCAAATGTCTACAGTTAAATATTTTATTGTGTAAGCTGTGTTAAACAATTGTGCCTCTTGATTCAAATATTTTCCTAATATTACAAATGTTTTGTGTAAATTATGTTGTAGCTATCAAAATAATTATAATATTTTTATAGACATGTTCAAATAACCGCTAATTACTATTTTTCTAACTACCTTAGAGAGAGATAGTTTTGAACTGCATATTGTTGGTTTGGCCAGTTACCGTAATCTTGGCATTTGTATGGCAAGGCGTTTTCTGTATATTTGAAACTGCTTTTCAATTATTTATGTTTTTCTTTGAAGTTTACAAAACTTTGCTTTGGATTACAATTCAATCTAAAAAATGTCCTCCCTTTCCCTTCTTTTGAGGAATTATTAGGTGGTCCCAGTAGAGTCACAAGTAAGCTTTGTGTTTTCAAATTTTCAGTCAAAAGTTACCAACAAATGACTGCAAGCTGGCATTCTAATGTTAAGTCTTGTTTTCAGACGTAGAGGTTAGAAAAAAATTGAAATGGCTGTTATATGAAAAATACCCCCGCCGCAGCAAACCTGCAGACTAAGCGAATTTCCATTTTGCCTGATTTGATTTTCAATTAAATCTATTCAAATAACATTAGGTATAACGAACGAGCACCTAGGTTTACTGCCTACAGTGTAATAAAGTGTGTTTAAAAAAAAAACACATATTTTATAGTAAAATATTAATAGCTTAGTATAAAATAAATAGATTGGACAAGTTTGATCCAAATATATGCATAAACAAGCAAACTACAACAGTTTACTTAATCTCCATAAGAATAACATGGGAATTTTTAATTTAAAATTTTATCCGTAACCAATAACCATACAAAACCCCCGCCGCAGCAAACCTGCAGACTATATAATTTCCATTTGACTGATTGGATTTACACTAAAATGTCTACTTAAAAAAATAACATTTATTCCCTATTTAAATAGAATTAGTTTAACAAGTACTTAGGTTTGCTGCATCAGGGAGGGTTTAACTATTTTTTTTTTGTAAAATGTTAATAGTTAGTAAGAAATAAAAACATTTTCCAAATTTGATCAAAATATGTTCATAAACAAGCAAACTACAACAGTTTACTTATTCTCCATAAGAATAACATGGGAATTTTAAATTTACAATTTTTTGGAATTTTCTCCGTAACGATTAGGCGCATAATAACGCTTCAATATACTAAATTATTTGTTTTTTTAAGCTCTACAAAATGGTTTGGAAAGAAATTGCTAAATTTTATGTTTTTTGGGTCAAAAATGGGAAAACCCTATTTTTACCCCATAAAACCCCCCGTAAACCCCCGTTCCCATGGTCCGATCATGCTGGATCGCGAACTCGTTCGAATAAACGTAGGTTTACACGTTTGTACCAAATTTCATCAAAATCGGATCATTTTTGCTCGAGTTATCGTGCTGACGGACACATATATATATATATATATATATATATATATATATATATAAATATATATATATATATATATGAATTTGAACGGATGGTGTTTTTGGCCTCTAGGGACCTCAAATCGAAAAAAAAAATCGGTCCCGCGTCCAGGTCTTACCATGAGTACTACGGTAATAGCTTATTCCCTATATGGGAAATTCGCTAAAAATGTAAATTTGCTTTAAATAAAAAAAAACTGTTGACTGTAAAAACTGCTGCTATTATACATATATAATAAAAAATAAAAATACAAACATTTTTTTATTCACTTTAGTTTGTAACTATTTTTCATTTTTCAATTAACACATATTTTTGAAACAATTAACAATATTTTCCGCTTTCTTGATAGCGTTTTACTGTAAGGATTTGTCTGACTCCCATAGGTTACAATTTCCATATAGTAAATTTGTGAGAAAATTGTGTTATTTTTATTTATTTATTTTTCTGTGTTACTTATGTTATTATTGTCTGGGAGTGTATTATAAGGAATTACTGAATTTATATTTTGCAAAATAATACTGCAAAAAATACTTGATACAGTATTTCTGATAACAATTCATCAGAACAACATTACCAGCCTTTCAGCACATGTTTTAGAAACTCAGCTGATTCCTTTTTGTACTTTGCCAGACATTTCATCACTAGGGCCTAAAGTGACTCTTTTCGACCCGAGCTCCGTAAAACAAGCGAGGGTTGAAAAGACACTTTTTGCCCGTGTGGTGAACTATATTTTTCGTCATATTGCACCATAATTTGAACAAACTATGTTACAAAACTGAAATAGTTGTCATTCAAAGATAGATAAACCTTTCAAAACTACTTCTAGCTTGTTTTAATTTTAATTTGCTAATGGAAACAAGCAGCTGTTTAGTAAGTGATTCAATCGCTTCCTCTATTACGATTGTGTTAGTGTACTATTATATTATCAATATGTCAAAATTTTTACAATAAGGCAACAATTAACTACAATCGATTATACAATCGATACATACTTTTGATACATGCAATTGTTTACAATTGAAATTTACAACTGAGTTGACAACAGCAGATTTTTACTCCCTATGGGCTAAAATTGCTTTTTACTCACTTGAGAGTGAAAAAATGCTACTTCAGACTTGAAACGCATGCATTAAAAACGTTTGTTTTGCTGCAGTATGACGAAAAGATCATTTTCCAGCTGCTATATCCAAGATTGTTTTATTTTACAATAAAATACCGTGAAGTTTCTATAGTGATTTGTAACTGCCAGAGATAGCTTCCAGCTAAAAATGTTCAAAGTTTGTACAGGTCCAGAGTATTAATAAAGTCTACTTAACATTTTACTTATTCTTATTTACAAATCCTTTTCAAACATTAATTTTTACTTTCTCCCCCTATCTATGTAATTAATACGCTGCATGAAACTTCAACCATTTCTTAACCGATTTTATCCATTGACGTCTCATTGGAAAGAGCGTGTCGCGTATATTTGCAAACTGGCCTTACATTTTTGAAAAATTCCCTTGGGCTCTGCCCCAGTGGCGTTGTTCCCATGTTGTCCCATGTTCCCATGTTCCCATGGAAGTTCCCATGTTATCCTTATGAAGAACATAATTGTTTACATTTTGATCAGCTGTATAATTTAATTGCTGTTATTTTTGTTTAAATTCAATGAAACGCATTGAGTACATTTATTTACTATTTGAGTTTGTGTAAACATAACCCCCAAGACGGATCGTGTTGGTATGGTTGTATCTTAAATTTGTGTATTTATCGTTGTTTTGTGTCGCTATGACGGATCGTGTTAGCATGATTGTAATTTAAATTTGTGCATTTGTCGTTGTTTTGTGTAGCTATAATTTGTTTATTTGTTGTTTTTTTTTTTTTTCTAATGCCTCCGACGCGACGACAACGAAACATAGACAGGAGGCGTAATCGTGATAACGACCGCAACTACAGAACAGTGGCGCGTAATAGGCTTAACTCATCACAGTCAGCACCTGAACCTGGACAATCTCAACTATTAGGTTACAAATGCGCCCTAACACTACCTCAAAACGACTTTTCGTTCTCAATTGGCCCTCTATCAATGACCTGTGTTGTCTGTATAGCGAGGCATTTTGGGAAGGAGAAAACCGGCCGGAATGCTTTAGGTTTATCAATAACGAAGATAAACATGGTCTGAGTTACACACTGGTAATCTTTGAGTTGACTCTTTTAAACACATTGTAAATATGACTGTTATTCGTTTTGAAATAACTCCTGTAATACTTTGCAATTGCTCGAATTCGAGCAACATGTACACTAGTACTAGCCTATAGTATATGGAGAAAGTATTGTTTACATTTATGTACCTTTTTGTTTTCAAGTTATTAAAGAACATGCTCTATATATCTTTCTTGGTAGTCATGAAAGAAAAAGCTAAGGAGCATATGAATTCTTTTATAATATTTGAAAAATGTACAAAAAAAAAAAAGAAAAGCCACCAGCCATTGTTTTCTAACATGATAGTCTTATTAATCTTTTGAGTATAAACTCCATTTAAAAAAATATTTGGACAGAAAACATTTTCTACTAAAACAAACTTCATGATAACTACTGTTACTGGTTTATTTGACAAAAATGTGGAGTAATATGAAGACTATTTTGAAAAGGGAATTAAATAACTTCTTGATCAGCATTGTACGTGTTATTAAATTTACGGAAAGTAAATAAAAGAAACGTCTTATAACACTTAAAACATATATTTACGCTTATACTGTTACTCACAAGACGGTAAATATACAAAAAAGATGGTAAGTGGTGATCGATTTTGATTGGACACTCCAATCGTCATCAGACCCAATGACCCAATAGGTGTATGTAGTTTGTCGCCTATTGGGTCTGATGATGGTTGGAGTGTCCAATCGAAATCGATCACCACTTACCATCTTTTTTGTATATTTACCGTCTTGTGAGTAACAGTATAAGCGTAAATATATGTTTTAAGTGTTATAAGAAGTTTCTTTTATTTACTTTCCGTAAAAGGGAATTGTCATCTATATTTGAACAAAATCATAAATTTGTCTAATGGTAGCCTATATTTCATTTCTAAGACTTACTCCTTTTGACACATAAAAAAATTGCCATTTCCATGAATTCTAGTAAAAAAAACAACAAATAAATTTATGGTTAAAATTAAAAACAAATTAATTACTACACATTCTGATCAGTTAAGAACTTATCTATACTATATACATAATAGGTTTTTCTTAAAAGGTTTTTCTTATTTTTTATTTATTAGTATAGATTAGATAATGTTAATTAAAATAAAACATGCCTGTAAGACACACACACTTTTCTAGGATACATCCATGTGAACAGAAGCAAGATGACATCAAGTAAACTGATGCTAGTGAACAGGCGCGTGAAACAAGCAAACCCAACTGCAACAGACAATTATAACGTTAAAAAACATATGCCTTTGAAACAGAAACGTAAATTGGGTTTATTTTAAATGGTTTGTTACAACAGGAGGGGGTAAGACGGTAGCTCAGTCCGTAGTGCCACGAACTTTGGGCCCAAGTCAGCGATGTCGTGGGTTTGGATCCTAGTACCTGCCACTTCTTTTTATCAGTACAGTTTACCCGCGAGTCCCCTGTTTTGCTGGATACGTTCCACGCACTGGCCCATGTGGACGGACAAACGCAAGACTAAAAGAGGCCCGCCAACCTTATAAAAAAAGTTCAATACGTCAAGAGCATCTAGCATCTGAGAACTAGTGGAGTAGTGTCTAAAACTTAACTGAGGAGAATTAATGTCCAAGTCTTAGGCTCAGTAGTTGAAACTAGTAAAGTTAACTTTTACAGTAAAAAAAAAAACATTTAATTAAAATTTTAGAATTAATATTCGGGAAGTACAATATAGAATAGAATTATACCCTTAAATGGTAATTGTCCTGCTTACAAACATAAAGTAAACATTTTTTTAATACACTCTTTACAATTTCTTGATTTACTTTGTTCCCTGGATTGCCAGTGCCTGAATTGGAAACTTACTAGAGGGTCGACCTGCCCAGACGTTTTCACCAACTTACCAGTGGGGAACATTAATACTACTGTTCTCTTTCCCCTTTGTCGGACCAAAAAGCCCTCTTGACTTGTTTTTGGTCGATAGCAATAACACCATGAGTGGTACCAAACAGCACCAGACGAAGATTATTAGAAGCTTTAACTCATCTAATGTCAACTACTTCAAATTAGCACTATAGTATATACTGGAATTAGTACTGCAATTTCATTGATTTTGACGTATTTTTCTCCACTTTCATAAATGCCATGGAAGTTTGTTTTCCGAAATAGGTCGTTAGGCCTGAGGCATTGGGGTACCGCAAGAAATCAGCAGTGAAATGGTACAATACTGACTTTCTCAAATGTGCATGGAAGCCAAGAAGTTGTATGACTTTTGGCAGTGGGCACTGAATTATAATGTATTGGTCGATGTTATGAAGTGAAGATACACTGAAGCCAAAACCAGATATAAGAAAGCTCTTGAGCAAGCTAAATTAAAATTTAATGCGGAATCGATTGCTTCAGCACTGAACCAGTGGAAAAGGGCTTGGGAGCTAATAAACAAGTCTAAGTGCAGAGTGACATCCCATTCGATTGACTCGCTGACACCCCAGATCTTTAATGACTTCTTTGACCTCTCCTCGGTAGATTACATCTGTAACCGAGGCGTCCCAGCTGTTCGAGAAGCCTTCAACGGCCTGTCAACGGTCTTCGAACCTTCACGCTTAGACCAGTGTCAAGTGACAAAGTGGCTAAAATAGTGAAAAATATGAAAAGCAATAAGAGCCGTGATATCTATGATATCAGTTGTGACCTTGTGAAGGTAGTGCTTCCTGAAATTATCTGTTGGGGATCAAAGTTGACACTGTTACTGACAAATAAGTTAACTCACCCAGAATGTCTAAGAAGTTAACTCTAGATTTCAGAACCAAACGCTCTGTTGGTGGGGCAGCTAGTTGAATATGGATGGTGGCATCAGATTCATTTCTAAACAAAAAATATATTTAAAAAAAAAATATCCTAAATATTAATAGGCAAACATGTTTTGTGAAAACCTTTTTTCTCTGCTCGTGTGCAATGCAGAGAAAATCTACGCATACTGTTAGAAATATATTTTGCTGTAGATGTGTAGAATTCCTTTATAAATTAAAATAGACTAAAAAATATGCACAAAAAATTAATTTAAAATTAAAAAAAAATTTAAATGGGCCTTATGGTTAGCCATGCTGGTGACGAAATATAAACAGAAAATCAAAACCAATGGAAGATGTTCTAATCACATGTTTTATTTACAGAGTGGGGTGAAAATAGAGAAGTCTGTATATTACATATTTTTGGTTGAGTTTTCGACCACTGGATGTCCTGTAGTTGAAATTAATAAGAAATATGATATGCGTCCAATTTATTTAGCCATACTCAATGTTTCATGAAAAAGAAACTAGGAATAATTATTTGTTTTCCTACTACTAAATATTTTATATCCAGTTTTGGTCTACTAAAATGATTATTTTCAAATGGAAACCAACAGGAAAACAGAACTAATATCTTAGGATTTGTAGAGGTGCGATTTATCCAATACAAAGAATGTCAGTTTGGTGAGTCGATAGCGTCACAGACTTCGGGTCCAAGGCTGCCGCTACTTTTTATCAGTACAGTTCAACCTTGTACTGTACCGGCTCACCCCTTGCTTTGCTGGATACGTTCCACGCACAGATCCAGCCTATGTGGACGGGCAAATGCAAGGTTAAAAGAGGCCACCAACCTCTTTAAAAAAGTTCTCTTCATTTGAGAGCCCTTTCCTTTTTTTGTTTGCTAGATGGATAAACTACAGCTTAAGGTGGATCTAAACTCCTGGGTGAAGGCATTATCACTTATTAGCTTTGTACGACTACATACCAGGATTATTAAGGTAAAGATTACTGAAGGATGAGTGTTCAATAGATCAGGGGATATTTTACTCTACACTTACTTCACTTCTTACGATCATCTGCAGAACAGTCTAACATAGCTAAAACTTATAAATGAATGTTAAAATTTCAACCCGAGCCTCCAGGGCAGAAGTCCTATGCTGTAATCAGATTATCAGGTTTAAATCAGATACACATCAGATGTGACCTTACATTTTTTTATTCTGTTATACATATAATAATAATTACAGTAGTTTATTTTTATAAAGTTCTACTATAAACCAAATAGATTAGTCTCATCAGTCACTTCAATGATGATATAAACCTACTGGAGTTAAAATTAGTTGTTTCATATATATCTGAACTTAACCTTTGTAAAAATAAATTTTAAAAAGTGATTACCGTTTCAATCTGCCCCATATAACTTTAACTTCTTGCTGGTCGCAGGATTGTAGACACTCACATTTCTTGTACATGTTTGATCTTTTCCTTGTTTTTGTTTGGTTTTTATTCCCTAAAAATAGTTAGCAGCATCTTATTATCCTATGCTTAGGAAAGATGTCAAAAGAACAATGAAAATGAAAGCTCCATTTCACAGACTATAAATAATAATAATATCCATGTTCCGCCATTGTCGCATTAACACAGCGTTGTTATGGTGATAATGTACAGATCTGACTATCAGATGTCCTAGCATTTTATTATACAATGTCAAACAACTTTATACATTTAAGTTAATCTTTACCTTCCCCCCTACACATAATGTATGAACTAAAGAGAAAGTATTGTTTTAGTAAAAACTCGAGTTTTTGGTGGAAATATCTGTTTTGGGTCTCCCTGAACCCCAAAAAGTGGTTTTTGTATTTGTGGATGTGTACAGAGCTACAGCCTATACCTGTGGTCCAAACAACATTATGGTTTGCGGCACGAATATTAGAACATAAACCGGTATGGATCATAAACACAAACACATGACGTAACTGGCCTGAATCCAATACTAATAACACTAATATATGGTTTAGACATTTCCATTTAAGCAATTTTAAATAATGTTTAGTGTTGCATTGGGAAATGGTAAAATTAAGATTATAAAAAAGAAACCATGTTGACTTGAGCAATAAAAACAATGTAATAAAAAAGTAAACAGAAAGAAATAATAACATATGATAAATAAATATACACATGTTAAATGCAGATCAAGGGGAAAAAGTCTCCAAAACATTTAGTCTGGCCACTCACAGAACCGGGCTGGGCAGGGCGCGACAGGGGATTTTGCCCTGGGGCGTATCGTGCGATGGGAATTGTACGGGCGCTTATGGAGCGCCACACACAGGACCAGGCGAGGCAGGGTGTGGATAAGACGCCCGAGGGCAAAATGCGAAGCTATCCAAGATTATACCCCAAGGCAAGTCGCTGCCGGGCAAAACTTTCTGTGCATGCACGGTCACGTGATTTATTCTCTCACAGGCTAACTTTGATATGGATTATTTGATTATTTTACAGCTGATACAATGTATGGCTACTGATGATCCATACATGTAAGGCAAGATTTATATGACTGTACAGTGCTATTACTACAGTGTTTGAATAACTAATACTCAATCTTGGTTTTAACACTGAGGAAATAGAGGACCAACATACAAGTACATTCCTTACGGTTATCAAAAGCCGCTTCTCTGGAGGTATGACTGTTGGTATTTTGTTTTTCTATTCTGCTCTCAACTTTTAAGTCAAATGTCAAAATTGACATCCGGCAATAATTTAAAAATTTTGCTGAGTCGGCTCGAAGCTCAGTAATAAAACTTCCTATATTTCTTTCAGGTCTATGGGGGCTAAATTTTAACTTTTCGTGCCGCGCCTCGTTCGGTGTGTGTCAGCAGCACGGAAGTGCAAGTCTGGCATCTTGTCCGTCCTGCCCCGCCCTAGCTATTACCATAGGTCTCATGGCAAGACCTGGACCCATGTCCGATTTACTTTTTCGTTTTGAGGTGTCCAGAGGCCAAAAACACCATCCGCTCAAATTCATATATATGTCCGTTAACACGTTAACTCAAGCAAAAATTATCCGATTTTGATGTAATGTGGTATAAACATGTTAACCTACATTTATTTGAACGAGTTCGCAAACCAGCACGATCGGACTATGTGAACAGGGGTTTATGGGGGGTTTTATGGAGATAAACAAAAAAATTGCAATTTCTTTCCAAACCATTTTGTAGAACTTTAAAAAACAAATAATTTATTATATTGAACCGTTTTTGTATGCCTAATGGTTACGGAAAAAAATAGAAAAAAATTTTAAATTTAAAATTACAATGTTATTGTTTTGGAGAATAAATGAACTGTTGCAGCTTGCTTGTCTATGGACATATTTTAATAGAATTTGGAAAATTTGTTTACCGGTACTTCATACTAGCTATCAATATTTAAATAAAAAACATGCGTTATGTCTTCCCTGTAGCAGCAAACTTAAGTACTCATTAAAATTGATAATATTTAAATAGGAAATAAATCTGACAATTTCAAGGGAATAATTTAGTGTAATTCCAGCCAGATAGATGGAAATTCGTTTAGTCTGCAGGTTTTTGGGCAGGGAATTTTTTTTTTATACAGTAGACTCCCTCTTATCCGGACACCTTTTAACCGGACATTGGTTTAACCGGACTATACTCGGCGGAAAAGAGGGAGTCTACTGTAATGGTGATTTCCCCATAAAACTCATAAATCAGATTTTCATAAAACAGCTCAAACAATTTTGATTTAAATTTAGAATTATGGTCCTTTTAACAAATCCTCTTAACAAAATTGTACAGCCCCAAGTATCTAAAAATGATGGTTCTCCAAACACTATTTTTATGTTTGTGATTTTACCCACAAAATATCAAAGTAACTCCCACTGCTTACCCATTATAAGGGTTTTTTGACAAGCTAATGGGAGAAAGTATGTGTCAGTTCCCTGCTACCATTTATTTTAATCCAAATTAAATCCATCTGTTCCAAACTTCTGCTAAACTGAACAACGTATGATCCCATCGATTAGTTCAGAATAGAAAGAGCTTTTTTTTCTTAAAAAAAATCTCATCTTTAATTGTAAAAGATTTAACACTGTGTTTAACATAGTTACACCTTTAATTTAGGCAGTCCAAAACAATTTGAGCTACACTATACAGATTTTAAAGAAAAGCCATCCGGATTTAATAGTTTTTATGGGACACAAAGTTTGGCTAGCTTATATGAGAAAATTTAGAGTCCTGGTTTAAAGGTCATACAAAATAAAATAATATCAAAAATATTATTAAAATGTGTATTGTTCTCATTGTGTCTTCAGTAAACTTTTAAAATATCCCAATAATAAATATTATGGTGACTGTACATTTTTTAACTTTTAAATTATGTTTTAAATATAACCTACAGGGGACTTACTGAAATCGTCATCTATACATTGAAGTCCTTTCAGGTCACAATACCTGGAGTTATCTGTAATCAAAATAAAATAATTGACAGAGTTGGTTATGCATAAATACCTTCATTGATTTCAATTTAACAACCTTCATTTAAAGGTGTTGTTAATGCTATTTATGACGATTTCTAGGAACAAGTTGATGTTAGATAACTTCAAACTTCACTAAAAAAGCCAATAATTGTTGTGTAACTTGTCTACATATTTAAACTGAGTATGACTGCAAATGATTGACCAGAACCATAAAATGACTTATCAGTGGCAAGATTTACCAGTGCCATTGAAGGACAATGGCATCATAGGATTTGAACGAATAGTGATCTGGCTTCTATGGGGACATCAAATTAAATCGGTCCTGGGTCTGGGTCTTACTGTACCATCCTATCTATTTGTACTGACTATAAATTTTTGCATTAGGAGTGGAGGTTTTTGAGCCCAGACTTGTTCTAATACCTATGAGTCTGAATTTATGGTGTTTTTTCCAAAACGAAAACATACATACTGGTGAATTCTCGTAACGACTGTTATTTATTAAGGCTGACTTCTCAAAAGGTTTTGAATTGCTTTGTGATTTAAAAAAAAAGGTGTGTTACTGAGGTTGTTTTGAATGAAATTGTCATGTTTAAAGGTTTAGTTTATTAAAACAGCACTTTCAAGGGGACTTTTAAGGTGCCCTTGTAGTTGAAGGTGTGGTGTAAACGAGGATCTACTATATCTATTTTAAATAGCTGTAAGTTTTATCTAAAAACGAAATATAGATGAATGAGAATGCTACCTGACCTGGTGTTGGTATCAGGTGATGATGACAGCCACACACAGACAGCTGATGTTGAGCTAGACAAGCCGTCTGACAGCTGCTGCGACTGTACACTGGGTAACCTCGGACACTTCTCTCCCCCTCCACCACACACCCTCTTGAAACATTACATAAGGGGCTCTTAAAGAAAGTATTGAAGTGTATTAAATGCACATGATAAATGTATCCATGCCAGAAAAGGTTTGATTTTGTTTTGGACAGGAAGAGCAGGCTTACATGTACATTGGGCGAGGACTCATACATTTCCTTGTTTAGTTTTAAAGTAAGTTTGTAAAGACGTGTGCAACTACACCTCTTAATACTGTTGTTCCCAGAAGTGTTTATAACTGCTGCCTAAACAAGATTCTCATGGAAATACTGAGAGGTTTTAATGGTGAAAACCCCCAACACCTGAGAGCGTTTATGATATGTTTTATAGGTTATTCTAAACCTAAAAGTTAATTGTTAAAAAAACTTTTTGATAAACCGTGTATAAAATCATAAATGTACAAGATTGTATGGATACCTCTGTTCAGTAGAGAGTTCTCTTGCTGAAATGTCCACCACAGTTTCTCTCACACTGTAGAGCAACCTTAGAGAGCTGTCAGGGTCTAAGACTGGGGCTTTGCTGTTTAGAAACATCACTTCTTTGACATCGTGAATAAACACCTACAAAACACTTGAGTAGCAGCAGCTTCAGGTGTTATGGATATGGAAAATATTGCTAAGAAATGTATTCTTCAGTTAGTTACAATGTTAAATCATGTTACTTAACTCTAAACTGACTAAATAAGCTGGAAATTCCTTTAGTGGAGGGATTTCTATACAGAGAGATATCTTGTTACTGTGAACCTACAGCTAGAGCTCCAAATCCCCATTTTTCGGCATTATCTTTCAGGTCAAAACCATTGGTGATTGGTGGGATTAGAACCTTGTGCCTTAAGGAGGGAAGGCATGGACCCCAACCACTAGAAACACTCAGAAATGCAATAATTGTTCTTTCTTCAAATTTAATTTTTTGAATCAATTGCTCTTAATAAGAGAACAGATAATAAAAATCATAGTTTGTTACAAAATACAATAGCAGTTATTTTCATCACATGGCCCAAACATTAGGTGGCTTTAAGATCTGCATCAACTAAATCCTCGCATATTTTAGAAAAGCATTATAATTTTGACCCTATGCTGTGAACAAATTAGGTTTTTAAATATACAAAACAATATACATAAACAAAGACAATGGGACTAGATCTTTTCTAATAACTTCAAGTAGACAACAACACACTTTGTGTAGGGTGAGTCTTGTATAGCTTTTGTTATTGACTAAGATCAGTTGTTTCTTTAGCCAGGAAATTTTATTATGTAATCCCAATATAGCTGAGCAGGGTCCAGTTCTAAGCCATCCAATACCCCTGTCGCAGCAAACCTGCAGATTAAGCGAATTTCCGTTTGCCTGAATTGATATACAATTAAATCTATTTAAATAACATTAGGTTAAACGAGTACCTAGGTTTGCTGCTACATAAAGGTTTTGCTAATTAAGTGTGTTTTTAGTAAAATATTAATAGCCTAGTATAAAACAAATAAATTTGCCAAATAACAAATAACTGCACAAAAACACTTCAATATACTAAATTATTTGCCTTTTTAAGCTCTTTAAAATGGTCTAGAGAGAAATTGGAAAATTTTATGTTTTGATGGTCAAAAATGAGAAAACCAATTTTTACCCTATAAACCCCGTTCCCATCGCCCGATCATGCTGGTTCACAAACTCATTCAAGTTTATCCTGCCTTACACCTTCAACCAAATTTCACCAAAATCGAACAAAAATTACTCAAGTTATTGAAAATAGAAAACTTACCTGAACTGGGAAATTTACAGAAAAGTCCAGAGCAGCATCTTTTGCAAATTGGCTGACTGACATTTTGAAGGTATTTCTAAAAAAACATGTGTAATTTGCATGTTGATTAAATGAAAATACAATTTAAGGCTTAAATATTAAACAAATGAGGTTGTCCGCAAATTATGGTCTTCGAGGACCCAACGTCCCAACCCAGTAAGCAAGCTCAATTTTGACACCGGCACTTCACAACTATTCCAGCTATTCCTAACTCCTGTATGGCGACTGACTAGTTTTGTGTAAGTAGCCATTCTTGAAAGGACATCCACACTCTCGCCAAGTATTGATTCAATTATGTGCTTGAGCTTAGGCTTCTGAGAAATAAATGCTCTTGTTTTGTTTCCTTTATTTTGCACCCCAAACCCCCAAAACATGTCTGTTTGCCGCCTGGACACGTCCCATGAGCACGCATGAGCACTGTTGTAATACTAGAGGTCAAGCAGTGGTTTACAATTATTATAAGTGTCTCAAGGAGATTAGGGCATCAGTTTTGTCATCAAGGTGATGACCTTCTTGTTGAGGGTTGTGTTAACATGGTAATAAGCTAGCAGTCATGTTATCAAGATTACTGATAGCACTGTGTATCTTAATAATGAGTTAATTTCAGAGAAAAACTTATGCTAACACGTTTATTTTTAAATTATAATTTACAGAGCACTACTGTTAATATTGTTAGTAAAGTCAAATACCCCTGCCGCAACAAACCTGCAGACTAAGTGAATTTCCATTTGCCTGATGGAATTTTCATTAAAATATCTCCTTAAAAAGACATATTCATTCCCTATCTAAATAACATTAGTTTAACGAGTACTTAGGTTTGCTGCTAAAGGGAAGGGAAAAGGCGTTTTTTGATCAAATGTTAATAGTATAGGATAAAATTAATTAATTTGCCAAATGTTATCGAAATACATCAATAAACAAGCAAACTACAATAGTTTATTTATAAGAATAAAATGGGAATTTTAAATTTACAGTTTACTTTTATTTTCTCCGTAACTGTTAAGCGAATAAAAACACATCAATATACTAAATTATTTATTTTTTAAGCTCTACAAAATTGTTTGGAAAGAAATTGCAAAATTTTATGTTTTTAGGGTCAAAAATATTTGACCAGTACATGGCGGCAGACCGGCAGCAGTGGAGGCAGCTTGTTGGCGAGGCCAAAAACCTTCTTAGGTTTGAGTGGCCAAGGAGTTCAGTTCAGTTCAGGGTCAAAAATAGGAAAAACCAATTTTTACCCCATAAAACCCCCTATAAACTCCGGTTCCCAAAATGGTTTGTGAATAAAAACCATCATTTAATTTTTACGTTAAAACACAGTGAAACCAACCAGACAAAAAAGTCATTTGGGGTCGGAGTTTAAAGTCTATACTTGTTCTAGTAAGTCTACCTGAGTATGAATGTTAATTTAACATTATATGATGTCAACTTAACATTATGTACTGTTGCGCTTTGGGGAGTTGAAAAGTGCACTTATTAAGGTTGACCTGTGTTATTGAGGGTCTTGTAAACAAGGTACAAGGTAATATACTGTAACAAAAGATTACTTAATCAATTCCTGCCAGACACCTAAAAACAAAAGATGTTTGGTCAGGACATGTTTCGGTCTTAGAACACCATTGTCAACTTCCGATTTTTGTTAAGTAGCTAAATTGGAATCCTTGTCATGAAGGATAAACACATTAACACATACAGTCAGACACTGTTTGTTCATTAGTTCATAAATAATGTTATGGTTATAACACTGAAACATGCCCTGGGTAAGCATAATGGGCGCATTCTGGGTACTGCCTCAAGGCAAGAGTCTTGGGATCCCAGAACGGTTAGTCACCGAATGGTGCTCATCGGATTGTAATTTACACATCAACCTACTATTTACTTAATAATATTAAAATTCAACAAACTTGCCCTCACAGAATAAGTTATTGATGTATTATTCACTTATTACCTAATTTAATCCATCAAACTGATAAACAATTGATCATTTATTCTATGGACCCGCCATCAGCCGTAGCTACAACAAAAAAACTCACCAATCAAAGGCCGCTGGTGTATATGAACCGTACAATTTCTCCGGTGCATGAATCTTGCACCGGTGGAGGAAAAAACAGGAAATAGCTGTCTGCCATGTTAACTCAACGGTCTACCTAAACAACACATTTTCTGCACCGGTCCTGTACCGCTACACCGGTTAGTGTTTCCAGAACGCGCTCATTGTTTTTGAAAAATCTGGTAGGAATCGCCTAAGTAATTTAATCTTACATTATCCAACAGCTCAGGAGCTAAAAACATGGACTTTAAATTTGAAAAATAAAATACTTCAACACACTGAAACATGACAGACATTTACTAAAATTATCTTCAGTTGATCCATAAGGATGATAAGACTATTTTGGAAAAAGGGGAATATAATCAACCAATGGTAGAATGTAGAATGCCCAATCAGCATATTACGTATTTTTGAACATTTTATTTCTGCTAATCAATGAATTGGTCATTTTAGGGTCTTGGAACATGTATTTGTTTGTTTATGGTACCCGAAAAAACAAATTGACAGCATGTTTGTAAGCTTAAGGCATTTTTATAAAAGGAAAAACTTATTTAATAAGCCTTACATTGTCATCTCAGAATTAAAACTGTAGCAGATCCCTTTCTTTGTTTGTAACAGTTGAAATCTTTCACAGCAGTCAAAGTTTTTTCCATTGAAACTACAATTGTGAAGAAGTTCTTTACAGCTTGCAATCATCTGTAACAAATTTATGCAAAAAAAATGCTGCACAAGACTGTAAGAGGTTGTTACAATTGTCATCATTCATATGTAGAATAGAATTTTAGAATTTTCAAGTAGCAAATTCAGTTACAAATTCTTGCTAGGGACACTTGTCGGCTTTAAGAAAGTCATTCCAAACTGTTCTCTTACGAAGGAACTAAAACCGACCCTCCCTCGCTGTCTCTGAAATTGTCGTCCTAACAAGCCAGGTGATGCTGTGATATAGTCCACTTTATTGGTTATTCTATTTGCAGTGTGAATAAACATTTCTTAATCATTATTCATTTTCCATAATATTGGTGCATTAGTGCATATAACACCCCATTTAGGCCTGTATACATAATACTCGCCTTTGGCTCGCTGGGGGCTCCGCCCCCAGGCCCCCTTTTTTTGTTGGGGATAAAAAGAAATGGGCCATGGCGCAAGACCTGCAATTGAGCCAAATTTCAGATCTTTAGCTAATCTAGAAGTGGGTAAAATTGATTTAGACCGATGCACCTGTAGGAATAACATCGGGGGATTCTAATTTTCGAGGGAGGGGGGGAGTTATATTTGTAAAATGTCAATTTTGAAAAGGGCGCAAGATCAACAATCATGCCAAATTTCAGATATCCAGTTAATCTAGAAATGGGTAAACGTGATTTAGACTTATGCACCTGTAAGAATAACATTAGGGGGGGGGGAGGATTCAATATTTGGGTGGGGGGTTGAAAATACGACGCCCCCAGGTCTCCTTTTTTGGTTGGGGGTAAATACAAATGGGCCATGGCGCAAGACCTACAATTGAGCCAAATTTCACATCTTTAGCTAATCTAGAATTGGTTAAAATTGATTTAGACCGATGCACCTGTAGGAATAATATTGGGGGGCCCCAAATTTTGACATTAAACCTAAGTTTTGGGGGTCAAGGAGTAAAGTTACGAAAAAACACGTAGTGTTTAAAATTTAAAGTTAAGTAAGGAGAATACAAAGCAATATTAATTTTTGCAAAAACAAATTATTTAAGTATGAAAAATGGCGAAAACCGGTAAAAATGTAAAGAAATTTACCAAATTTTGAAAGTAGGGCGTTTTTTGAAGGTTAAGGAGTGCGATTTCCGGGAAACACCTATTAAAGGTTTGTAGAAAATTTGATTCCCGTTCATGAAAATCCTTTCAAATATTTTCTATCTCTTACTGTTTTCGAGCTATAGGCGATTGAAAAAAAATGGGTTTTGTCGTTTTTAGAGGTCCGCCAGTTTGGATTTTTAAGGTGGGTAAAATTTAAAAATGGGACTTTTGCAAAATTTGCCATAAACTTATGATCCCTTACTACAATAGTACCAAATTCCAAGTCTCTAGCACGTTTCTAAACGATTCATATGACCATACCAAAGTCATTATATTTTAATCTTATTCTCCATAAGAATAACATGGGGCTCGTAAAAGTGGTAAAAAAACCTTCAAATTTTAAAAATTAAACCTAAGTTTTGGGGGTTAAGGAGTAAAGATACGATAAATTATTAAAGGAGTAGAATTTAAAGTAAGGAGAATACAAGAACCAAGGAGAATACAAAGCAATAATAATATTCGCGAAAAGTAATTATTTAAGTATGAAAAAATAGCGAAAACCGGTAAAATTTGGAAAGAAATTTATCAAATTTTTAAGGTATGGCGTTTTTTGAAGCTGAAGGAGTGCGATTTTTGGAAAACGCAAAATAGGGTTTTGTAGAAAATTTAATTTCCTTTCGCTAAGATTCTTTCAAATCCTTTCTATCTCTTACTGTTTTCGAGCTACATCCGATTAAAAAAACTTGTTTTTTCGTTTTCAGAGGTCCGCCATTTTGGATGTTGGGGGGGGGGTTAATATTAGAAAATGGGACTTTTGGGAATTTCACCGGTAATGTAAGATCCCATACTACAATACTACCAAGTTTCAAGTCTCTAGCACGTTTCTAATTGGTTCAGATGAGCATACTAAAGTCGGCATTTTTCAATGTTATTCTCCATAAGAATAACATGGGGCTCGTAAAAGTGGTAAAAAACCTTCAAATGTTGACATTAAACCTAAGTTTTGGGGGTTAAGGAGTAAAGTTACGAAAAAAGAAGTATTGTGTAAAATTTAAACTAAAGTAAGGAGAATACAAAGCAATAATAATATTTGCAAAAAGGAATGATTTAAGTATGAAAAAATAGCGAAAACCGGTAAAAAGTTGAAAGAAATTTACCAAATTTAGAAAGTAGGGAGTTTTTTGAACCCGAAAGAGTGCGATTTT